CTTATCTTGATCTTCCTGAGAAGCCTATGGTTATGAGTCCGCAGCAATTTCTGGAAGTGGTCCATGCAAGGATGATCTTGAACCCAAGCACTATACAAAAGGCCGTCTTAAAAGACAGCAATGCAAGTTACCTTGAGTGTAGAAAACCAGAAGGCCTTCCGTCTGAGTGGGGGCTAGTGGTAGAGCTAGGTGGGCAGGTCACTGCATCTACTATGGTAACTGCTCATAATGGGAGTGTACAAAAGGCGTGGAATCACGCAGGAGGGACACATGGGTCAACCTTGCTGGTGGGGTTTCAGGGAAGGCTTCCTGGAGGAGGGGATGTCTACACAGGTTCCTGGAGGAGGAGTGGGAATTAGCAATGTTGGGAGTTAACAGAGAACAGGGAGAAGGGATATCCACGTACAGAAGCAGCAAAAAGCAAAAGGCTCTTAAATACGAGAGCATGGTTCCTTAGAAGAAAACTGCAAATAAAGAGTGGATTGTGGGCACTCTCCCTCCTGAGAGCATGCCCCTCTTGCCCCTCTTCCCCCTCTTCCTCCCCGCACGCATCTCCTGAACTCTAAGGGTCCCCATGAGACTTGCAACCAGGGCAGCAATGGGCAGCCTCAGCTCCTCCCAGGCTAAACCTCTGAAGCTGCCTCTAAGGCCCCCTTTTCTCAGACTTAGTGAGGCAAAGCAGCCCTGCCTGGGCTCTCTTGTTACTTCTGTCCTAAGCCCTTCCTTGTTTCACTGTCCCCAGCTTTAATAAACTTACTCTCAAAATTAAAAAAAAAAAAGAAGAGTTGATTCTGGCTTAGGTAACAAAGGGGAGGCAAGAGGCTGCTCTGGTTATCTAAGCTGTGTGGCATCTTATGCATGGCAGGTGCTCAATATGTCCTGTTTTCAGGAGGAACATACTTTTTAACAACAACAGTTGGTAGCAATAACCAAGTGAAATATGCTGTGCCAGAAACTGCAAAAATTATATCACTTAATCATCACAACAACACTACTCTGCTAGGCAGGCATTCTTTTCTGTATTCAAGAAACCAAGTTCAGAAAGGTCAAGGCACACAGCTTCTAGGTCTGAAGTCATATGTCTATTATGAAGTAGGGCAGGGACTCAAAGCCCTGAATTTTCTGGGGCCAAAGCTTGAGCCCCTTCTGTATCACCCTTCCTGCACCTCTTTACCTAGGTAATATTCTCCAAGAGGGATGGTCACCAAGAGCTACACTCAAGGTTCAAATGAAGAGGCATATCCCTGGGAGACACTGTAGGTCCCAAGAACGTACTTACCTGCTTCTTGGTTCAGGCAAACAGCCATCCGCATGGCTTCTTCCCTCTTGGCTGTGCCTAGCAGACACAGAACAGGTCGCCACCTGTGCCCTGAGGCCAGGATCATGCTGGCTCAGCCTCTCCGCCCAGCTGAACGCCCTGTACTAGCCCCTGCTCCTCTGAGCCTCTTGAACTCTCTCTCCCCTTAGGGTTTTTTTTTTCTTTTTTTTATTCCACACAGATCTCTAGTAAAGCATTAATGCATTTTGGGGGTTTATATATCCTACCCTCTCTCCTGGACTGTGAGCCCCTTAAGGGCAGGGACTGTCTTTGTCCATCTCTGTGTCCACAGGGACTAGTGCGGGCATGATACACAGCAGATACCGAGTGATATGTGCTCAGCCTCCCCCAGCCCCAGGAGGAGGAATGGAGGTAACGGTACCATCTTGGGGGGCCACTAGGAGAATTAACAGAGATAATGTCTAAAAAGGACTTAGCCCTGGCTTGTGTGGCTCAGCTGGTTAAGAGTATCGTCCGTGCACTGAAAGGTGCTATCCTCGATCAGGCGTGTACAGGAGGCAACCAACTGATGTTTCTCCCTCACACCCACATTTCTCTCTCCCCCTCTTCCTCTCTCTCTATAAGCAATGAAAAAATGTCCTTGGGTGAGGATTAAAAAAAATTAAATAAAAAGGACTTAATAGAGCACTCAGTATATAGTAAGTGCTCAATAAATTATGTCTCCTATGATTACTATGTTACACAATATTATATATTTCATGGTGTTATTAATAAACAAGTGAGTGAAAGAATTACTAAGTAAATGCATGAATGAATGAGGTGAATTAACTTCAGTTTAAATCCTGACTTTGGCCTATGGTAGGAGTGAACTTTCATGTTCTTTGTCCCGTAGACTGGGAAAGACTAGATGTATTGCAGTATTATTTTTTTTTTTTTTGCCCTGTTGTTTCTGTTTTAGATTAAACCCAACAACATGTGCAGGATTCATCCAAAAAGTTCTCCCAATTCTTGGACAAGGATTCCTCCAAGTGAGCTAGAAGGTGGGGGGCTAAGCAAGAACACTTCATTTTCCTTCATTAGCATTAGTTTCAACTTCTTATTGACCTTTCTCTGGATGAATCATAAAGACACAAATAGATTTAAAAACCAGTGTGATCAAGAGAACGTAGAGGGAAATCTCCAGGATCATATTAACAGCCTAGAAATCAACCACCCAGAGTGAAGCAGGTCAGAAGGTAAAACTGATAGACAATGTAAAGTGTGTGAATGTACTGGGAGGAGACTTATAGAACCAAGGGAGAATCTGGAGCTAAATTATAATAAGTACATAAGAATAAAAAGGAGAAAAACAGGCAGAGTTAAAAAGAGAGAGACTTAGTTCCAGGAATAGCAAATAGTTTTGCAAGAAAAGAATAACTATAGTACACTCAATGGCTCATGTCAATGGTATTGACGGTATAACAATGCTGATTAATGATCCAATCAAAATCACAACTGAAACACACTGGGAAGATGGGAGATGGGAAGTGTGTCCATGTGAGAGAGAGCTTAGTCCTCACCTTTCCTGGTGAGAACTCAATAGATAAAGTCTAACAATGAAAAATCAGGGAACAGCTTTTGATTATGGCTGCTACTTGGTCTTGCACTCGGACCAGATGGTGGACTGACCTGTCACATGCCCTCCAGGAGGGAGTCTCTCTCTCCTGCTGACCTGGTGGAGCACTCGTGTGTTATCCAGCCTGGGAGCAGGGGACCCTGTGGCCCAAAAGTCACATGGCCAACGGCAGCACTGGCTCCACCTGCAACCTCTGGGAGGGAGCTTGAAGCTGGACAGCTGCTGGGAAGCAGCTCAGCTGCCTGGATGACCGCCTAGAAGCCGCCTCGGGCTCCAAAGCACAGCACTGCAAGATGGAGCAGGAATTCTGGGTGCTGCCTTTTGTTTTGGTCCTGCTGAAGACAGCTGGGTTTTGTCTGGGTTTTGTGCAGGAGGCGAGCTTTGAGAAGGGGAGTCCCCCATTGTCCCCTATCATTCTGCATTGGAATAAAAATCTTTTTTAAGAAAAATCAAGGAGCAGAAGAGCATGATATTTAGACATAAAAAGGAACACAAATACTAAAACAATCAGTTAAGAAAGTTGGGGGGACAATTGTAATTGAACAACAATTAAAAAAAAGAGAAAGTGGCAAGTGTGCCACTTTCTGGGAATGGGATCGGGGATCCACGAGAGTGCAGTCTTTTGTAACAAGCTTTGTAGAACTACTAATTAATTAATTTAATAAGCACTGACGTTCACTTTGCATCAGGCACTATTCTAAGTATTTCACAAATGTTAACCAATTTCTTTTTTAAAAAGATTTTATTTATTCCTAGACAGAGGGGAAGGGAGGAAGAGAGGGAGAGAAGCATCCCTCTCTTGCGCCCCCTACTGGGGACCTGGCCTGCAACCCAAACATGTGCCCTGACTGGGAATTGAACCAGGGGCCCTTTGGTTCATAAGCTGGCACTGAATCCACCGAGCCACACCAGTCAGGGTCAATTTAATTCTTATAACAAATTTATGCTATACATTCTGTTATCATCACCATTTTACAAATTTGCTGAATCCCTACTATGGGCCAGCCACAGGAGCAGGTGCAGGATAGTCAATGCTGAATGAGACCACGTCCCTACACTTAGAGACTTACAGTACAGAGAGGAACACAGACATCTCTGGACATACTCAGTGGAGCATGTTTGATAAAGTGCAGATTGTAAAATAGGTAGTGATGCCCGAGACGCGCTTTAAAGGTCAAGTAAGATTTAACCAGATAAAAATATGTCTATAACATGTTCAGGGCAGAAGAAAGAGCAATGAATATTGTTAGAATGAACTGAATTGATTGGTCCCCTCTTCCACAGCAAAATGGACGTTAAGAAGAATAGTATGTATAAGCTACTGGAAGGTTACGTAGCCTCCCACAAAACTGATAAAACTTTCTTCATATTAAGTTTACCTTTTAAGCCTTATCTTAAGGATATCTCAGCTGCAGCTTGAGCCCTGGAGTTGAACTCCTTACCAAATATAAGAGCCTGTGGAATAGTCACTAGGCCTCTCTGAACCTTGGTGTAAAATGAGGGTAAAATATCCCGTATCTCACAGGAATGCTGTGACAGTGAAGTAATACAGGACCATCCTTAGAACAGAGGAAGGACCTGGCCAAAACAAGCACTGGATAAATTCCAGCACAGAAAACTCTGTTGCGTGCCACTGCTCAAGGTGAGAAAAACTAATGAATAACTAAAAGTTACAATTCAGAAAAATATCAGCTGTGATTTCTTAACAAATTATGTGATACTTTAAGATATCAAACTTTGCCAATATACTAAAAATTCTTATTTTATGCTTCTCAGTAGTCCTTTATTGGGTGCCAGAATTTAAAATGATAAGATTTTGATAGGCTTCCACAAACAGCACTATGACTTCTGGCTGTCTTGTCCCCAACAGATGGGAGGATGAGGGCCGTGAGCTCAGGAAAATGCCCCGAGTGTGTCAGCATCTGCTCCTTCACCTTTTAGTCCTCCTACACTTGGAGTCTGCCTCTTCCTCCCCCCTAGAGCAGTAACCTGGCAAAACAACTGCCAGACTGCTTTCTCCAAAATGGGCCTCCTCTAAATCTCCCAATCCAGAATGTTCCAATGTAGTTCCTTGCACTACTTTGGGCCCAGTAAGTTTTCATGTTATCAAAAATCTGAGAGCTTAGAGAAGCATTTAACCTTGATCTTCAGTGTATCAGGGAAAGCTTCCTGGAGGAAGAGACATCCTCTGCCCTGACTCTGATGCAGCAGCAGGAGCAGGCTGGGGAAGGAGGGCCAAGGTGGGAGGGGTAACAGCATTTCCGCAGAGGAAGATGCTTGTGCCAAGGAACGCCTGGAAGCAGGCGGAGCTCGGCTCTTAGGGCTTAGAGCGGCTGCAGGGGCTCAGGGTGGTTTGAGAGGTAGGGGGAGGACAGAGAGGAGAGACAGTGCGGGGCAGGGGAGGACCCAACGCAGGGGCCACCTCATGAAGGCCTCGTTAGTGTCTAAGCGTTTGGATTTTGTTCCTAGGATCCTTAGGGGGATGAGGAGAAACTGCATGTTTTAAGCAAAAGAGTAGCATGATGAGATAGGGGTTTCTGAGCGCGATCCATGAGGAATAGCCTCTGCCTCGACCCCAGTGAGCCTCAGCTGCCTCCTCTGAAAGCAGGATCAGTAAACCTCCGCTCAGAGGGCTGTGCTGAGCCTTGAACGGGTAACTGCTGGGCTGCTCCCAGCACAGGGGACACCGCTTCTCAGTTTCTCTCCCAGTGTTTGTAACAGGAAGGCAAGTCTGCTGCTCTTCCTCAGGCTCCTAAACCCTCAGGGTCACCAATCCTTAGTGACTTTTGAAAGAGGTGTCTAGGAGGACGTTTCTGGACCTAGGCTGTCTAAATGTGAAACTCTTGGGGCTTGGAGGTTCTTCCCTGTGGACAGAAACTTGTGCATTTTCTGAAGCTTCACCATTTCAGTTCCCAGTGGTGAATGAGCAGGGTATAGACACGGCCCTTTCGCTAAGATGGCCCAGGGCCCAGAAAACCGGGGTGTCTCTGTGGGCTGGGCTAGGCCACTGCTCTCCAACAGGCATGCGGGAAGGAGTCCTGGACTAAGGAATGTAAGACGTTTTAGAAAAAAATATGATGACTATTAATTATTGGCAGTTTCCATGCCAGGCTCTTTCTATGGGTTAGCTCTTTTATACATGACAACTATCCACATTTCTTATGGCCAGTGAAGCAGGCCAAAAGAATTTAGGTAACTTGCCTGAAGTAACAGTGGGCAGAGCAAAGATTTGAACCCCAGGTATTTTTAGGGTTAAAGCTCCTTCTACAGCTCCATCTTTTCCTTTGGGGGAAACTAAACAGTAACTCCTTTACCTGATTAATTTAAACCTGTGGCTCGTCCAGAGTAGCCACCCCTACCACAACATGGTCCCGCAACGGAGCCATTATAAAGGAGAAGATCTTGGAATTCTATTTATATGTTATTATCTTATCCTTTTAAATGCCTATTTTCCATATGTTTTATAGTATACATACTATATTAGTATAGGAATATGTATATAATTTCTAAATAATTAATGTATTAGGGGCTGAATTCTCATAACTGTTTTACTGAGAGAAAGAGAGAGAGAGAGAGCCAAGATCAAGAAAGCTTGGGGACTACTGATAAAAAGGTATAGCCAGGATTCCATGTAAAGGCAAATATTCATGGGACACTTTGCAAATCCCCCAAAATACATTCATACTCCCTTTGTGAAGACCATCATCTGCCATCAGGACTTTTAAAATCCAAATATGACGCCGTGGTTTCCCTGCTGAATGTACTTCAGCGGCTCTCCGTGACTTAGAAAAAGTGCGCCATGGCCACCCCTTCACGATCTGCCCAGGGACCGTCTCCAGGCTCACCTCTCCCCGAAGCCCCTCACACTCCTTCCTGACCGCCTGCCTCAGAGCCTCCGCCTCCACCGTTTCGTCCACTGAGGAGGCTAGCGTCTTTCCTCACCCCCTGCCTTCTGCCTGGCTAACACCAGGCTCCGGTGAAGACACACCACTTCTGGAAAGCGTTCTGGCCCTGACCAGTGTGGCTCAGTTGGTTGGAGCATCATCCCGTACACCAAAACGTTGTGGGTTCAATTCCTGGTCAGGGCACATGCCTAGGTTGCTGGTTTGATCTCGTCCGGGCACATGTGGGAAGCAACCAATTGATGTTTTTCTCTCACATCAATGTTTCTCTCTCTCCCTTCGTCTTTGTATAAAAATCAATAAACATATTTTTTTTTAAGTGTTTCTGCATGGCTCCAGGCTGCTGCTTTCTTTGCTTCCTCTGTCAAATAGTGCCTCTGGAACTTATGGCATTTATCTGTTGATATATCTGCCTTCTCTCTACCAGACTGTAAGCCCTCTGAAAATAGGGACTATATCTTAGTTACTGCTATTTACCCAGTGCCTACAGCAGGGAACTTCTGAAACCTCTCCACTCCTGGGCTTGCTGCTGTACAAAATGCACTAGGTAATCTTTACCTCATATGGCTGTTACAAAGGTTACAGTGAACCCTGGCTAGTGTGGTTCAGTGGACCGAGTGCCAGCCTGCAAACCAAAGGGCCCCCAGTTTGATGCCTGAGGTGCGGACCAGTTCCCCAGTAGGGAGCACATGAGAGGCAACCACATTGGGGTTTCTCTCCCTCTCTCTAAAAATAAATAAATAAAATCTTTAATAATAAAGGTTACAATGAGGTCATGTTCCTAAAGTGTTTAGCTTAATGCTTGGCACAGAGTAGCCAGTTAATAAATGATAGCCATTGTTATCATATTATAATTTAATATTGTTAGTTACTATATTTTAAATAAATTAATGGGCAAAAGAGTAAACACATGAATAAATGTAGTCACCCAAGCAAAAAACTCCCCACTCCTGTTTTTCACTCAGCCTAGGAAAAATTATTAATATAATACACTCTCTCCTTTATTCTGGGAATCGTTATTTTTATTTTTCAGTCATTGGCCAAAATTTTCTTTTTCTTCTGTTGTTGTTCTACCTACCTGGAATCAGAAATATCAGACGCTCCGTTGGAGCTTTCTAGGGAAGATAATTCCAGGGAAAATAATTCATCAGGCCTTGAAAGAGGTAAGGGAGGGTAGTTCACTTTCTGTCTCTCTTTCTCTTCCTTTTCCTTCCTGGGGGGAAACAAAAAAGACACCAACAGAAATCAGCTCAAAAATTGCGTGTGATTTCTTCAGAGTTTTCACTGGAATCTTGATAGGTGTTGAGAGAAAAGGTTTACAAACCATTCAGTAACACTGACAATAGCAGGCAACGGAAGCAGAGAGCTGAGTACATACACCACAATCATGCCCTCACTCATTTTCTAAGCAGTGACTGAGGACCTGCTGGGCACTGGGCGCTAGACTAGGCCCTGGGAGAACAAGGTCAGCTAGGACAAGATTCTAAACCTCGGGAACAAACCTTCAATCTAGGGAGCTGGACAAGCAAATCTATGACTAGAGTATGCTCTGTGGAGTGTAATCAGAAGAGAACAGGGCACCTCATGGGTACCCTGAGTTGCGGGCAAGTCAAGGAAGACTTCCTGGAGGTGATACCTGAGCTGGGTTTTATGGGGTTGGCTTGTTAAGAAGTAGTTGAGCCATGGCTGGCATGGCTCAGTGGATCCAACACTAGCCTGTGAACCAAAGGGTTGCCGGTTTGATTCCCAATCAGGGTACATGCCTGGGTTGCAGGCCAGGTCCCCAGTAGGGGGGCGCACAAGAGGCAGCCACACATTTATGTTTCTCTCTCTCCCTTTCCTCAACCCTTCCCCTCTCTCTAAAGATGAATAAATAAAATCTTTTAAAAAATTACAAAAAAAAAAGTAGTTGAGGGTTAGTCAGGTCTGAGGGAACAATGATAACATTGGTGAATTGGACTGTGTTAGATTTTTATCCTTGTGAGCTGAGAATCTAAAATGAATGTCAGAGAGAGTGTTAATGAGGCCCCACTGGTCCTGTACATGGGTCTTGACCTAAACTGCTATTATCAAAAAACTATGGTCCTTTTCCGGTTCAAAGGAAAATTCAAATGAGAAGGTTTAAGAACAGAAAGTTCCCTTGGGTAAATTTTTCAACTCACTGAGATCTGATTTCTTCATTTCTAAAATAAAGAGTATAACACCACTCACCTCTGGTAGAGGTGGTTTGTTACCAACCCACATCCACTCTTCCCTTTTTATTCAGCAATGAAACCAGTTTTTGTTTAGGGTGGCAATGAGCCCATATTTAAAAAATAAAATAAACCTACATTTCCAGCCTCCCTTGAAATTAATATAACCATGTGACTAATATCTGGCCCTTGGAATAAAGTGGTAATGTTATATGGTACTTTTGGGGGGGGTTATTAAAGGGGGGGGTAATAGGGATTCACTACAAATGGGCATGAGGGATCTTTCTGGGGTGATAAAAAAGTTCTGAAATTAAAGTAATTATTGCAAAACTTTAAATTTACATATTGTAAATTTAAATAAAACAATTTTAAATAAACATATTGTACCCTTAAAATGAGCAAATTTTATGGTAAATTGCAACTCAATAAAATTATAAAGTAGTAATAATCATATAATTATAAAAGAGCATTTAAAATGTTTTTAAAATAATATTTCCTTGCAAAGGAAGAAGGTGTAACCACGTAGTCACGCTGTAGCAGGGGTATAAGCGGTATGTGGCTTGGGACTGCTGGAAATGCTCCTCAAACGGGCATGGGGTTCTGGATGAAAAGGAAATTGATGGAGAGAAATATTCCACGCTAACACTAACCAAAAGAAAGCAGAAGTGGCTGCACTAATTTCAGACAGAGCACACTTTAAAGCAAGGAAAGTCATTAGGAATAAGTAAGGCTATTATACAATAATAGAGGTCAATTCTCCAAAAAGACATCATTCTTAACATCTATGCTCCTACCAACAGAACATCAAACTACATGAGGCAAAAAACTGAACTGCCAGGGCAAATATATGAACCCACTATCATAGCTGGAGACTTCAACACTGTCTACCAGAACCTGACAGATCCAGCAGGCACAGGTCAGTAAGGACATAATTAAACTTAGCAATATCATCAATCAACAGGGTATAACTGACACCTAAGACTACACCACCCAGCAACCTCAGAGTACACATTCTCCTCAAGTTTACCTGTAACATACACCACGATAGACCACATTCTGGGCCAAAAAATATACCTGAACAAATTTAAAAGAATAGAAATCACATAATGTCTGTTCTTAGACCAAAATGGAATCAAAGAGAAATCAGTAACAGAGAGCTGGAAAATCCCAAAATACCTGGAGATAAACAACATACTTTTAAATAATGTGTGGGTCAAAGAAGAGATCTGAACAGAAATTTTAAAATATTTTGAATAAATGAATGTGAAAACACAACTTACCAAAATTTGTGGTATGCTGAAAGTAATGCTTAGAGGGAAATTTATAGCATTATATGCATATACAAAAGAAAAAATATCTAAAATCAATCATCTAAGTTTTCATTAGAAATAAGAGCAAACTAGGAAAGTTAGAGGAAAAAATTAATTCCAAAGTAAGCAAATGAGTAAAAAAAATTAAAGCAGAAATAAATGAATTTAAAATAGGAAATCAACAAAATGAAAAGCTGGTTCTTTGAAAATATCAATAAAATTGACAAGCCTCTAGCCTGGCTAACTAAGAAAAAAAGAGAAAGGACACGAATTACTAATATTGGAAATGAAGGAGGAGACATCACCACAGATCCCATGAACATTAAAAAAATAACAAAGGAGCATTATGAACAACTCTAAGCCCATAAATTGGAAAACTTAGATAAAATAGACCAATTCCATGAAAGACACAATCTGCCAAAACTTGCACAAGATATAAACCACCTGAATAAATCTATATATATTAAAAAATTTAATGAAACATTAATAACCTTCCAAAACAAGCTCAGATGGGTTCACTGGTGAATTCTACCAACATTTAATGAAGAAACTATACCAATTATCTATAATTTCAGAGAGCAGAAGCAGAGGGACTACATCCTAATTCGTTCTATGAAGCCAAGCATTACTCCAGTACCAAAACCAAAGATATCACAAGAACACTATAGATCAATATCTCTCATAAGCATAGATGTAAACATCTTCAACAAAATATTAGCACATTGAAATCAACAATGTGTAAAAATAAGTATAGATCATGACTAAGTGGGATCTGTCCCAGGTATGCAAGGCTGGTTTAATGTTTTCTCAATTAATATAATCCATCACATTACCACCCTAAAGAAGAAAAATCATATGATCATATCACTAGATGAATAAAAAGCACTTTTAAAAAATCCAAGAATTCATGACAAAAACTTAGCAAACTAAATACAAGGGGACACTCCCTGAATTGGATAAAAAATATCTACCAAAAAATGCCACTAATGTCAAACTTAATGGTGAGAAGTTTGAAGCTTTCCCACTAAGGTCAGAAACAAGGCAAGGATGTTCCCCTTCATCACTGCTTTTCTTTCTTTATTGATAATTGATAGGTGGAGTTTTAGAGAGAGAGAGGAAAGAAGAGAGGCAGACAGAGAGGGAGCTGGAACTCCAGCAGCCAACTTGACAGGCTACGAGGGTCCCTGAGGAAGGATGCCAAGGGCTAGGAAGATTTTGTTTTGCTTTTGTTTTCTGGAGAAATTGAAATAAATTGACTTCAGGCTTGGGGATACTAGATTAGTAGAAAATAAAGTTAAGTGGAAGTCTATCTCCTAAATGCAGGATCCCTACTCTTTTTTCTTTTTCTGTCCCACCCCTATTTCTTTCCTCTGTTTGCAGAATGCCATTAGCCAGGCATATGCCCCACAGGCTAGTGACTGGAGGGTTCTCCTCTCAAGGAAATGAGTTGCTGCTGAGAAGCACAGGGAGATGCTGCTCTCTGAGGGTCTTTTAGTGAGAAGGCTGGCTTGCTTTCCTATTGCCGAAAAGAGAGCAGGCCCAGAAACTGGAAAGCCACACGTCTGATAGTTGCTTCCACTGTCATTGTCTTAGAGTTTCACTCTTATTATAAAGATGGCCCAGGACTATCAATAATTTGAGGAAAAACTCAAAGATGAAAGAGAGAGTTCAAAACAAGCAAATAACAACAAAAGCAACAAGAACAACAACAACAAAAAAACCACATAAAAATGCCAAGAAAGATACCCATAGAAATAATATGGGGGTCAGAAGAAACTTCAAAAATAGAGATTAATGCCCTGGCTGGTGTGGCTCAGTGGTCTGAGTGCCAGCCTGCAAACCTAAGGCCTGCCGGTTTGATTCCCAGTCAGGGCACATGCCTGGGTTGCTGGTCAGGTCCCCAGCTGGGGGCTTAGGAAAAGCAGCTAATCAATGTTTCTCTCCCTTTCTTTCTCCCTCTCTTCCCCCCTTTAAAAATAAATAAATAAAATATTTTTAAAAATAAAGATGAATATCCTTAGTTAAAGGTGAAAATATCACATCCATGAAAAAGAAGAGAATGCTATGAAAAAGGAACGGCTAAAATATAAGACAAAGAAGATTCTAGGAAATTAATAATTAAGTAGAATTTTTAAAATGAAAAGAAGTGTTGGAATACAAAATGTAGAGATTCTCCTAGAGAGTAGGACAGAAGTTCATACTGGTGCAAACAGACGAATGAAGATACGAAGATTAGAAAATCATTCCAGGAGGTCCGATAACCAAGTATAATCCAGAAAAACAGAGCTAGGAAGATAAAGGGAAAAAATTAAATAATAAAAATTCTTAGAACTGGAGGATACTCCTCTCCAGTCTGAGAAGGTTCCCAATCCCAATGAAACATATTAAGAAAAAGACTGCAAACAGAAAAAGAAAAAAGAAAAAGACTGATACCAAAGCATGTGATCATGAAACTTCAGACCACTAGGGATAAAGACAATATCCTAAAACCTTCCACAGAAAAAAATAGTTGACATACAACATTCAAGGCCATAGAAATCAGAATGGTTTCATGCTTTACAACAGCAAAACTAAAAGGTAGGAAAAAACATTTTTTCAACATTGTGTGGCAAGTTGACTTTTCATTTAAACACTTGTCAAATATGAACAAGAGCAAAGTCATCTTAAACATGTAATGACTAAAAAGCCAACTTTCCATGTACCTTTTCTTGCAAAACTACTAGAAGATGTGCTTCAACAAAATGAGGAAGTAAAGTAAGAAAGAAACAGATATGTGACCTGGGAAACAGAGACTCTACCTGAGTATAGGGGACAAAGGGAAGTCCTCGGATGATGGTGGAAAAAGCTCCCGAAGGTAACTGTGAGCAGCCCTAGAGCAAACCAGTCCAGACCGGAGGAGGACAGGGCCTGAGAAGAATTCCAAATAAAAAAAAAAATACAAAGAAGGAGGAGAAGAAAGGGGGAGAAGAGAGGAGGGAGGAGAAAGGAGGAGAAGGGAGAAGAAGAAGGAGAGGAAATAATAAAATATCTCCTCACTTTGAGGACCTTCTGCCTCAACTTTTTCTTAACCCTATGGAGTCCGCATCTGCCTGCAGCAGAGCGGAAAGAACAGGCAGCAAACTGCACCTGTCCCTGTTATGAACACGCTATCTAACAAAATATACATAGAATGTATATGATACATTTGAGAATATGGAAAATAATGCTGCTTAGTTTTGGATAGCTCTTAACAATCTAGAAAAATACGATCAACAGATTATGTCTTAGAGGAAAACAAACTCAAGAAATACACATGTAAGCAAGTTATTTAGAAGAATGGGTGAAAGCTCCAGAGCTGCGGATTGCATTTCTGTCCAGGTGACCCCTGGATGGCGGCCTCTGGGCTGCAGGACAGCAGCCTCCAGGTGTGGCCTGCGAGCCCCTCCACTCCCTCCTCTGCTCCCCCCTCACTCCCTGACCAGCCACACCCAGTGGCAGGCTGGTGACTTCTAGCTCTACAAGCTGGCTTTAGGGTGGCAGCCCATTCATTCTTCCCCTCGCCAGCAACAAGCAGCACGATGCTTCCTGCTGCGTTCCCTTTTCAAGTGCTCTCTTAGAACCTACGCAACTTGTTGCATGTTACCTACTTACATTATCTTTTTTTTCCTCTTTCCAGACTGCAGGGACTTTAACTTATTTATTTCTTTGTATCATTAACGTCTGGCATAGAAGGTCTTTAGTCAATGTTTACTTGGCATGTCTGTGCTTCCGTTCTCTATTCAGTAAAATGAGAGTGATGTTATTGAATAGGATTTGATAAGATATAAATAAAATAAAGTGGGCACAATGTCTTTGTCTGATGGCATGTCACCCATTCTACCCCACGTCATTGACTGTGCCCTGCCCTCTCAGGCCTGGCTCTTCACTGCACTGTTCCTTCCTACACACAGTTGATCCAGACCAGGTGGGCGGGGCATCAACTAGCAGAGCAATCAAGGCTTTGATGAGGTTTGGCACCTGGAGGCTGGGAAGGGATGTAACTCTTCCTTTAGGTCCTGTGCTGTGAGGACACAGGCTCATCTCTGGCTTCTTTCTTTCTCTGAGACAAGGGGCAGCTTGAAAGCCAAGCCAGAAGGCAGAGGGAAAGAGGTCAACAGAGGGAGGGAGAGAGAACCTGAAAATATCAAGCCCTTAGGTCCGACATGCCGGCAGCCAGCTGTCTGTGGGCTGCCTGGTCACTGAAGCCACTAGCTTTTCCTTCTGCTTGAGCTCGTCTGAGTTGGTTTCCTGGCACTTGCAACCAGAGCTCTGACTGACGGGGTGTATAAAGTACTAATGCCCGGCACAGAGGAAGGACAAAACCATTGGCAGCTCTTTCAGCTACCATTAATAAAAAAACAATAAAATGAGAATTGAGTGAGTCACATATAAAAGTGAGTGAACGTTTATGTATTCTTTGCTGTATTCTAAAAATTCTTATATTGTTCACATTTCTACTTTTCCCATGGTCTTTTTTTTTGAACAAACCTTAAAAGAAATGCAGCCTCCCTCTGAAGGCTTCCTCTAGATTTCTTTTCAAAGGATTCTTCATTGAGGACTGAACGGCGGATGAACATGTGGTTTGCCTTTTTCTTATCTGCTTCTCGTTGGTCTACATTCTTCACTTCCCTGTGAAAAATCACAAAGACACATTGAGGAAAAGACTACCGAGCCAGCACGATCTTTCCCCGCCAATCTTCATCTGTAAAGAGACGCAGATATTTACAAACCTATTCATTACATCTGCCAAGAGAAACTGAACAGAGAGCTGACCACGCAGCAGCAACTCAGCCCTTGCTGTGTGCCAGAGGCCGTATCAGCCCTGGGGACAGAGAGAATATGGATGGTCCTTGAGCTCAAGGAGCACATACTCTGATTAGGAAGACAGGTGAGGAACTCCACAATCCGAAAGAAAGCTGAAGCGCCAGCTTTGAGGGCAAGCTGAACAACTCAAGTTCGTGCTCTGCCGCCTGCTGCGTGGCCTTGGGCAAACCCCTTCACCTTGTCATGCCAGTGCACCCATTTGTCTCAGCGTGGTCGTATCGGAGCCCGGGGCTGTGGTGAGTATGGAGTTACCACAGGGAGGAGCTTAGTGCCTCGCCCAGCGCGCAGGGATGCTGGGTAAACGCGGGTTGCTGCCGGTACAGGAGGCTCCCCATGGAATGTGTTTAGCTAAGCTTGGGGTATGCAGTGGGAATGCTGAGTTGGGCAACGTATCAGCTGGCTTCTGATGTATGAGTGCATGTTTATTTGATGAAGAAGCAGGTTTTGAGTGTTGGAGGTAGACCAAATAGCGATAAATATATGCATGGGAAGAGCAGGGTGCTGTACGTACTTCTCTGCTGTGGTGGGGTACACGCAAAAAGACTGATATTTAAACACTAGCATTGAACGTGGCCTAAACCAGTAGTTATTCCAACAATGAGGATCTTTCCGCAAGTCAAAGGAAAAATTGTGTTGACACAACACTGTCCCCTTTGTGATCTCTGCCACAACCTATTCTTAACTTTTTGGAGTCTGCTTTTGCTCGCAACGGAGAGGCAAAAAACAAGCAGCAAATTGTCCTTGTTAATGATCTTGTTTCTCTAACAGAAAAACCTACATGTAATTCCTTGATAATATTTTCTTTACTGTCATTACTTGACATGTTGTACCCTGCACGTCTTAGGCTTCTACTTTCCATTAGTAAAAGTACCATTAGCTTGTATAAGAGAATCCTATGTTGAAACATTTCATGGAGTTCTGCAAAACACATTTGGAATTATGGATGCTTTGCCTGCAGACAGGAGTAGGGGTCGGGGCTCGACTCCCAAGAAGATGAATCCTCCAGCAGGTGGGTCCCACTCCTTCGCTAGGTAGCCCCATCTGCACGTGCAAACTGGCTCTCTCCCCGCTCGGAGCAGAGAGCCCGGTGGTGACCCACCCATGGTGCCCAGGCCTGACCACAACACTGGGTTCTATTCTGAGAAGTAGAACCACCTGAGCCAGGCACTGAGCTAGACATCTCCTTTCTCACACACAGCTACTCCATGGGCACTTCTAGGAGTGTCCCTGGGGTACAGAAGGTATCCAAGCCTCCCAGGGGCAAAGTCACGGACCTAATTCACAGTGGATGAGGCAGCTGTAACTGGCGCTTTGGTCCGTCCCATTCGGTACCAGTGCTCCTTACTCGTGTGCTCGATTAGGGAAGTAAGTGTAACTGATGTCCCAAAAGGGCCCTAGCCCACCTACAAGTAATATTCTGCATTGACAGCTGTCACCTTTTGTTTGTGTTATGTCTACCATTTTAAAAAACATTTAAAATTTTATAACATATAAAGTTCACATATAAAAATACAGGAAGTAGCATAATGAACACTATTTACCCCATCCTCTAACTTCAACAGTTATCAACAAAAGGTCAATTTTGACTCATTTATTACTCCCTTTGCCCCCAACCATACCCCAAATAGGTTATTTTAAAGCAAATCTTATCAACACTATGCCATTTTATCCATAAATACTTCATTAGTTATGGCTTTAAGATATGACTCTTCAAAAATAACTACAAAATTATAACATCTTTTCAAAAGGAACAGCAAAAAAGGACTTCCTTAATACCATCTAAAACTCAGTCACTGTTCAATAAAATAAAAATCTGGTTTCTGTTGTTACGGAGTTTACATTCTGACCACAAGAAAGCTCAATGCGCTTAAGATGTTAGAGGGCAAGCCCCCCATTAAAAATTACTCCGTGTTACCAGAGACAAGGGCCGAAACCCGGCCACTTCCGTCCAGCCCTGAAGTACCTGAGGAAGTTGTCCTGCAGTTGCTTTAGGCGCTCGTCAAAGTAAGCCCATTCACTCAGGTGGAGGCGGTTCAGCTGCCGGAGGATGTTCCTTCGCTTCTTCATGTTGCACAGGGTCATGCTGATGACCTCGGCGTAGGTCAGGCTGGACTCGGTGGCCCTCACAGTCAAGGAGAACCCTGCCCCGTCGGTGGACCCCGACTCTCAGCATTATTGGTGGGGTGTGCCTGGAACTGGTGGCGAGGGATGGTGAGAAGGCAGAGTGGGGACACTGTCTGTCTGTGGATGGGTAACGGAAGCCTGAGCAGGAAGTGATTCTCTGCTCTTTGACCTTGGCCTGCTTTGGAAGGTCATTCTCCCTGCAGCCAGGCCCCTCCCTCGCTTTGAATAAAGCCCTCCTCTCTCCCTGCTGACGGAAGGGCTAGGGAATGCTTTTCCAGACTGCCACCTAAAAGCCTCGCTCTGTCATCATAGTAGTGAACAGGAAGGAGTTCCAACTTTTTCTTTCCTTTCAGGTCCAAGGCCTCATTTCCTGCTCATGTTTGTTGAAAGATTTCCTCTGCCTCCCGCCCCCTCCACCCCTTCTGGATGGGTCAGAATCTCAGCTACACTCGTCACTTGCTGCGGGAACTCAGACAAGATACAAGTCATCCTTTATGTCTCTAGTTCCTTATCTATAAAATAGGGATAAAAAATGCCTGCCTTAAATGATGGTAATAATAATAATGACAGTTATTATTTATTTAACACCAGCAGCATGCCATTTAATCCTGGTCACAACACTGCTGGTTTGGTCTAACTATCCTTATTTTAGGAAAGAGATGATAGAGATATTGAGCTCAGAGGTTAAGCTGTGCACATGCTGCTGAGCTGGGACTCAAATCCAGGGCTGTGCACCCGAGCCCAGGCTGCTTCCACTGAACTACGCAATCTTTACAGAGCCATAGGTGATACAAGAAAATACATTTTACATACCATAAAGACCATGAACTGTGGCTTGTTACTCGCTGCTTACAGACATATGAGTAGGTTTGTGGCTATGAAGTGCTATAAGGCAGCAGCTGCGAGTCCTAGCTAGTTCACTGCAACAGCACGTCCTGGAGGGGAGCTACAGATGGCCGGGACCATTCAAGCACGTGTTACCCGCCAGGCACCACGCTAAGCCTTTCCTACCAGTGTGCTCATCCTCTGCAAAACAGTCTTATGAAGCAGGTACAGTTACCCCCAATTTACAGGTGAAAAGATGACGCTCCAAGAGACGCTAGAACTTGTTTAAGACCCTCAGCTGGTAAGCAGTTGAGTTGGTTCCTGAGTCCAGGTCTATCTGAGTCCATATTCTAACCTCTCTGCTAAACTGCTGAGACTCAGGACACCAACACATCACACCTGTTTTCTTAAGGACTGAGCTTTTTACCGAATCTTTAGGACAAATGCCAATGGGGTAAGGACTTTGCTGATGTGTCTGGGGGAGGGGTGTGTGTGAGGAAGGTGTTAGAAAAAACGTACACCTAAACACAAAAGTTCCTGCTTAATACATACTTCACGGTCACTGAGCGTCTGGAAGGCACTGCTGATTGCAAGGTATGTTAGAATATCTAGTTAGCCCTTTCATTCTGGCATATGGGAAGGAATTTTGCACATGGGGTAATTCAACTTGCCCAGGTTGCACGCAGCCAGTTCATGGGGCAGATGTGAATCTCAAATGAGCAAGATTCTGACCCTGAGGCTTACATCAATGGTGACCCTGAAGAGGCACCTACTATGTGCCATGGGGTATAATAAGGGCTAGATGCCTCTCCCCTACCCTTACTTCTGGGATGAGGAAGCAGGGGCCTGGAGTAACATGTGCCCAGCCCGTGCAGGAAAGGATATGGGATGGTCTTGGTTCTTTCCCTCCTGACTATCAACACGTCCTTGCCGCCCTGCCTCAGGGTGACGTGGTTCAGGAGGAAGTACACGATCAGAGGGCTCTTCCCATAAACGTTGAAGAGGTTTGCAGTCAGCTCAGGGCTTTTGCAGGCAGGGTGAGACTGAGCAGGAAAAAGAGAGGAAAAAAAAAAAAGAATATTGTCATTTTTACAGTAAGCATAAAGCAGTATAAAGGTGCTCATGTCCTTTGATCTGGTCAGTCCAGTTTTAGGGTGCTAAGGACATTTGCCCAAATGAAGAAAAGTGGTGTAGGCACAAAGACTGCAGAGGTTTTTACTGTAACAAAAGATTAGACTAATGTTCAAGAAGTTATTGATATCCCTAGCCAAAGGCATATTATGCCACTGTTAAAATGTTTATGAAGAGTTGGTACTAAAATATTGTTTAAGACATAATAGATTAAAATAAAATGCAAAATTGAGTAGATATTATATATTTTATATAAAATAAATATAATTATACGAAATAATTTGGTAAAAAAAATATAGATGAGAGACTGGAAGCATAGTTACCAAGTATTTGCTGGGTTACTGCCATGTGCACGCTGTTCTAGGCACTGGAGAGTCAGCTGAAAATAAGACAAATTCTGGCCCTTGTAGAGCTTGCATTATAGTTGAGCAAAAAACAATAAACCAACCAAGAAATAAAAGAATACCATGATGCTGTGGAATGAGTGCTTCAGATAAGAATGAAGCAGGGCAAGGGGTGAAGGCCAGCGTGGCAGGAGACTGGGGAGAGAGGAACCTTCTGCAGTGTGGGCAGGGAAGGTTGCCCTGAGGGGGCGGTCCTGGCCGATCCTGAGTGATGGGTGGGAGGGAGATCTGTGTGATGTTCCAGGCAAAGGGGACCCTGACTGGCGTGGCTCACACAGAGACTCTCTGATGGAGCTGAAGAGGCAGCAGGGCTCTGAAGTAATTAGGAAAGAATTAGAATCTTTTCTAGGCCCTAGGAAGGACTTAGAATCTTTTCTCAGTGTGATGGAAGCCACTGGAAAATTGTGAGCCAGGTACAGCATAATTTGGTTAATGTCTCACAAGATCCCTCTGACTGCTGTGTGGAGCGATAGCTGCAGTGGGTGAGCGTGGGCACGGGAAGGGCAGATGGGAGGCCTCTGCAGGGAGGCGGGGAGCGGACGAGGCTGGGACTGGGTGGTTGGCAGCGAGTGAGAAGTGATCAAATGCGGCCCTGATGGGTGTGGCTCAGTGGGTTGCGCATCGTCCAGTGAACCAAACTGAAAGGTTGCGCATTGGATCCCGTCAAAGCATGTGCCTGGGTGGAGGGCCAGGTCCTGGCTGGGGAGGTGTGAGAGGCAACTGACTGGTAAGTCTCTCCTTCTCTTTCTCCTTCCATTCTCCTCTCTCTAAAAATAAATAAACAAAACTATTTTTAAAAAGCAATCAAATATGTATTATAGTATGGAACCAGAACTGGCAGGGTTTGCTGATGGACTCCATGTGGGTGTGAAAAAGGGAGGAGGCCAGGATGACTCCCCAGGGTTAGGTGCTGGCTGCTGAGGGGGGAGTCCTGGGGAGGAACAGCTTAGCAGAGTGGGAAAATCCAGCGGTCCGACTTAGACGTGCTACATTTGAGATGCTAAAAGTCAACCAAAAGGAAATTAATCACGAAAGAGAACAGACTGGGGCTGGGAGTGATTTGCTTTCTATTGCTATAGTCCTCTGCCTTTTTCTAAAGATGTCAATAATGATTATGTACTACTTTTGTATTTAAAAAAACAATGCATTTTTATTTTGAAAAAGTTGTTATAATTTAACCAAACAAAAATTCTGTCTCATGAATAACAGCTGCAGCAGCACCCAACCACGCTCTTCTCCAATCCTACCGTTTTAGTTGCTTAATGAGATTTTTTTTCTATCTACAGCTGGGTCTCCCAACCTCAGCATGTCACCATTTTGGGCCAGATAATTCTTTGATGTGGGACACTATCCCGTGCACGGTAGGATATTGAGCCACATCCCTGGCCTCCACCTGCTAGAAGACAGGCAGTACTACTCCATCCCCAGTCCTAGCCCCACTGTGACAACCAGAGACGGCTCCAGACATGGCCAGATGTCTCCACGGGGGTGAAATCACCCCCCGCTGGGACACACTATTCTATAGTGAGACCCCGCTGGAGTCACGGAAACTTGGGGCTGGTAGGGAACCTATAGGTCAGTCAGTCTGATGATTCCTAAACCCCATCTCCAAGTGGGGCCGGTCTGTGTTCACTGGTCTCCACTGAAATAAGGGAAACAAACAAACAAAAAAAACCATTATAATACATCTGACATAAAGTAAACTGATTCACTTGAAGGACTCTCTTTTATCTTAAGATTGTTGTCTTTACTTTTTTATAATGATGACTTTTCTTTCATGAAATGACAGTGATGACAGCAGCCATTGGTTTTGGTGAGTTTATTTAGAAAAACAAAGTTTTCAAAGTCTAGAAAAATCCAAAATGGATCAAGGATCCACTACGCTTATCAGAGAATTATTCTTTTGACTTCCAGTATCCATTTTCCTTTCCAACAGACCCGAGACTTACGTGTTTGGGGAGTTTACCTGCCCTCTACTGCACCTGGGCTTGAGGAGGCTTTAAACCAAAAATAAAAATGGAACCGTACCAAGCCTGCTGGGCTTCATTTTCCCAATTCCACAGGAGAGGGCCAGGAAAGTTAAACAACTTGCTCAAGTAACGCAGCAGATGAGATGCAGCACCAAGATTTGAACCCATCTGTCTGTTTTTTCTGCCACGCCCTGTTACTTCTCAAAAGTTTCATGCCAAATGCTGACAGAACATAGGCAGTGGTAATAGATGTGGAGAAATGAAGAAGGTTCAAGAAATCTCCTACGATACCTGCTGTACTTGGACCAAAGTCTACAGCATGACTCCTTTACTAGCTGGTATCTTGGGAAAGCCCCACAGCCTCTTGCCCTGTTCAGGGTCCTGAGGGCCTCTCCGCACTACATAAGATGGAAGGTGCCACTGATATAAACTACCCAGCACCGAGGTTTGTGGGCCGGATTTGGGGAGAGGAAGGGGACAGAGGAGAGCACACGTCACCCAGTGAGCCCTGAGGCCCGTGGGCTGTGCTAGCGGCAGGGCCGGGGAAGTAAGAGGAAAGAGCTCAGGCTCAGAGCCAGACGGATCCCCAGGCAAGGCTCAGCTCTGTGAACTTGGACAAATGAGTTACTTGCTCTGAGCATCCTATATTATTCCTCACTAATAAACTGAAGAAACAGCAGGCGTGATTATCCCAGAGGGCCGTGGCAGTTAAACAAAATATACTGCATGCGCGGGGTTAGTGCAGTGCCTGAATTGTGTAAGTGTTTCTGACATGGTAATTATCACCACCACCTCAGGTAAACCTTGTAATGCCATGACCTGGGAATTACTGTCTCTACTTTATAGATTAGGAAACAGAGGATCGGTGCTCACTCTCTACTACACCCAGGCTCCTGAGTTTCAAGCAAGTCATTTAATCCCTAGAGAAATTCAGACAAAATGTTTACTCAATTTGTGCTTACCTCAGCCAGGGATTTCCCTTAGGAGATTTCCTGACTGTATCATATAAATCTACATAAGAAATACCCCAGTTCTTGTGTAAAGTGGATTTACAACAGAACTATGGCTAGAAGCCTCAGTACTGTCCAACAGAGTGTGGAGGGAAGCTTTTTTCCTCTTTAGAATTAGCTTTCCCAGGTATGTTTCTTGAAGAATTGAAAGTCCAAGTGCTCAGGACTTTTACACCTGTTCTACTTGGCTTGGTTTGAGTGATTAGTTTATTAGCCTTGTAATGGCCAAGAATACTTGACTCTTAAGTATTCAGGCTCAACAGCTGAAGTTAACAATATGGAATGTCCTCAATTTTTTAAAGATAAAAACAACTTGTAAATGTATTTGTCTGTAAAAATTGTGTATATTTTTACGGAAAGTCTATTTCTTTGAAATGTAAAGGGACAAGTGTCTCGAATTTCATTAGTTTTTTCATACCCTTTTGAAATTGACAAATTCTGTAGTTATGAACTTTTTACAGCTTTTCTATTCTAAACTTTGTCCTGTTCAATTCTAGATTGTATACAGAACCAATTGATGTAATTGTATTCAATCTGGTTGTAATGGAACAATTCTGATTCACAACTATGCAGGCTTTAATTTTCCTATCTGATTTTGGTAAGTATTCCTTTTAGGGCTTCTTTTTTTTTAAACCCGGTTGAAAAACTGAGCAATGGAAATTAATCCTTTCACTTTGTTACATGTAGATTTTCAATAATTGAGTCGAGGTGTGGTTTTTAAGGGGGTGGGGAGTGGCAGGCAGATGATTTACAAATAATGAGCTCTGATTGGGAAACAACTTGCTTGAGTTCCTACTGTTTGACCTAACTTAACTGGTGAAATTTGTGTTCATCAGCTCATCTGCAAAACTTTTAAAAAAAGATATTCAGCTGTTCCAAATTGGACTTGTTAGTGTTATGTGTATAAGACCACATCAGGTGGATGACAGACAATTGATCCCTTGTTTGCTTAATAAGTTGTAAAACTATGGCTTGGAAAACCAGATTATAGTCTAACCATGGTGCTTTTTTAGGCTGGCTTGTGAAATGCAGGTCTAAGCCTAGTATGACAATAAAAGAAGTACTTAATTGTTCATTTCTTAAAAAAAAAAAAAAAAAAAGAAATACCCCAGTTCTTACACTGACATCTCTACAGTGCTAGCTTTTACAGCCATATCCCCTGGCCCCTGTTAAATGATCTCTACTATTAAATTTCCAATCATTTGCTCACCTTCTTAGGAAGCATATTCTCATATAATCTTGCTTCTGAGATCCTCTTGACTTGTTGTGTAACTTTCCTCAAGACCAGAGTCTGACCAGAATGTTCTGTCAATGCAATATTAGCAAAAAAAGATCATCAGAGTTGGCTAGGCTGTGATAAGAAAGAGCTTACAGTAGATCTCAGTTTCCTATTAGTGTGAAAATGCCTGGAAGTACTCAGATCATTGGGAGATACCAGAGGAAGTAGCTGAGGTAAATTCATACAATTTCACTTGCATTTTATCCAGACATACACTGATGGCCATAGATTTATCCATTTATTAACCTATCCATGCATCCAACAAACATTTACTGACCACCTATGTTGGGCCTATGCTGAGTGGTAAAAGGAGACTATCTTCCAGGAACTCACATTTCAGTGAGGAAAACAGATATGCAAATAACAAATGTAACCTTACCTCAGGTGCCATGGTAGAATTCTCTATAGGTTAAAGTATGCTCATAGAATAGGGGGAGACTAAAGGTTTTTAAAAAGCTAGGCAGAATCAGGAAAGGCATTATAATTACAAGAGAAAAAATAGCCCTGGCTGGTGTGACTCAGTTGGTTGGGCATCATCTCACAAAGCAAAAGGTCGCAGGTTTGACTCCCAGTCAGGGCACATGCCTGGGTTGTGGGTTTGGTCTCCAGAGTGGATGTGTGCAAGAGGCAACCAATCAATGTTTCTCTCCCTCCCTTCCCTTCTCTCTCTCAAAAAAAAGAAAAATTCCCAACTCTTGCACAAAGTTATGGCTTTTCTGTAGGAAAGAGTTAACAGAGAACATCATTTTTTTAAACACAGATTTCATTTATTTATTTTTAGAGAGGGGAGAAGGGAGTGAGAGAGGGAGAGAAACATCAGTGTGTGGTTGTCTCTTGTGTGCCCCCTACTGGGGGCCTGGCCTGTAACCCAGGCATGTGTCCTGACTGGGAATCGAACCGGCAACCCTTTGGTTCACAGGCTGGCACTAAATCCACTAAGCTACACCAGCCAGGGCAGAACATCTTGAAGACGGGCAGAGAGCAACAACAGATCATCTATAAATGAATAATTAGAATTATTGCAGCCCTGGCTGGTGTGGCTCAGTGGATTGAGCACCGGCCTGCGAACCAAAGTGTTGCTGGTTCGATTCCCAGTCAGGGCACATGCCTGGGTTGTAAGCCATGCCCCCAGTAGGGGGAGCACAAGAGGCAACCATACATTGATGTTTCTTTCCATCTGGTTCTCCCTCTCCTCCCCTCTCTCCAAAAATAATAAATAAAAGATTAAAAAAGAAAAGAAAAAAAATCCTTGACTGGTGTGGCTCAGTGGGTTGAGCGCCAGCCTGCGAACCGAAGGATTGACAGTTTGATTCCCAGTGTAGGGTACATGCCTGGGTTGCAGGCCAGGTCCCCAGAGAGGGGGGCGCATGAGAAGCAACCACATATTGATGTTTCTCTCTCTTTCTCCCTCCCTTTCCCTCTCTAAAAATAAATAAATGAAGTCTTAAAAAAAAAAAAAAAGAATTACTGCAGAGTGTTCAACAGTAACACTGGAGGCTAGAAGACAGCGGAATAAAATCACCAGAGCACTGAGGCAGACTTGTGTATCCAGCAAATCTATCCTTCAAGAACAAAGGTGAAATAAAGACACTAACAGAAACACAAAAACAAGGGTACCTATCAAGAAACCTGTGATAAGAAACTTCTAAAGATTATATGTCTGTCTGTCTGACTGTCTCTGTTTCCTACTCTATGGAATGAAGACAGTAATTCAAAAAGAATGGAGAAAGGGTATGGTACAAAAAAATTACCTGAGAAAATAATGTCTCAAAACTTTCAAAATTTGGCAAAAAGACATAAACTTACACACCCAAGAAGCTCTGCAAACCCTAAGTAAGTTAAATTCAAAGAAGCCCACACGCATGCACGCCACCACCACCCAGATGAAACTCGAAGTAAAGACCCCAAGGGGAGCCAGGGGACAGCGCATCACACAGAGGGGACTGATTCCGGGGACTGCGGGTTCCTCACCGACCATTAAGGCCGGAGGACTGTGGAAAAGCATTTTAAATGGCTGCAAGAACAGAACTGTCAACCCAGCATTCTATGTCCAGAAAAAATACCCTTCAATAGTGAAAGTGAAATAAAGACAGTCTCAGGTGAAAGAAAATGAAGAGAATTCCTTGCCATCAGACTTATTTTAAATGAAATACTAATGGAAAAGACAACTACATCCTCTTGTAAAATAGCACTTGGTGCCAAAGCCCAGGCTAGAAACTGGGCATAAACTAGGATGACAAGTTATGTTGAAACAAACCCAAGAAATGAGGGATTTGGAGATAACAACTGAGTCAAAAGCTTCCATTTCCCTTTAAAGTAGTTAAGGTACCTTGAATGGTATTCTTTATTTGGGAGGTATCCTCTGAGTTCTTCTTGGATAAAAAGGCTCTCTCCCTATTTGAATTTACACTAGCAGACTCCAGGGGAGAGGACAAAAAAAGAACAAATTCAGTACAAGTGGTAGTGAGAGAAATTCAAAAAAAGTGTTCATGCTATTTCCGAGATATTTCTGATTGCTCTTATGGAGGGAGGGCTTTCAGATGCAGCTTGACAACTCAGCCCCCTGCCCAGGAGCGCGGTGGAGAGAAGTGGCTGGTGTGGAAAATGCACGGGCTGGAGATGGGGGCAGGCTGGGGTTCCAGCCCCAGCCCCCCGCACAGCCGCTGGTGATCCTGAGGAAGTCAGTCATCCGATGTCTCGATGGCCTTGGTTTCCTCACGGTTCTTCTGAAGAAGTCAACCAACGCGTGCGAAGTGCTCTGGGAGCGCTGCTGCCGTTGCTCCTGCTATCAGCGCACCTCCTTCAATGAGCATTTGTTGGGCAACTACTAATGTGCCTGGCACTGGGAAGACCCTGAAACCCAGTTCCCGCCCAGAGGAGCGCCCAGTCTAGCAGGGAAAGAACAGTAAACAGTTATGCTAAGGTACAGAAAGTATCACGTAGTTATTAGAGAGGCAGTACAAGTTAGGATTAGGTTTGTATGTGAGTGACAAAGACTCAAAATAACAGTGGCTCAAACTAGGTAGAAATTTCCTTCCCACGTGACAGCCTGCTGGGGTAAGTCCTTAAAGCCTGTCTTCCTCCAGCTCCCGGATCCACTTTTCCTAAGACCAGACCCTTATTCTTCGGGTCCAGAATGGCAGCTAGAGCTCCAGCCATCACATTCACATTCCAGGCAGCAGAATGGAGAGAATGGCAAAGCGGCAAAAGATTCATAGCTGCTCTTCAATCTCCCAGAAACTGTCACATGGCACATTCACCTGTATCTCATTAACTGGATCTTAAGTCATGTGGCTACACATAGATGTCAGGGGTTGGGGGGGAGAGGCTAGGAAAGGTAGTCTTTTATCTGGCCAGGCTTGTGTCCAGATAAACATCAGAGGTGCTCCTTCTATAGAGGAAGGGAACAGACATTGCGGCACAAACAGTAGGCCGGAAACGTTACGAGCAGAGCGTCCTAAGAAGGCAGAGTGGGGAACGCTTGATTCTGTCTAGGGGAGAGCTGGAGGGTTTCCAAGGAGAGAAGCCACTTTTATTCTGCCTGTAAAGGTGAGGAGGAGTTCACTGATGCTAAACAGATGGCCCACCAAGTGGCATACGAGCAGTCCACCAGCCTCCACGAGCAGCACTTAGCTTTTACAGAAATATATTTGAATGGGACAAAGCAAGCTGAGTGGACTTCCCATACAGCATGCAACTGCTGGTCCGACAGCTACTGACGTTTACAGTGTTGAAGTGGTTACTGGGATTTCTTAGAGCGAAAACACCCCGAGGGCGCAATGAGGCAGTGTGCTCATTCTTACCAGGCCTCAGAGAGCTCCACGGCAGAGCAGAGCGGGTGCAGATTACGCGCTCCTATTTGCTGGAGAGGCAGGGTAAAGACGCAGGAGCTCCAGCTGACAGTGTCCTGAGGTCTGCTGAAGTCAGCTGCATGGCCTGGGGCAAGTTTCACCAATTTGAATCTATTTCTTCCTCTGCCAGATAAAGATAATCATTACTGACCTTGCAGGAATGTTGTAAAGAACTACTGTGAACATATGCAAAGAAAATCTGCACCAGATGGACTCTCCAAAGCCCTTTTCCATCTGTTCTTGTGTTATGACCATTGTCGGCATGGATGGCACAATACAACTGCCCTGGGGTCCCCTCCTCACCAAGGCACAGAGGGGATGGAACCATTCTACCCCCGTGGTCACCCGTGGCTCAGATTCTGTGATGGGGCAGAGCAGCAGGAGAGCCTGTTTTTGAGCCAATGTGAGATTCATTTGGGGGACGCCTACACCTATGAAAGCGGAGTGGGCTTTGAGAGCTCCTGTTAGTAGGTGTGGGCACAAGCTGGGGGAACTGGGGTCAGTGTTGTCGTTGACCCTCACTGTACCCATGCTCTGGCACTTGGGAAAATTCAGGGCCCAAGATGAAGGGGTAGGGAGTGCAGAGATGTGGGACTGACCGGAAGTTATTGAAGCTTACGGGGCTCCAAGGGGCCTGGGTTTGTGCCTCCCTCCTCACCTGAAGGCAGAGGGCTTCTCGCCCTGGGCAGGCTCTGGGAAGAATATGTCTTAGAAGGAAGGAAGGATATCTCTCTTCCTAGCGGAGACAAAGTTGTGTATCAGTTCCTTCCTGTCCTGGTGTGACACTGCAGACTCTGAGCTTTTTTTTTTAAGATTTGTTTTTTTTAGAGAGGGGAGAAGGGTGGGAGAAAGAGGAGAGAACACCAATGTGCGGTTGCCTCTCAAGCACTCCCCACTGGAGTCCTGGCCTGCAACTCAAGCATGTGCCCTGACTGGGAATCAATGGGCGACCCTTTGATTCCCAAGCCAGCAATCCATCCACTGAGACACACCAGCCAGAGCAGACTCTGAGCTTTGAGGCAGCCCCCTCCCTGGAAGTACTGGCAACAGCAAGAGAACTGGCTGCAGGCAAACCAGAACCGCTCACAGAGGGCCTGACCTCTCTGATCCTGTTAGAAGGCGTGAACACTAACTACCTCACAAGACCTGTGAGCCAATGAAAGGAACTAAGGTGTGCAGAGTACACAGGACAAGCACTTAACACACACTTTAAAAAAAAGAGTACTGACTTCAAAAGAAAAAAAAAAACTCAGAACCCAGCAAAACTGAAATGAATAAATATTGGATTAAATGCTCTAACCATGAGTCAATCTCATAAGGTATTAAATTTAGTATTCATTGAAATGTTATGAAATTTGAAGGCAATTTACAGGTTAGATTTCTGCTCACTTTGAAACTCCTGGATGTCCACAATGATCGCTGGGAAAGCAAATCTAGTGAGTGGGCTGGTAACTGTAAATGCATAAAAACTAACACCCAGAAGTGCCCAGCTCCTAAGGGCTGGCTGTGCTAACTTCCAGCCAGTCGCTGTAGCCACACTCTTCTCCGAGGATGCCAGGCATTCCCTGCCCTGTGCCTGCGCCCGACCTTCTCAAACTGGAACGTGCTCGTAGATCGCTGCGGGATCTTGGTAAGCTGCAGAGTCTGATTTAGTCCATCTAGAGAGATGATGATGCTGCGGATCCTTGGACCATACGTTGCGGTCCTGAGTCTGAATCCTGGTTCAGCCACCCACGGGCTGGTTATCCATCACAATCCTCCCACTGCTGCCGTGAGGAAGGCCTCTGCTCTCCTCATGCCTCTGGGTCTTCTCACCTGCTATTCCCTGCACCTGGAACAGTGGTCCTCCCCTTTACCAGCCTAAAATACACATCCTCTACTTTGACTGTTTTTTAAAAAAGGATCGTATTTATTTTTAGACGGGGGGGGGGGAGAGAGAGAAACATCAATGTGTGGTTGCCTCCCATGCACCCCCAGCTGGGGACCTGGCCTGCAACCCAGACATGTGCCTCATTTGGGAAGAGAACCAGTGACCCTTTGGTTCACAGGCTGCTGCTCAATTCACTGAGCCACACCAGCCAGGGCTATTTGACTTTTTTTTAAATCTGCACCTGAGAACAGTTTTTCACGGTTTTTGAGACAAAGGAGAGAGGAAGGGAGAGAGAGAAACAGATGCAAGAGAGAAGCACTGCTCGGTGGCCTCCTATAAATGCCCAGACCAGAGATTGCATGCCCCAGACCAGGAATTGAACCTATAATATTTCAGTTATAGGAAGACATTGCAACCGAATCACACTGGCCAGGGCTAAACACACACCCTTTAAATCTCAGCCTGCCACCTCCTGCCCTCTCAGGGTGGGGCTGGGCACCCCTTCCCATGCTGCTCAGCAGCTGTATTCCCGTCACAGCGCCCAATCCCCCACACTAGCGTTGTGTTGCCTGTATGTCCCATTAGGCTGCACGGCGGGTCTGTGTTTGCCTCCACGTGCAATCCCTGGGTTCATCTAGTGCGGCGCCGGGCACGTGGTGCTCCTTCTGTGTCTGTTGAGTGCAGTAAGAAAGCTGGCCTTGGGAAAGTTGCTTTTCTGAACTCGTTCCTCATCTGTGGGTTCAGCATATACTTCAGCTCATCGTGAGGATTAAATAAAAAGGATGAAGAGCTTAGCAAAGTGCCTGGCACACAGTAGACGCTCAATAACTGGCATCCACTGTTATAATATAAAATATTGCCCCCTGCACTCCAACAATTACACTGTGCTGACTCTAACTACAGTTAACAAATTAACATTTCAGTCATTCTGGTGGCTGGTCTGGGGATGTACATGAGAGAGGACCGGGCCTGAGCATTTCAATACTAAGGCCTTTCCCTGCCCCAGCTGGACAGTGGCTGGGCGTGGCCTGCGCAAAGCGGCCAGAAGCCCATAAACGGTACCTTACCCTTTATCGGTCTTTTTCTATGCAGCATTAATTCTTCTCTCCAGAATCTCTCTGGATCCAGTTTTGAGTAGTCCCAACTGTCATAGCTCTGTAGGCAAGGATATACACCTAAGAGGGAGTCAAAAGTGATCATGAAAACTGCAAAAGAGAACAGGAGGCAGAAGACAGAAGACAGGGGTCTCTGAGACGCCCCCTGCTGGTCCTGGGAGAATGGGCTTCCAGCAAGCATTATCCCCACCCGACACTGTGTGGTCTTGGGTGTCCCTTCCTCTCTAGGAGGCTCCAGTTCCTTCATGTGGAAGGCGTAGGTGGTGATGCCTACTCTGCCCTCCTGACAGTGTGGGTGTGAAGATCAGATCGGATCTCCCCATGGATGTGGGGACGTGCTACACAGACATGAAGGCATTGTAATTATTTGTTTTCCTGTCTGTCTCCTCTGCTTTTACTGAACTATGTGCTCACTGAGCTCAGGTCTTATTTATCTTTCCACCTCCAGGGCTTAGTATAGGACTTGGAACATAATAAATAGGTACTTAGTAAATTTTGTTCAACCTATTATCACACTTAGCTAAGTACCAGGAATAGATTCGCCCTAAATATTTGATGGTGATGCCTATGGGACTAATGCTTTTCTTTTAAGGAAACCGTGTGTTTCAGAGTCTTGGCTTCTTGGAACCTGAACCCTCAGACATCAGAGGGACTCCACTGCCTCCCTCAGTTCTTTGGTTTAGCAAAGAAAAGACCAAGGATTAATTGAGATATTTGAACCTCAATGCAAAGCTGTTTGCGGGACAAAGTAAGTAGACAGGAGGTTTGTTCCTGAGGGTGGATTAGGAGAAGGACGCACAGCCTGGGACAAAAAGGGGAACAGGAAGGAGACGCAGGGAACAGGAGGCAGAATGGCAAAACGGTCAAAGGCCGAGCTCTGCCATGGCACTCAGTCTGAATGCCTGGATCGGAATGGCTGCTCCCCCATTTGTTTGCTGCTCGATTTCTTTGATCCTGAATATGTTAAGAGGATTAAATGGATGTGCAGAAAAGAGTTAACAAGGTAGATGTATAATCCATAGAAAGGCCGGCTTGCAAGATTGGCCCTTAGCTGGCATCTGGGACCTTGGCTGGTAAATATTTCCTTACATTGGTATTAACTTCCTTAGAAGAAATGGATAAATTCCTAGAAACATACAACCTACCAAGACTAAATCATGGAATAAGTAGGAAATCTGAACAAACAAATAATGAGTAAGGAGACTGAGTCAGTAATTAAACCCTTCACCCAACAAAGAAGAGCCCAAGACCAGATGGCTTCACATATAAATTCTAATAAAATTTAAAGAAGAATTAACTCCAATCTTTCCCAAGCTCTTTCAAAAAATTGAATAGAAGGGAATATTCCCAAACTCATTTTAGGAGACCAGCATTATACTGATACCAAAGCCAGATAAGGATACCATAAGAAAAGAAAATTACAGGCCACTCTTCCTGATGAACACAGATGAAAAAATTCTCAAGAAAATGCTAGCAAACAGAATTCAACGGCACAGCAAAAGAACCATGCACCACAATGAAGTGGGATTTACTTACCTTGGGATGCAAGGATAGCATCACATACACAAAACAATAAATGTGACACATCACATTAATAAAATGAAAGATAAAAACCGTATGTTCATCTCAATAAATGCAGAAAAAGCATCTGACAAAATTCAACATCCTTTCGTAATAAAAACTCTCAAAAAAGTGGGTATAGAAGGAACATACCTCAACATAATAAAGGCTGTATGTCCAGAGCTACATCATACTCAACAGTGAAAGATTTTCTTCTAAGATCACAAACACAAAACTAAGCTGCCCACTCTTATCACTCATCAATATAGTACTAGAAGTCCTAGCCAAACCAAGAATAAGAAATAAAAAATATCCAAATCAGAAAGGAAGAAGTAAAATAGTCTTTATATGCTGATGACTTGGTATTATGTATAGAAAACCCTAAAGATTCCACAAATACTGCTGAAACTAATAAATGAATTTGGTAAAGTTTCAGGATACACAATTAATACACAAAAATCAGTTGTGTTTTTATACTCTAACAAAGAACTATCTGAAAAAGAAATTTAAAAAACCATTTACAATAACATCAAAAATAATAAAATACTTAGGAATAAATTTAGCTAAGGAATTAAAATATACATTGAGAACTGTAAGACATTGATGAAAGAAATTGAAGACACAAATAAATAGAAAGATATCCTATGTTCATGGATCAGAAGAATTAATATTGTTAATATGTCCATACTACCCAGATCCATCTATAGATTCAATGCAACCTCTACAGAAATTCCGAAGGCATTTTTCACAGAAATAGAAAAAAACCTCTAAAATTTGTATGGATTCACGAAGCCCTTGAACTGCTAAAACAATCTTGAAAAAGAACAAAGCTGGTAGCATCACATGCTCTGATTTTAAACTATATTACAAAGCTATAGAAATCAAAAAAGTATGGTGTTGGCATTAAAACAGACACACAGATCAATGAAACAGAATTGAAAGCCCAGAAATAAACTCACACATACATAGCCAACTAATTTTTGAAAAGAAAGCCAAGAATACTCAGTGGGGAAAAGATAATCTCTTCAATAAATGGTGTTGGAAAACTGAATATTCACATGCAAAAGAATGAAATTAAACCCCTATCTCACACCACTTATAAAAATCAATTTAAAATTGATTAAGAACTTAAGTGTAAAACTTGAAACCATAAAACTCCTGGAATAAATCCTGGGGGAAAAGCTCTTTGACATCGGTCTTGGCAATGATGTTTTTGAAGATCACACCAAAAGCATAAGCAACAAAAGGAAAAAGAAGCAAGTGGGACTATATCCAACTAAAAAGCTTCTGCACAGCAAAAGAAAAAACAAAATGAAAAGATAACCTATTGAATGGGAGAAAATATTTGCAGACCATACATCTAATGAGGGGTTAATATTCAAAGTATATAAGGAACTCATACAACTCAACAGCAAAACAAATAATCCAAGTAGGAAATGGGCAAAGGACCAGAACAAAAACTTCTCCAAGAAGACATACAATGACCAGCAGTACGTGAAAAAGTGCTCAACATCACTAATCATCCAGGAAATGCAATTCAAAACCACAATGAGACGTCACCTTACACCCATTAGAGTGGCTGTTACCAAAGACAAGAGAGAAATGCTGGCGAGGTTGTGGAAAAAAGGGAAACTCTTGTGTGGTTGGTGAGAATGTAAATTGGTACAACCACAATGGAAAACAGTATGGAAGTTTCTCAAAAATTTAAAAATGGAATTACCACACAATCCAGGAATCTCATTTCTGGATAGATATCCAAAGGAAGTAAAATCACTGTCTTGAAGAGATACCTGCACGCCCATGTTCGCTGCAGCATTATTTACGACAACCAAGACATGAAAACAACCTAAATGTCCATCTATGGATGAACGGGTAAAGATATGGTCTACACACACAATAAACTATCTTTTAGTCATAAAAAGAAGGAAATCCTGCCATTTATGACAACATGAACAAACTTTGAGGACATTATGCTAAGTGAAATAAGTCAGAGAAAGGCAAATACTGTATGATTTCACTTATGTTTAGAATCTTAAAAAGCTGACCCCCGGTTTGTTCTCTGTTTCCATGTCTCTGGTTATATCTTGCTCGACTATTTGTTTTGTTGATTAAGTTCCACTTATAGCTGAGATCGTACGGTATTTGTCTTTCACCACCTGGCTTATTTCACTTAGCATAGTGCTCTCCAGTTCCATCCATGCTGTTGTGAAGGGTAGGAGTTCCTTAAGTGAGCAAAATATAACCACAGACATGGAAATAAAGAACAAACCGACAGTAACCAGAGGGGAGGGGGGAAGGAGATAACAGGGCAAAGAAGGGGAAGGGTCATCAAGGAACATGTATAAAGGACGCATGGACAAAGCCAACAGTGGGGGAAGGACTGAATGGGGGAAGTGGGGGTAGGTACGGTGGGGGAAAATGGGGATAACTGTAATTGAACAATTTTTTAAAAAGCTGACCTGAGAAGCAGAGAGTAGAACGGTGGTTGCCAGGAGCTGGTGGGTGGGGGAATGGGGAGATGACAGTCAAAGGGTACAGACTTCCAGTTACAGGCGGAACAAGTTCTCAGGGTTTGATGTACAGCATGGTAACTATCGTTAACAACACTCCACCTGAAATCTGCTAAAGAGCAAATCCTCAATGCTCTCATCATGACAACCACCACAAAAAATGGGAATATGCGAGGTGAAGAATGTGTTAGCTAACCTCGTAACAGTAAACGTTTTGTAATGTATACATATATCACAGCATCACATTGTACCTTAAACTCACACAATGTTGTGTCAATTCTATCTCAATAAAGCCGGGGGAAGGTGTTTTCCGTAGTGGGTAAGAGTGGTTTGCTGTGCCTGGACTGCTTGTCAAACAATGTGGCTTATGCTGAACACCTGCCCTTCTCAAATTTGGGTACGTGATACACAGAGGGGTCTACGTGACCAGCTCCCAATAAAAACCTGAGGTGCTGTTTCTCAAGTGGGATTCTGGGCAGGAATATCACACACATGATGCTACATTTTCGTTGCAGAAGGAGAGGGTTCTGCGTAATTCCTCATGGGAGGGAGGGAGAGTAAGGAAGCCTGTGCAGGAACTCCTCCCGAGTCTCTTCCCTCATGAACTAGCTGTGTACCCTTAGCACATCACTGCGACGATTCTTAGCCATTGCAGGTTAAGTCACAGCACAACCTGCAAGTTCTCTTAGCCAATCTCCTAAATGTGGGAATAACTTCAAGAGACTGCTAACAGAGTAGGAGATGTAAAAAGTGCTTACTTTGCCCTGACTGGTGTGCCTCAGTGGATTGGGCACCCTTCCAAGAACCGAAAGCTCACCAGTTTGATTCCCAGTCAGGACATGCCTGGGTTGCAGGCCAGGTCCCTGGTGTGAGAGGGGACCAATGTTTTTCTCACACATTGATGTTTTTCTTTCCCTTTCTCCTTCCCTCCCTTCTCTCTAAAAATAAGATCCTTTTTTTTTTTAAGTGCAGAGTACCTAATACACCGGAACCTCTCAAAAAATGGCAGCTTTTAGTGTGACCTTAGAAAATGTCTGGGTGGAGATGGGGGAAGTGAGGAAGGAGACAGAAGAGCAGTGGGAAAGCAACCGACAGTGGCCCTGCGAGGGCTGCAGACGGGGCGGCTACAGTCGGGGTGGCGTCACCCGGGGCGGGGGTGGGGAAGGTGGGCTGTTCTAATGGGGTACTGCTTTTTGGTTCCCGAGTTCTGGGCTGGACACAAAAAGGGGACAAGGAATGTCTCAGCACTCTTTTGAGGAAGCAGGAAAATTGTATTCTTAGGCTCTAACCGTACACTTTACTTCCTTTAATGTCAAGGAGAGACAGGACAACTGCTTCAGTGGAGGGGTGCGACGGCAAGCAGTGACAAACTCAGGTGGAAAAAACAGGTCTGGAACGGCTTTCCCCAGGAGACGGCAGGCCCCGCCTACCTGAAATCCACAGGGTCACGGTGTTACAGATGCCAGACTTGAATTCGTGCGTGTTGAACCAGGACTGTGGGAAGCAGCAACAGAAGCTGGTATATAGTGCTTTGCTCAGGAGTGACGGCAGCCTCTAGGGGACAAGCGGAGCTCAGGCAACATTCTGGACATTTCTACGCCCAGGAAGGAGCTCCTGACATCAGGAGAGACCTGTGGTAAAATTCTCTACCTGACACCACACTGCCTTCCTGGTCACGAGGGGAGCAGTTGCCACCTGGGGCCGCCCCACAGTGTGGTGGACGCCTCTGCACACGCGCTAGGCTGGCAAGCCCCCCGCCAGCTCCTGTGTGTGTGGGCTGTGGCCCGGCCCATTCTGCACCCTGGCCAAACAGCAGCCCCGAAGGTGACAAGATACATGTGACCTACCCACCTTGCTGTTCCCTAGAGATAATAACAGTAAGTACTACTCCCTGTTTTTCTTTCTGTGCAGAGGTGGTACTATTGTTCCTTAACTATGGTTAACCTCAAATTATACAATTATATTTGGCTTTATTCATTTAACATTATAACATAAGCACTTCTCCAAATTATTCTAAACCCTTTGGGATTTTGTTTCCCAATACTGACCTTCGTAATATTGTGTTGAGTGGGCTTATCAAAATTTACTTCAACATCTCCCCATTGGTTGGTATTATCCTGTTTCCAAGATTTTGCATTCCAAATTATGCTGAATAATTACTTTTATTTATTACACTATTTCATTGGCACATATTAGACAAATTGTTGAATGAATGAATGCATGCATGAATAAAAGCAGCTTTCCCTGCACATTAAATTATGCCTTCCAGGAGATGGTATGATAATACCATTAATTATAGCAGCTATGGCCCTGGGTGGTGTGGCTCGGGGGACTGAGTGCCAGCCTGTGAACCAAAGGGTTACCAAAGGTTCGATTCCCAGTCAGAGCATATGCCGGGGTTGTGGGCCAGGTCCCCAGTAGGGGGCCTCCAAGAGGTAACTACACACTGATGTTTCTCTCCCTCCCTCCCTCTCTGTCTAAAAACAAATAAATTAAAAATTTTTTTAAATCTCATTTAAAAATTATAGCAGCTTTGATGTACTGGGGGGCTATCATGTGCTGGGCAATATGTCAGACACCTTACATACACCATTCCATTTAATCCTTGGGACAACTCAGTGACAGAGGCCTTACTTTCTGAGGCACAGAGAGAGTAGGGGACTTGTTAGGTGGTTGCTTCCTTACTGTAATGTAAGTGCATTCCATCCCAATTGCATTGATTCGCTTCCCGCTCACACTGTCACAGCGCTGCCCCCTATATTCTTAACAACACTGGGGGTTACAGTTTTAAATCTGTGCGAACAGGTAAAAAGGGGCATTGGATTATTATTGTTTTAATTCATATTTTTAATTATTGTTAAGGATGAAGTTTTTCTGGTGAATTTCTAGTTTATGAACTTTGCCCATTGGTCTATGGGTTGCTTCATTTCTTACTGATTTGTAAGAGTTTTTTATGTTGTGCACTCATATATGGTACTGGTATTTTTGCATAGTTTCTCATTTGCCTTTTACTTTGTACTAACTTTTTTTTAACTTATGTAATTAAATCAGTTTTTTCCTTTATGGTTATTTGGAATCATATTTAAAAAGTCCTACCCCACCCTCAAATCAGGTAAATATTCACTCATGTTTTCTTCTAGCAATCCTTTTAGTGTGTATACACATATATACACACACACACTCATATGTAAAAAGAATGTATATTCTACTTCTAATTTTAAAATTATATGCTTATTTAAATGCTACAGAAATACACAGAATAGAAAAGGAAGTCATTTATAATCTTATTTTCCAGAGTATAACCATTGCTAAGAGTTTAGTAAATGTTTTTCCAAATTTTTTCCTAGTCATAGGCATACATACATACACACATATGTTTTTTAACATAGAGTTGTATAAATTGCTTTGTTTTTCACTTAACGTATGTCAAAATATCACGCCCAGCCAGTACAGGGTAGGGTAAAGGTAGGTTTACAGTTGTATGTGCAGAAACACAGTTTACTCTTGTATTGTTATTATTACATTATTTTCCATCCAGACAACTATAAACCTACTTTTGCCCCACCCTGTCTATGTAGGCCTACCTCGCTTTTTGTAATCACTGCATTACAAGTCAGTGTATGACTGTATCGCAGCTGACTAATGACTCCCTTATAGAAAGACAGTTAAGGGCATTCTGCTGGCACTAGGAGTGAACGGCTACCTCACGTGATCATTTTTTCCTAAATGGTGGTTGCAACTCACTTTTAAGATAGCCTCTTCATAGTGGGACCTGGGTTCATAAAACAGAAGAAAGGCGTAGTTCTGGGATATCCGGTCGAATAGCTTATTCTGGATCTCTTTGTTTGGCTACCAGGAATAAAAACAGAGATGGAATTACTAGAGTTCCTTGTTGAAGGAGCCAAGAGCTGAGACTCTTAAATAAGAATTTCTCTTATTTTTAGGAATCTTATTCTTAAGGTATTTAACCTCATATTATTTAGGAAATAATATAGCAATTTGTCTTATAGGATTTATAAAACAGGTAGCGGGGCAGAGTGTTGACAAAAGGTCCTGACTTTACTCTCGGCCCTGCCCTTGACCAGCCATGTGACATGGAATAGTTCCTAAAGCTTAAGGGAGCTGCAAGACATTAGGCAATGGCTAAAGCACAGGGTATGAGGGTGAGGCACGGGTGAGGAACGGGTGGGGTCACCGATGAGGCTGCAGGGTGGTCCCCAGAGTCAGAGGGGCTCACAGTCCATGGTAAAGAGGTTAGGTGGGATTTGTGCCACAGGAAAATGATGTAAGCAAGGCAGAGAAGCAATCAGATTTGCACTTACCTGGTACCTTTCATGAAAGATCCACCAAAAGCTATCCAACCACATTGCTTGCAGAGAAGGGGAAGAGAGAAACTTTTCTAATTCTCTCTCTGAACAGAAAGACTTGAAAAGAAATAAAGTTCACATTATTATTGTTACTGTTACTGTTTTTTTAATTCATCTGGAGCCACGGCCGGATTCATAACCATCACTGCTGAGAACCTGCCTTTCCTCCGTCTGCACCCCGCACCGTGTTGTTGTTCTAATCACTCCACTTATCCACCAGCTATCTTTGGAGCCAAGTACTTTGGAGTCAACTTACAAAACAAACACCTAACTTTATAGTGAATGCTGACGACTTGCTTTGCCAGGTGTTTTCACATTTTCCCTTTTAACCCCTAGAATAATCATATGGGGCATGTGTTATTATCTCCATTTTACAGGTGAGGAAACCAAGGACTAGAGAGCTGAAGTCACTTGCTCAAAGTAATACAGCCAGCAGGTGGCAGTGCCAGGATAGGACAGGGGGAAGGGAAGAGGGAGAGAAAAATAGAGGCAGGGGGTGTTTGAAGCAAGCAGAGGTGATGGGGTGACTAGTTAAGAATTGAGGGGACAATGACCAGAGCTTCTCTGGAAACACTGGAGCTGTGCAATCGTAAAGGCAAACGAGGCACACTGTAGGGTCGCCGAGACCATTTTCTGGGCTCCCCCGCTCCCCGTCCTGTCCCCCACCTCCTAACAACCATCCTTACCCTCCTGAGCAGCCAGCGATGTCTCACAGATGCACACAGGTTCTTCTGGGCCTTAGAGTACTCCCTCCCCCGCTAACCAACCCAGTGTGCGCCACTCTCCAAATGCGTTAACTCACCCCCAAGGTGTACCATGGGGCATGGAAAGAAAATATTCTAACTAACATCTAATTAAGAAAAAAAGAAATTAAGTTTATTGATATACAGTGTAGCAATTGACAATAGAATGTAGACATCATACATGAAAAGCAGCATATATCCTGAGGGTGTGTACTCAGAATTTTTGCCAGTCAAATACATGACCAAAACGATCTGGAGACCAGTGCTCTGGGAGAAAGAACTTAGGTTTTGGGGGTAACATGGGCTTGGGGTCTAATCTCAGTTAAGTCACTTGCAAACCGTGTGGCCCTCAATGACTTACCCAAATGCCCCAGGGTGGAAGACTGGGACAGCCGCGTCCACCGTAGGGTGGCTGTGCGGCTGCGGCCTGCTGGGCCCGTGGCCGGGCGGCACCCAGGCGAGCTGCCACTCTTCCTTACCTTGCCATGGAGGGGGCTTCTCTCAGACTGGACCACGTTGTCCACCATGTCGCATAAGGCCACGCCGTTGGGGAGCGCACTTGGCTTGCAGGCGTTGAACTGCGTGTGCTGGTACAGCTCCGCCAGCAGGTTCTTATCTGCTGTTTTCTGAGCAAGAAAAGAACATAAAAAGGGGGTCCGTCATCTTGGCAGTTTACGACAATAGGGTATCTTCCCCTTTACAGCCTTACAGGATGTTGAAAGAAAGGAGGGCATGCTCGTGGTCCCAGCAGCCCTAACCAACACCCGTTCACGTTGCTTCCATTTTCCCTTTCCGGCTTTGAGCGCCTGTATACCAGTAGGTACATGAAACTTCATTTTACAACACACACACACACACGCACGCACACTTTCATGTCCTGCTTAACTTTAGATTTTTCACATTGCTACACTGTCTTCAAATTTCTCATCTAAAATGACATATCCTAGCCCTGATCGGTGTGGCTGGGTTTAACTGGATGTTGTTCCACAAAGCGAAAGACTGGTGGTTCAATTCCCAGTCAGGGCACATGCCTGGGTTGTGGGTTTGTTCTCCAATTAGGGCGTCTATGAGAGGCAACCAATTGATGTTTCTGTTTCACATCAATGTTTCTCTCCCTTTCTCCTCCCTCCCTGCCCCTCTCTCTCAAATTAAATAAAATAGCATACCCTATTAATAAGATGGGCTGTAATTTAATTGTTAATTACTTCCAATTAATACTACTGCCATTATATTTAAAAGTTAATGATAAAACTTGGAACATATATTTTTCCCCTCCTTATTTATTTAGTATGACTCCCAAAATGTCAATGTTAGATCAAAGAATATGACTATCCTTATGGTTCTTAATATATATCATTAAAATGGATTTTTAAAATAAAAATAAGACTAAAAAAATGTAAACCTACAGAAAAGGAGAAAGAGGAAACCACCTACGATCACCGAACAGCACCTGCTGGGGGGACACTCTGAGGGACGGGCCTGCTCGCGAACTGGCTGCGGCATGACAGCGGGGCGCCCCTGCCTGTCTGCGCTGGCTGCGTCAGGCAGCCTGGCGTCGCACGTCCGCTCCGCCACTTAGAGCTGTGCTGCCTGGGGCAGGGCGTTTAAATCTGCTTGGCCACCATCATGAATCATTGGCAGTTTCAATGCTGACTCTCAACTGTTGGACTTGATGCTGTGTGGGAATTTTCTAAGCTAAAAAGTAAAAGAGCGGTAACAATACCGTGCTGTGGATGTTCACCAGCACTGAAGGGCTTGGATACACCCGCCCTGGGTAGCTGGAAGAACTAGCTCAGGGGAGTCCTAGCGAGGGTGGCAGCTGGAGAGGCCCAACAGAGCCTGGCTGTGGGTCCGAGCATCTGTGCAGGAAGTGGGGATCGGCCATTGGCCACGCGTGATGGTGGATGGGCCAACTACTCCTGAATCTCGGCTTCTGCAGGGGCTGACAGACTAGCCATGTGGAGTGAACGGCCCCGCGGAGCTGTGCGACACAGGGGCTTTGGGCGAGCACGGTCCAAACTCCTGGTTCTAAGTTCTGCGGACAGATGAGTGATCTCTGGAACGCCCCCCATTCTACCCTTTCCAGGGCGTTATGAGCAGTCCCAGCATTATCAAAACACTGTAAGCGCCCCTACAAAGAGAACTCGGTGACTCCTGCACCACGGCCATCCAGGTATGTTGTTTCCCCTCCTCCCAGGAATAAACTGACTTCACACCCAGCAGACGCCGGTCAGACTCAGAGCCCCAAATCGATTCCCTACCCTTTTAACAGTGAAAGATTTGACGTTCCTGGGTTCTGAGCCGCTGAAAGTATCCTGTGATTTTCTTTGACTTTTGTCTGCAGAAGAGTGGAAGAAGAGAGACGGATGTGAGTACCTGTGGGGTCTGTCCACTGCTGTAATTATAACTGTGATTTTTCATTCAACCTGAACTGCCTGGTGACACTCGTATTATTAGTCTCACTACATGCCACCTGTGTGGCTGACTTATTAAGAGTCTCTTCCTTGCCCTGACTGGCATGGCTCAGTTGGCTGGACATAACCCTTCAAAATGAAAGGTTGTGGTTCAATTCCTGGTCAGGGCACATGCCTGGATTACAGGCCAGTCCCTGGCTGAGGCGTCTGAGAGGCAACCAATCAATGTTTCTCTCCCTCTTCTTTCTCCTTTCCTTCCTCTCAAAAATAAAATCTTTATTTAAAAAAAAAAAAAAAAGGAAAAAAAGTCCCTTCCTTATTTGACTGGACAGCTTGAGCCAGGGAAAGAGCCAGGAGAAAACGACAAAACATGGGCTTTGAAACCAGGCTGTGGTGAATCCAGGACCTGCCACAGACAAGCTGTGTGACTTTTGGCCCCCAAGCCTGTTCCCCATCTATAAAATATATGCAATGGCACCGACCCCAGAGGTTGGGGCATTAGGAAGATTTAACAGGGGAATGCGGATGAAACACCTGGTAGACGTGGACGCAGGAGCCTTGCATAATACTCTCATCTGAAACTCTGGACGCCTACTCAATGCATTCTAGGTACTAAAAAACCAAACCCCACAGAAACACCATCAAGGCTATGAGAAAGGGTTTTTGCCTCTGTCTCCCGGGCTGCTGTGACTTTTCTCTCTTAAAGCCTTCTTCTGCAACTCAAATCTCTCAATTGCCTTCAGAAACCAAAAAGAAACGAGCCATTAGGGATTGATACAAATACTGGCGGATGGCGGGGGTCAGGGACTAGGCCATTTCTCCTGTTGGTGTGCGAAAGGCCTGGAGCAAAGTGTGTGACAGTGCCTTGCTGTCTTCCACCTAGGGGGCAGGGCCGTGGTGGCCACGGACCTCCTGCCCCTGAATGTCACCGCCAATACAGCCCTCAGCCCCGCCCTCTCTCACGCTGCTGCCCCTCCCGCCTGCTCCTCCGGGCTGCGCCTGGGAGGAACACAGGACTTGGAGCGGTTCCAGGCAGGGCTCCACCAGTTACAAACTGCTGTTCACTCTCTCTGTAAAAAGGGGATGGTAATACCTACCTTTCAGGGTTCTTACAAGGATCAGATATAAAGTATTTAATGCAACTTAAAACACAAGCACAGACTATCAAATAGGAGCTACTCAATAAAGGGTAACTATTGTTGTTATTGATTACCATACTCTTGACCTCTCAAGAAATTTCTCTTGATCTCTGACTCCTCCTCTCCTACCCCCAACCCCTCCTGAAAAGGAAAGAAAGCAAAAGGAACGTCAGCAGCCTAACAAGTTATAGTGATCGTCAGTCCGGGGCACACTGTGCCCAGATAACAGAGTTAGCAAAGAAGTATGACTCTGTGTTCTTGCCGTCAAGGAGCTTATGATCTACGCCGAGAGCCAAATCAATACTTGTGGGACAATTACAGTGCCAGGTTTAGGGTCCCACCCCGTGAGGTTAGCGTGAGCTGGAGCAGTCGCGGAGGACTGCCTAGAAGAGGTGGGACATGAGCACTGGGGGAAACGACCAGGCACCTGTCCCCTCAGCTTGGTAAACTGTGAAGCGCCTCTCCTGCCTTCCCTCGCCTTTCTCCCGAACTGGCTTGTGTGCAGGTGTGTGCGGGTGGGGCCAGGGGTCCCGTTGGTGAGCTATGTGGCCACACTGCAGCTCTAGTAAAACACACAGGCATGAGGCACAACGGACGGATTGGTGGGTGGGCGGCAATGTAGCAAAACAGCAAGGCCTCTGCTCCTTCCCAGGATGCCGCTGCAGTCGACACTGTCAGGGCCCTGGGGGCAAGGACAAGACCTGCACATAGAGGGAAGAGAAAGGACAGTCGACGGTTGGAAAGAAAGCAAGTTTTAGGGAGAAGCGATGAGACCGGCATGGAGCTGAGTTTGCGTTTGCGGTGACAGAGCAGGACCTACCAGCAGGGCCGTCCCTGGGAAGGCTGACGGCCAGAATCACGGGGCGGGGGGCTGGTGTTCAGGTATATAGACTCATTGAAGAAGCTTATTCCTTAGGTCTGTGTTGGGTCCTGAACTGTTTACTGTGGCTCCTGAATAGTTAGTACTCTATTTAAATGTTTAAAAACTAGGAATTCACACGGTACAAAATCAAACAGTACAGTAAGAAGTCTCCCTACACCTCGCCCAATATGTCCTTCTGCCTTGCAATCGCCTTCCAGAGCTGGTCCCTTCAAAGGGGCCATTCAAGGCCCACAGTCCCACACCTTGCGATCTCCACTATGAGTTTCTAGAAAGCTCCAGGGCACTGAGATGATCAGTCAGAGCTAGGTGTCTCCTAGAGCCAGGCTGGGAACAAGAGACCGCAACACAGGCCTGAAGCTACAATTTGCGATGCATTATTCATTCCACACTGAGTTCCTGAGCCAAACTAAAAGCCGAAGCTGCCCTGATGCTGAAGATGCGGCAGCGCACAGGGACGCCGTCCCGCCCTCCAAGGGCTCGGACTAGTGGGGAGAAGCCACGAAGGCAGTGGTGCTGTGGGGGAGGGGGGGCAGGGTGACCGGAGTGTGCCCAGGAGGGGTACTTGCCCCAGAAGGGGTCTTGGGAGGAGGGGCTGAGAAGGCAGAGGATGGAGGGACCGTGCCTACCCCTGAGGTGAATGGTGAAGCCGTGGTGAGCGGTGAACAGGCTCCTGAGGGAGGCTGGAAAAACCGCTAAGCAAGGTCCAGGGCCAGAGCCTGGGCGGAGACACACTCAGGGCTCTAAGCAAGGTCCAGGGCCAGAGCCTGGGCAGAGACACACTCAGGGCTCGAGAGGAACGGAAACAGGACACGTGAGGAGGAGGATCTGGGACTCAGCAGGAGGGGCTCGCTCGTGCGTCAGTGCACATCTAGGAAGCACTGCCTATTTACTCACAGGCACGATGCTCGGTGCCATCCAGTAGGGCAGGGCGGAGGCCAGAGAAACCCATCTCTGGGTGCTGACGCAGAAGTGGCCACACGGTCAAGGCCGGGTATATAAAGGGCAAACCGCGGCCATGAGAGGTTGGGCAGGGCAGCCTAGGGACAGGACTAGTGACAGAAGGCAGTTGGCATCTGACAGACCTGACCAGCTGCCTGGGCTGAGAAGCAGAAAGGACACGTGAGGGGTCCCTTCCGCCAGATCATGTGCGGACCAAGACTGCTCCGGGCCCAATCCTAGCTGTGCCGGGCACCTTGAGGGAGCTGTGCCAACGCCAGGCAGTCTTGAAAAGCCAGTGGACCCTGCTTCTGAGAAGATAGTTACCGTTGTCTTTCCTGGTTTTAAAACTGTCATTAACAAGTCACAGAGGTGACATAAAAATATATTCTTGTTATAAAATCAAAATTCCAGCAAGTTATTTTATGAACGTTGACAAACTATTTCTAAACTGTGTGTAGATAGGCAAAAGACCCAGAAAAGCAAACATAATACTGAACAAGAGCTGGCGTTACTTGCCTTCAAGACATTATAAAACAAAAGTAATCAAGACTGTGTGGAACTGGCAAAAGAATAGACAAAGAGATCAATGGGACAGAACAGAGAGCCCAGAAATAGACCCAAATAAATAGAGTCAACTAAACTTGGATGAAGGATGAAGGGTAAAAGGTAATGCAATGCAGCAAAAACAGTCTTTTCAACAAATGGTGCTGAAACAACTGGGCACCCGCACGCAAAAAAGTGACCCAACACACAGACCTCACTTAGGCTCTTCACAAAAATTAACTCAAAATGGATCACAGACCTAAATGTACAATGTAAAACTATAAAACTTAGGTTTTAGGAGAAAACCTAAATGACCTTGGGTAAGGCGGTGACTTAAGATACAATCCATGACAGAAACAGTTGACAGCTGGACCTCCTTACAATTAAGAACTGCTCTGTAAAGGACAATGGCAAGAGAATGAGAATGTAAACCACAGGCTTGGAGAACCTATTTGTAAAAGACACACATGATAAAGAACTGTTACCAAAATGTACAAAGAACTCTTATAACCCAACAATAAGAAAGCAAACAACTCAATTAAGAAATGGAACAAAGCCCTGGCTGGGTGGCTCAGTTGGTTGGAGCATCATCCCAATGCGTCAGCGTGGCAGATTTGATCCCTGGTCAGGGCATGTACAAAAATCAACCAATGAAGACATAAATAAGTGCAATGACAAATTCATGTCTCCCTTCCTTTCTCTCTCTAAAAAGCAATAAATTTTTACAAATGGAGCAAAAAGCGGAACAGATACCTCACTTAAGAAGAAATATAGCCCTAGCTGGGTAGCTCAGTTGGGTAGAGCTGTCGTCCCAATACAACAAGGTTGCAGGTTTGATCTCCTGTCAGGGCACGTACAAGAAGCAACCAATGGGTGCATGGATAAGTGGAACAACAAATCAATGTTTCTCTCTGCGCCGCTGCCCCCCCCTAAAATCAATACATAAATTTTTTTAAAAAAGAATACAGATGGCAAATGAGCATATAAAAAGATGTTTAATATCACCTATCATTAGAGAATTTCAAATAGAAACAATGAGATATCATTATATACCAATTAGAATGGCCAGAATCCAGGACGCTGACACCACCAAGTGCTGACAAGGGTGTGGAGCAACGAGAATTTTCCTTTATTGCTGTGGGAATGAGAAATGGCGCAGCCACTCTGGGAAACAGTTTGGCATCTCACAATCTCAACATACTCAACATATGGTTCAGGAATCACGCTCCTTGGTATTTACCCACATGAACTGAAAACCATGTCCACACAAAACCTTGCACATGGATGCTTATCACAACTTTATTCAAACTGCCAAAACCTGGAAGGAACCAAGATGTCCTTCAGTAGATGAATGGATAAATTATGGTACACCCAGATAATGAAAAGTTATTCAGTACTAAAAAGAAATGACTCATGAAGCCATGAAAAGACATGGAGAAACCTTAAATGCATATCATTAAGTGAAAGAAGCCAGTCTGAAAAGGCTACATGCTGCATGGTTCCAGCTATTTCACACTCTGGAAAAGGGAAAGCTATGGAGACGGTGACAGGGTCAGTGGTTACCGGGGTTGAGGGGGAGGAAGGAGCACAGAGGATTTCGGGCAGTGAAGCCATCCTGTAAGACACTACAGAGATGGATGCGTGTCGACACACATTTGTCCAAACTCACAGAATGCAGAGCACAGACAGAACCCTAACGCAAAGGATGGGCTTTGGGTGATAATGATGTTCATAATGACTGAAGGTTCCGAAGTTACAACCACAACCACTGCGCTGCTCTGGTGATGGGGAGGTTGCGCACGGCGGGGGGGACGGGACGGGCATGCGAGAACTCTGTGCTTTCCGCTCAGTGTTGCTAGGAACTCAAAAGAGCTCTAAAAAATAAAATTCACTCATGAAAAAAATTTATCTTTGAGACTGCTATTAGGCAAGTGTCCTTTCTAATAAATGGAGGGGCCTGCAGGGTCCTTCCTTCGTGGAAGCCGGACCCAGCCCAGCTCCCGTAACTCACCAGGCTGCTGTCCAGCAGGTGGGCGCTCAGACCCGTCTCAGCCATCTTCCGGTTCACCTGGCAGACGGAGCCGATGAGGCAGGCTGGGAGGGCAGTCTGCTAAGGAAGCTCCCGGGCAGTAACGCACCCCAGCAGGGCGGAGCCAGTCCGGCAAGGACAGAGGTCGCTCCCTTCCGGGGCTGTCTCTCCGCTCCATTATTTTCTTTTCCAAATGATCAACACTTCTTTTCTCTTGTTTTAAATAAGTTGCTTTGTAAATTATAAATGGAAATTATATTCTAAATACCTTGGAAAATATAAAAACAATCATCCATTATGCCACCACCCTAACAACTCCTGTTAGGATTTAGGGAGATTTCCTTCCAGTACTTATTACATACATGCTTTTTTACGTAATTATAATCTCAGTGTATGCCTATTTACCACTCTAACTTCTCTTCCATGCATTAACATAATTCCATAAAGCTAAATAATTTTCCTAAGATTTAAATGGCATTGTATGAATCCATGTAGAGGATGCACCTTAATACACTCTGTTCCTGGCTACTGAATGTTTAAGTTGTTTATAACTTTCTGTAATAATATATAATTGCAAATTATTTATACACATAGTCACACAGTGTGCTGTTTGGATTAGTCCTTTAAGAGAGATTTTCAGGTGACAGGTGCCTGGGGCAAACTGTACCTCAACCTTGTTTACCACTGTTGAAATGCCTGCTCGGTCCACTGGCCCATCTTGTTACCCTCTCTGTTTGAATTTCCTCCTGCCTTAGCTTCAGTTGGTCTCGGATGGATCCTCTGCAAAAGCCCTGTAATCCTATCATTCCCCGCTGCCTTCACAAAAAGCAAGATTCACTGCTTCTTCCATTACCTCCAAGTGTTCTCACAAACTGGAGGACACTTGACAAACGAAGATGCCGAGGAGGGACAGGACAAATCAAACGGGTTGGTAAGGACGAGAGGAATGTGGGATTAAGAAGAAAGAGGGAACTTGAGAAAAGGCTCAGGAAAGCGAGACCATGAGGCAGACCCTGATGGGCTCCCACACGCTCATCTTGAGAAGGGTTTCGGAGGCGTGGGAGAGGAGGGGACACAGGGGGGTTCCTGCGGGTTGGCTGGCAACAGCATGACTTGAAGGCAAATGGGCTCTTTATGAGATGGAAAGACCTGCGGTTATTTATAACCTGAGAGGGTTATTCACTGGACAAGTTCTAAGCCCTCCAGAGATGAGATTCTCTGGGTCCCCACGATATAGTTCAAGGTCAGAAGTGAGATGGGGATCAGGGAAGGCAGGACTGGAGAAGTAAGATGCTGGTAGGGTCTGGATGATGCCAGAGGGGGCAAATGCCCAGCCCAGGGCTGGCAGGTGAAAAGAGGGGAGGTCAACTGGAGTAGGAAAAAAAAATTTTTTTTTTGCCCGGACCAATCGCTCAGTTGGTTAGAGTCTCATCCCGATACTGTTCTGGGCTCCATCCCTGGTTAGGATACATCCAAGAAGCAACCATGAATGCATAAGTGGAACAACAAATTGATGTGTCTGTTTGTCTTTCTCTATCCCTTCCTCTCTTTCTCTAAACTCAATGAATTTAAAAATTTTTTAAATGGGGTCTTGAGTTCACTTGTCTGAGGACAGAGGGCTGACAATGACTTTTTAGTTGCTATCTATAATTGTAATTCTTTGGAAAGTAAAAGGGAAAGATGGAGAAAATGAAAAAAAAAAGAGCTTTCTTTCCTTCTTCCTCATTCTTTCAACAAATATTCCCAGTACTTCTTCCCCTGAGCTCTTTCTGAGTACCTTAGTAAACTAAGTTCGAATCAAATAATCCTTCACAGTCTCAAATTCTTTTACGGGCTAGAAAGAACTTAAGTCATTAAAAAAAAAAGGTAATGAATATATAAGAATAGGCTAATAAGTAAAGCATGTCATAAACGGCACCGGTCACAACTCTGCAGCAGGTGTACTTGGTCTCAATTGTGAACAGCGCCACAGAGGATACAAGGTGGGTTGTCTTCCAGATTCTTCCTCACAGCATTCTGTGTCGCGTTCTGCGCAGTGAGTGAGACAGCCAGGGGCTCAGCCACCGGCACCATTGACAAGGCGGTGGCATTGATGACATCCATCTTCTTGAAATAAGCCACTGCCCGGTTTCTCATAAACTGACAAATAGTAGTAAGTTCCCACTTTTAAGAGCCTCTCATTTCTCACTCTGATCTTGTTCGCTGTTCAACCAGCCTCCTGGAAATCACAAAGAGCATAGAACTGTCTTAGAAAACACAGGCACGCTCGCCTGGCAAACAGGGCTGTGGAAGCACATGCTGCGTGCAAGACGGGGAGCAAAGGCTTTTGTCTGACAAGCCTGTTGTCAACTGAGGATTCCAAGGCATTATAAACGTCTCCTTTCTATCCACAGATGCCCACGCCCCAGACCCAGTGAAAAATGTTATACGGTTGACCTTTGAACAATATGAGGATGAGGAAGAGCTGCCCCCATGTAGTCAAAAATCCACATATCACTTTTGACTACTGAACCGAACTACTGATAGCCTGCTGTTGACTAGAAGCCTTATCAATAGCATACACAGTCGATTAACACATACTTTGTAAGTTATGTGTATTATGTACTGTAATCTGACAACAAAATAAACTAGAAAACAGAAAATATTATTTAAAAATAATAAAGAAGAGAAAATATTTAAAGTACTATATGGATTGATTAAAAAAAAATCCATGAGAAGTTAAAGGGACAACCGTAGATTTAAAAATACAGGGGCTGGGCGTTAAAAAGGCTGGGGCTCCGGATGACCAAGGAAGTGAGCTTGCAAATGAGAAATGAAATCAAATCTTTTTGCCTCTCTGAGTCTCACCCGGGAAGCCAGAGACATGCATGTGGCTCCTAAGACCCCTTTCAGGTCTCAGGTGCTATGACTCTATGACACGGGTCCATCTCCTCGGCCTGAGGGTCCTGATCTACCTGAGCTTCTGCTCCTTCCCAGGAAACTGGCCCCATCCCTAGCCTGCCTTCTGGGTCCTTGCTTTTTGGCCAGTTCATTGCTACCGTCCTTGGGTCCTCCATGTACGTCCACAGCCCAGTGGCAGAAGCCTGGCTACGATAAAGTAAAAACATTGAGACCTGCCCTCAAGAAGCTCCTACAGAACTGAAGGAGAGAGAAAAGGCAGAGTCCAGTGGAAAACTTAACCAAGGGGCCCTTCCACTATTCTCCCTCCCTCTCCTTCTGTTCGTGCCTTCTGCGCGGCCCTCTTCGCCCCAGGCCTGTGTCCCCCACGCCGAACTTCTCCCTGGTCCCTGCCATGCTATGCTTTGTGCCCCCATGCCTTTGTACGTGCTGTTCCCTCTGTTCAAAGCTCAGCCCAGGTGACACATCTGTTGAAGGCTTTCTTCAAGTACTCCAGGCCATCAGTACCACCCTGTCCTCCGTGAAGCCCAGGGCTCTGCTCTCACCTCTCCGTCCCAGCGCTTACAATACTGAATCGGCGTGATGTGCTTCTACAGCTTTCTCCATTAGGCAAATTACTCCTTAGGGACTGGGGTCGCTCAATAGCTGTTTCCAGTTTAGACTCACCACACTTCCTTCTAGTCCAAAGAGGCCACCGGGGCTACCGCGGGCAGTGGGATTACAGCGGGGCTGGCCCAGGCCCAGGTCAGCACTCTTTCCTCCTTCCTGCTCCTAGCCTGAAGCTAACGGGCAATGGGAGAGGGCTTGGGGCTGGGAGGTGCGCTGCTGGGCTCTTCACTTCCTCCCACCCCCTCTCCTGGGCAAATTACTTGTTCTCTGCGAAGCCGGGCTTCGAGACGCTGTCACGAAGCCTCTTGGTTCAGCTTAACATTATTATTCATGCCTAATAGGGAGAATTGAATATTATGCTTTTTAAGAGAAACGTTAAAAAATACATACTTTGTTCCCTTCTGAATTTTTCGTCATACCGTTTTAGGATAAGTATTCTCTGAAACATGTTAAGTTTTTATTGTCCGTACTTAAAGGGGAAGAAGGGCAGGGGAAAGAACTTAGTTGAGTGTCTACCCTGTGCCCTGCACTGTGCTGTGTGCTGGGGGAAGATGAGCAGGAGGAGGAGAAACATCCTGCCCTCATGAAGCACAGATGCTGGCAGCTGAGACTGGAATGTCCTTGTTTGAAGTTAACATGTTTTAACTTAAACAAATTGACTTTTGCCCTGGGTGGTGTGGCTCCATGGATTGAGCACCAGCCTGAAAACTGAAAGGTCACTGGTCCCATTCCCAGTCACGGCACCTGCCTGGGTTGCGGGCCAGGTCCCTGGCTGGGGGCGTGCGAGGGGCAACCGACTGATGTATCTCTCGCAAACATTGATGTTTCTCTCCCTCTTTTTCTCCCTCCCTTCCCTTCTCTCTAAAAATAAATAAATAAAACCTTTTTTAAAAAGTTGACTTTTGATAATTCAATGACTAGTTAGAGGGCCTAATACAAGCCCGCAGCATATTCCTCCTGGGGACAGGATGGTGAGCGAACAAGGCTTGATCCCTGCCCTAAAGGGGTTAGGTCTACTGGGGAGACATGGGATAACCAAACAATTACATGAAGTAATTGGGATTAACTCAGACCATTTCTTTGGAAGGTCACCCAGTGTTGCGAGATGACATAATAGTGGGCAGTGACCTAGTCAACATGGCCAAGGCTCGAAGGAAGGGCAGGCTTTAATTAAAGGAGAGGGGAAACAAAGGCGGGAAAAGCCTCGATCTGTGCACCACAATAGCCACTAGCCACATGTGACAAGCAAGCCCTTGGAACTGGGTTAATGTGACTGGAGATCTAACCTTTTTAATTTAAAAATGAAGCAGTACCCCTGCCAGCTGTGGCTCAGTTGGCTGAGCGTCAACTGGCAAAGCCAAAGGTGGCCCGGGCATAGGCCTGGGCTGCGGCCTGGTCCCCTGTAGGGGGCGTGCGAGAGGCAACCGATGGATGTTTCTCTCCCTCTCTCCCCCCTTACCACTCCAAGAATAAAATAAAAAATTTAAAAAATGAAGCAGTACAAGTTTAAATGTATTAATTACACAATATTAAAGTGATAATATTCGAGACACTTGGAATTAAATATTATTCAAATTCATATCACCTGTTTTTGTTTTTCTTTCATTTACTTTTAAAAATACGGCTATCTAGAAAATTCTAAAAGACGTACTGAGCCCACATTACGGTTCCATGGGCAGCGCCGGGCTAGACCATGCAGGTTTCGGTTCTAGGACGTGGAACTCTCCCCTTCTCAACGCAGTGAGGTGTAGCTGAAAGAAAACGACACTTGGAGCCGGAGACCCATGGGTCCTACACCTCCTTGGCCGGATAGCCGGCACCACTAGGCACCCTGAGTGCTTTCATTTATCGAATTTATCGAACTTAGTAATACACTCTGTTAGGACTTCAGGAGATGTAGGGTTGACACTCTAGTTCTCTGCCCCTTGTTCACTGTGAGACCTTGAAGCGGCCCCTGAGCCTCAGTTTCCCCCGCTTGTGGAAACCAATGAGAGTCGGGCGTAGGGAAACAAGGAGGGGGCCATCGTTCTTCTCTTGGGCTTACCTGAAGACACTGGCGAAATCCGACGAACTCGGGGCCGGTTCCCGTCACCGGTCCCTCAGGGGACGCTGCAAAGTTCTGGAAGCGACAGCCGACGCCTGTTCCCCCACATCCACCCGGAAGGGATGCCCTTTGCTTTGTGGTCGCGAGGGAGGAAGAGGCGAGGGGCAAACAGGGAGAGGCCCATTTTGCTACTGTGAGCCCTGGCATTCTCCAGGCAACGCCGGGCGCCACCACCGCGTCCCCAACCTCACAACAATGGAACCTTCACGAGCCGCCGCCGGACGCGGTTACCTAGGTGACGGCCGGGCTAGGTTGGCGAGACCAGACCAATGGGTCTGTGGGGAGAGCGAGTGTAGTTCCTCGTCCTATCCTATATCGGGGGGACATGTAAGTGAATCCAAAAGACAACTCCTTTGTGTAGTCCACTTAATATATCGAGGGCAGTTCTAGGGCGTTTTGGGTGCTTCTCAGAGGCTCGCGGAGTGGAACCTGCTGCGCCTGGAACCCCCACTTCCTCGGTGGTAGAGTCCAAGGCGGGGCTGCACTTGCGCGCGGCGGGCGGGCGGTGGCGTGGCCCGCGAGCGTCGCGAATCTTTGGGGGCGGCTTGCGGGTGGTCTGGGCGTTCACTTGGAAGCTGGCTTCTGGAACCCGTCGGGTACGTCTCTGATCCCGGCGTCTCCGGAGGGCTGAAGAAGGGTAGGACGCCCGGACTCTCCCCCAGGAGACCCAGCGCCTCCCGGCAGCCGGAGCGGCCCGAGGGCGCCGGGCTCCGGGCGAAGGCCGGCTTCACCCAAGGCTGGTGACAGCCCCTGTAGACGTGTATTTCCTTGATTGTACATTGGGATAGTAATTCCTCCCTTAGGTCGGCTGTGAAGGGCGTGCGAGCGAACGTTTGTTCGCTACCGACCGTTGAATCCGCCAGCCCCGGGGCGGGGTGGGGGCCGGGTACTGGCGCGGCACGTACTTGGCTGGCTCTGAAGCCTGGGCGACGCGGATCCCTTTGAGAATCCGAAGAAAGCCGAAGACTCATCTTCATGTTAGATTAAAATAAGATAACGTAGTTTATGGCCCACTGCAAACTGTAATGCACTGCACAACGATGCAGTGATTATCATCACCGGCGCAGAGGAGTGGGCTTATTTTGAAGCCCAGTTCCACCACCTTCCCGCGGTGCGATGGGGGCAAGGTACCGTATGTCGCTGTGGATAATGCGCACTTTTTGCCCAAATTTTTGAGGGGGGAAAAAATAAGGATATGCTTTATGCATGGGTATAATGATCCCGTGTATAATGCCCACACAACGTGAGCGGCTTCTTTTAAGCCTCCGTTCTCTGATTCGTAGATGGGGACATCCTTGGGTTGTTGTAAGCCTCAAATGTCATGGTTTTTTGTAACACTAAAGCACTTTAACAACCTGTGGGTAGGGTACTGTTATTTTCCCTGATTACAAATAAAGAAGCCAGAGGCGCAGTAGAGAGAAGTGCTGGGGTTCCCTTGGGAGAGGGGCGTGCGGTGGGGAGCTGCGAGTGATGGGTGGAACCCAGATGCTCTCTTCACTTGCTTTGTGCTAAGCCCTCTCTCCCCGGGGAGTTCCACTAGAAAGAAGACTGCCAAGGGGACCTCTGGGTCCACCCTAACGTTCCAGGACCCATGCAGGGATCTGCGCCAGAGTTCTTTGTGGATGATGGGATCTGACCAAAAAGGCAGCTAGTGCAGACCCTCTTCCTCATCTGTTAGATATTGATGACGTCAGCTCTGCCACGTTATGGGCTCTTCCTTCCACTGGACACCTCACGTACAGTTCAGGACAGGTGACCTTTGACATATAGATTGAGTGAGGGGCACTGTTACCCATCTGAAAGTGTAGTATAAATACAGCTATATTTCTTTAAAATGGAGTCTGTGCAGAAGCTCTTGCCTAGTGTGCTTCTTACTGGTGTACTGGAATTAGTAGAATCGTGTCCTTTACTCTAGGCTGCAAATCTGGTGATGTCAGCTTGTGACAAAATTTAACGTAGGCAAGTCAGGCACTTGCCTTTGTTTCCATAAACTGTAGAGCCAGACACACACACACGTGTTCAAATTCTTGCTCCCTTTTAGGACCATGGTCTTTCTAAACCTTGTCTGTCAGGCGGGGATAACGAGAGGAGCTAACCAAAGGGTGGTTGTGAAAGCCAAGATTCTACGTACAAAGGGCTTAGCATCCTGTCCGCCCAGCACAGGGCAAGCACGTAGCATGCGGGAGCCATTACCAGGGTGTAAATAGCCATGTAAGATGTATGTTTCAGTGATTTTAGGACAGTAACATAAAGTCACTCACTCAGCTGTTTGTACCCCTGACTTGTTCTGCCCCTAGCACAGGGAGCATCGACCTTTCCTTCGTCCGGCCAAAGATGCCTCTCTTTGGGAATACGTTCAGTCCAAAGAAGACTCCGCCGCGGAAGTCCGCTTCTCTTTCCAACCTGCATAATGTGAGTATCAGGACTAGGGCCAGCCCAGTGTGCATGTGACTGGAGCGGCAAGTGTGGTCTTGGGCGGAAAGTTGGGTGCTCCAGAGGCACCCAAATAGGAGGGCATCCTTTTCGTTCATGTTGCTATTGCTAAAACCATTTTTAACTCCTATGTGGAAGTTACTGTCAGAGCTTGTTCAAGAACCTGATAAGGCAGTCAATCTCATGATTTTTGGCTCCATATATTATCCAATTTGACTTCACTTTATTCCCAAGACGTGGCCAGGAACCGATTTTAGTCATGTCTGAGAATCGAGTCATTCTGAAAGGATATCATTTTGCCACCATTAATGGCATTCAGAAGGCCTTGTCACAACTCCAGGAGCAGTTTCCAGGCTCCTCGAGGGCAGGGCTAGTCACAATCGTCTCTGAATACCTGGTACTGGTCCTGACGCAGGGTGGGTGCTCAGTGAGGAGTAGAGACATTGAGAAATCCATTAAAGAAGAGCTGCTACTACGAACAGGGCGTTAGCATTTTATGCTTTGTCTATGACATACAGGGTGGGGCAAAAGGAGGTTTACAGTTGTTAATATAGAAAATAATAAAATAATTAACAAGTAATAATATAACAATAAACTCTGTGTTTCATGTACTCAAAACTGTAAACTTATTTTTGCCTGGCTCTGTATGTAGCTCCATAGTAAACAGGTGATAACTTGGGCTTATTACACATAAAAAGGATTTTTCACAGTAGATGTAAAGTAACTCATTCTACAAATTTCAGCATGTAAAGCTTTTTTAGAAAACGTCTGTTGGATAAAGCAGTATGTTTCTTCTCTCATAGTTTAAAAGTGTTTGCCACACCTTACTTGATTTCCTGACTTCAAAAAACAGTATTAAATATGCTGGGTAATGATTAGGGGAAAGAAAGGAAGTATCGGGGTCCCGCCGTTAGGAGAGGCGCTGGACTGGAGTCCGAGGGCCATGGCCATCTGGAGTGGCATGCAGTGTCTCGCCCGCAGTTGGACCGGTCAACCCGGGAGGTGGAGCTGGGCCTTGACTACGGAACCCCCACTATGAACCTGGCTGGACAAAACCTGAAGTTTGAAAACGGCCATTGGATAGCAGGTGTGCTGATTTCCTGCCACTTTTCTAGCAGGACTGTGGAAGGAAGTCCTCCTTATAACTGCTGCTTCTGTCTTTCCACCAGAGACAGGGATTAGTGGAGGTGTGGACCAGCGGGAGGCTCTGCGCCTCCGGAAGCGGAACCAGCAGTTGGAAGAAGAGAACAGCTTATTGCAGATGAAAGTGGAGATCCTGCTTGACATGGTGAGGAAGGTGATGGGAAGGGCTACCCAGGCTTTCCTCTTGAGGGAGGCTCCCCCTCAAATCACTCCATCCAGCCCGTACCTTGTGAGTGCTGGTGTGCGCAGGCGCAGTGCTTTGAATCCAAAGATAAAAAACCAAGTCAGACACAGTCCTGGCCCTCAAGCGCTCACAGCCTAGCGGGGAGATAGACGATAAACGTGATGGCAGTTCCTTGTGATAAAGGCAACATTTAGAGTCTGTACAGGGCCTGGTGCCAGCACATGAGGGAGAGAAAGCAGTTCTTCCGAGACAGGAAGACGTCACACAGGAAGGGATAGTTGAGCTGAATGTGGAACGACAAAGCGAGGAGTGGAGGCTGGGACGAAGGAGGACTGTCGGCTCATGGCGTGGAGATGTCCTGTCCCTGGCAGGTGTTCGTCGGTGCCTGGCGCAGACCTGCCCGGAGCTCTCTGCCTTCGAATCTGGCTGTCAAACACCCAGAGGCCACCTGGCCGGGTGGCTTAGTTCGTTGGACTGTCATCCCATACACCAAAAAGATTGTAGGTTCCAGTCCTGGTCAAGACATGTACCTAGGTTGTGGGTTTGATCCCTGATCAGGGTGTGTACGGGAGGCAACCGATCGATGTCTCTCTCTCTCTCTCCCCCGCCCCCACCCCCTTCCTTTCTTTCTCTGAAATCAATAAACATATCCTCGCTTGAGGATTCAAACAACAACAAAAAAGCCCAGCAGCCTGTTGGGCCTAGAGATACAGGTGAAGGCTGATGGAGAAGCAGGAGAGCATACATTGGAGTGGCTGAGAGTATGCATTCTGGAGCTAAACTTCCTGGCTTCCGGCTCAGCTCCACATTAGTCGTGTGACTTCAGGCAAGTTACCTGATATATGTGAAGAACTTAGTTTCTTCAGCAATAAAATAGGCATGAGAGTGGGAGACACCCAGTAGTGAGTTAATCATGCAAGTAAAGCACTCGGAATAGCGGATTGTTCTGGAAGGGTAGCCCTTACTTCACAGTAAGCTGACCTCTCCTTTGGAGAGTTTATTTCTCTCTCCCTTTTGTGAGTATGTGAAGTCCATTGAAAGATCCTGATGAGGAAAGTGGCATTCTTTTTTAAGCATTTTCCCCCTTATGCATCATGGGAGATACAGCTCAGAAGCAACTAATCCTTTAGCTTAGAATCAGCGATATCTGCCTTTTTCACCCCCTGGGGCCTGCTGTCATTAATGCAGTGTGTACCATGCATTTCTAGGTGATCAAAAACGGTGGAGTGGATTGTGTTCAAGTACTGAGATGGTTACATTCTGCTCAATTATGAAGGGGTTCCTGTCATGGAGGCCAGCTGCTAGTGTTCGAGAAATGCCCGGGGCCTGTAGTCCCAGTGCACAGGGATGGCCTTGCAAACCTGAAACACAGCCCAGAAATGTCTTTTCTAACAGTCTGCTGCTTTACTTTCAGTTCTCTGAGACCACTGCTGAATTCCAAATAATGAAGAAGGAATTGAATGAACTGAAGACTGTCTACCGGAGAAGGAAATGAAGACCTCCAGAAACATTCATTAGGAGAATAGGGAGAAACCTACTGACCAGAGAAGGGTTTTCTTAGCCAAACTAGTGGATTAGGTCCTAAGAGAGAGTACCATGAAATGCGTACTATGTATAGGCACTGGCACCTTTGATTTGCAAACGTTTGTTTCAGCTTCTGGGGTGAGAAAATTCTCAGGACTTCAAACCAGGCCTGTGCTGCCAGAGTGCAGCTATTGGTGCTTTGCAGAAGGCAAGTGAGGTGGGCCTGTTTGAAAACACCAACTTGTGTGCTATGCATGCCAAGCGTGTAACAATTAGCCAAAAGACATCCAGCTAGCACACTGCATACGTGGAGAACGTGCTTTAAAAATCCACTATGATGGGAAACATTTCATTTTTTAAAAAATTCTCTTTCTCTTATTTGTAGTTCTTAATATTATCATCCCCCCCACCACTGCCGCCCTTGGGGTCAAAAGGTACCTAAGTATATGATTGCAAGTGGAAAATAGGGAACAGAAATCGGGTATTGGTGGTTTTTCCATTTTCATTTGTGTGTGAATTTCCAAAATGTAAATGTATGGGCATAAAGCATTAATGCAAGTCAAAATGTTCCAGTGAACAATTTCAGCAGTTCAACTTCATGACAATATAAATAAACCTGTTTTCCGGACAATGCTAACATTTGGATTTTTAAAAACAAGTAAATTTCTTATTGTTGGCAATTAAATGGTTTTTGCAGCATTTTTATCATACAGTCGACTCCATCCATTCACTATACTTGGGTTCTGCATCATACATGCAAGTACATCTCTTTAATGTCTTCTGTGCCGTTCCTGTAAGCTTGCTATTAAAATACATTAAGCTATAATAAAAAATAAAGTAACTGCGATCCCTAAGAGATTTGTTTAAAATGCAGGTTTCTGCCCTGGCTGGTGTGGCTGATTGAGTGCCGGCCTGCAAACCAAAGGGGTCGCTGGTTGGATTCCTACAGGGGGCACACTCCTGGGCTTCGGGCCAGGTCAGGGGGAGCATGAGAGGCAACCACACATTGATGTTACTCTCCCTTCTCACTCTAAAAAAAATTTAAAATCTAAAAAAAATGCAGGTTTCTGAGCCCACAAAGCCCTCTAACCAGAATTACTGCAGAATTATTCCATAATTCAGCAAGTTTCCCCGGTGTGAATTTCCACTGAAATCTCGGCCGCCTCCTGGCATGGCTGAAGGCGGATAACGGCTGCTGGCCAGAGGGTGTCGCTCGACCCCCGTGCTCCCGCCTCCGGCTCCCGGAAGAGCAGCTCTATCCTCCCCTCGAGAAGCTCTATCCTCCACTCCGCGCTACACTTGCCTCGCCTCCTTTCTTCCGGTTCCGGTGTCTCCTTACAGCCATGGCCGCTGCCGTCCCTGGTGTTGGCCCTGGGGCTCCCCTGTCCCCGGACGAGTTGCCTCCGAAAGGTGATGCCGAGAGGACTGAAGAGGAGCTGGAAGAGGAAGACGACGAGGAGGTACTGGGGCCCCGCGGGGTGGAGCGGGGCTGGGAGCGGGGTTCCGGACAGGAGCGTCCCGCCCGGGACTGTGAGCTCCGCGTGCTGCGGAATCGGGGCAAAGGCGCGTTGCGGAGCCTGGCGAGATCGGAACAGCGTCTCTGAGAAACGGGGTTAGGGGCCCCGCTAGGCCCAGGGAGCCTTAGGTCCGGGGTGAGGGTGGGCGGCTCGGCGTGTCCCGGCGTCGGAAGGTTACCCGCCGCTTCGGCCAAGACTCTGGCCTCCTTCACCACAGCCAGATGAGACCCTGTTGGAGAGACTCTGGGGTCTGACGGAGATGTTTCCGGAGAGGATCCGGTCCGCGGCCGGAGCCACTTTTGACCTCTCCCTCTTTGTGGCTCAAAAAATGTACAGGTAAGGGACAAGGGCAAAGATGTCGGGGTGTGCCTGGGGTGCCATGAATGAACACGGGCTTTGGAGGTAGCATACCTAGGTTGGCAGCCAGCCTGCCACCTAGATTGTTGAGTGACCTTGGACTTGTGATACCTTAACCTTTCCTATCCTCAGTTTCCTATTCTTACAGTAGGGATTCTTGTCGGGCAGGGTGGTTAAGATCGTTTCAGATTATGTGAGGTAATTAACGTATTAGTATCTTTGTAAGAACTCAGGAGAAAGTTACAACTGCTATCACTAGATACACAGCTACCAGGCTGCTTCTCTTGTTTCTGGTCGGAGCATGGTGCGAGAGTTGGGTAGAACACATTTATGATAAAACAGTGGCATAGCTAACATGAGAAACTTTGCTCCTCCTTGGTGCGGCCGTCTGGTTTTGCCTCACCATCACGCTGCGAAATCCTTCTGCAGGTTTTCCAGGGCAGCTTTGTGGATCGGGACAACTTCCTTCATGATTCTGGTTCTTCCTGTTGTCTTTGAGACTGAAAAGTTGCAGATGGAGCAACAGCAGCAGCTGCAGCAGCGGCAGGTAAGCCCCAGGCCCTGGGCTTTTTGCTGGTGGTAGAACCACTACTCGGTTATGTCTCCAGCACCTGGGTAGACCAGCAGTTAAGGCGTGGGTAGAGGTTGGGATCTGGCCCATGTTCTTTTAGGTATTTGATTGTGCAGTCAGTCAACATTGTTTTTGTAAACCTTGTCTGCCTATTACATGGGATGAAAAAATGAGATCTCTAGGCCTGTACAATGCCTTAACGTCATTCCTTTTCTGTTCCAGATACTTCTAGGGCCTAATACAGGGCTGTCAGGAGGAATGCCAGGGGCTCTACCTTCACTTCCTGGAAAGATCTAGATTGTCACTACTATCTTTGACCCGTCTTGGCAGGAGAAGTTTGCAAATTTAAGTGTTTGAACTTTTTTTTTTTTTTTTTTTTAAACTTGGGCACCCTGACCTAAATCTGACTGGGAGAACTTTCCCCATGTTGTCTCATGGAGAGAGTCCCTCCCTGCAACTGTGCCCTTCAAGCTATCCTGACTCACTACTCCTGTCCTCACTCTGATAGGAGTGCGGCAATGCAGGTGGTTACTCCAGCTCGGGCCATCCCACAGCTTTTGCTAAACTGACTCCTGACTGGGAGATCTCAGTAGCTCTTTGCGGGGGCCATTGGGAAGGATGTACCCCTGACCAGTAACGACTGTTTTGTTTTGACGTGCACACTATATGAAATACAAAATGCAGTACAGCTTAGTGTAAAAGCAGCCACTGTGAATTCCTGTGTATGTTGGAAAAGAGGGCGGGCTGGCAGCAACTTAAATCACAGGATGGGACTGTGGAGGGCACAGCCAAAGCTTACCTCCTCTGCACATTTTGGCTGTTAGACCTGTGTGTGTGTGTCTAAGACAATAAAAAAAAAGAGTCATGCTCACTTTTGTATTTAAATATTAAAAATGATTCCAACTGGAAGTGTTATGCACGTGCTTCTGATACATACACACCTTGAAATTAGACCATTTCAGAAGGGCAAAGACGCAGACTGCCCCAAAGTACAATATATTTCTAGAAGATGGCTTGTGGATGTGAGTGAATTCCTAATAAAGCAGCATCATACTAAGTATACCCTTTTTCCCTTTACATATGTAATTACAGAATTCAGACAATGAGGTTTACGTACGGAGTTTTCCATTTTTAATATTTGGTTAAACAAAATACATCTTTTGTAAACAAACCCAGCACAAGGCCAACAAAAAAGGGCAGGGAATAAAAGCAAGAAAAACAAAAAGCCTAGGGTCGCCCCTTACTGGGTATCAGGGTCAGGCCTGCCCGTCCTTAAAGGAAGTGGGACTTTTTGCCCTTGGGCATCAGCATGGGTCCCTGTTTCTAAGCACCAGAATTGGATATGAACAGAGAAACCAGCCCTGAAATGGTTGAGTGTCTTTGCATATCCTGTTGGCTCACGGACTCCCAACTACATGGGGATTCCTTTGAAGTGCCATTTGCACAGGTCCAAGCAGACTGGAGAGGAATTTCCTCCTCTTCCCAGGAAATGGCTTACTATCTTATCACTGACAGTGCCAATGGACCCAAGGTCCTGCTTGTGACAATCAGCAAGGTTGGCTGTAATTTCTGGCTGGTGGTGGTTGGAATGTCATTGTGCAGGGATAAGGTAGAGAGCTCTCTGTGGTGCCAAGCAGGTCTGACATAAAAAAATGGTGCAAACGAGACTGCGGTCAGTCATTTAGATGGTGTAATGCAGTAGCCGCTTGGTGGCCTCTTACTAAGCATAAAAAACGGCCTTGTTGAAGATACATGTGCAGAAAAAGTGCTGGTGTAAACATGCACTCCAGTCACAGTGGGGAAGAGAAAGCCTCAGCTTCGTCCCATTTCGCTTGCTCATGGCTGACATGCAAGCCCCAGGCTGACTTTGCTGCTGCAGAGAAATCAGCAGCTCTCAGGCCTGACAAGGCCACTGATCTGCAAGGGCTAGACAGGCCATCTCTGCCTGCCCACTTGCCTTGAGGCAGCTACAACCATTTTGGTGACTCGCAGTGTGGCATGGCATGTACTCCCCATCCTGTTTCCCAAAGCTGCAGGAAAAAAGTGGCCTGCAACTATTAAAGAGGTATGGGGCAATCAATTCTCAGTTGATTTGTAAAGGAAATTACAGAAAGATGACAAACCCAGGTCCTGTAACAATGCACATAACCACCTGACTTGACTGCGTGTCACTGTAGTGACTCGGCGCCTAGGACTTCTGATTCGAGCTATTTCTTTTCACGCTGGAACTCGATGTTGAAGGCAGGCTTATTTTTTCCAGTTTCTGCCACTGGGAAAGCTGCCCTTTTGCTTATTTTGTGCCCCAGAGCCTCCTTAAATTGCTGTAATGAAGTGGCAGGGACAACGCTGGAGTGCGGCAGCCAGGTCGGCCACGCCCCCCGGCTTTGGTCATGTCCTCTTAGGTGTCTAGCTCACCCTGTCACACTACAATGTTGCAGGATTCAACCACTTGGTATGAAGTATTAGAGAACTTTTCATTATAAAACTCCCAAGGATGGCCACACGCCACCCTCAAAAACAGGGTGGGGGTGGCATTCTGGGCTGGAGATGGCGTGTGCTGCTGCTGGGGTTGTGAAGACGGTTTCCTGAGAGGCCCTTTTGCTCTGGGTCCTTCAAACCAGTCCCATGGGCTTTGCATGTACTGTCTTCAGACCCACTGGTTGCCGGGAAAGGGGACATGGAGGCAGCATCTCCAGGCAGGTCAGAGCAGCAGTGAACTCCAGCACAGCCTCCATCAAGTCCTCAGAGGAAAGGGAGAAATACGCTAGGACCCACCTGTTTTCCTCCTCTCCAAACACAGTAAGAGTCTTCCGTCGCTTGCCCTAACACAGAGCTCCTACCTTCCTTTCCCAGGAACAGGTAACGCTGGTTAGTTCTTGTAACATTTCACACATCTGGCCTATTGCACTGTCAAATCTGAGAGGAAAACCCCGATGAGATGTCTGGGGAAGTGGCAAGGGCAGACCCACTGTACAGGCCACAGCACGTCACGGAGGATCTGGGGGTGGAGGTGAGGGAGGCTGGGCAGAACTGTTACACGTCGGCCCTCCAACTCTGGTGGGCCTCCACCTCTTCTGGTACCACCAGCAGGAGTTCACAGTTCTTTCCTCGCAAATGATGTTTTAGAAATTTCCTATGGGGGAAAATGAAAGAAAATGAAGTGCTGCTAAAACTGTAAATGCCAGTCTATGCGCCCCATGTTCACCAGTAACATTATCCAGGGGTGTCCAACCTTTTAGCATCTCTGCAGCACATTGGAATAAGATGACTTCTTGGGCCAAACATTACATACATTGCAACATGTAATCACACATACAAAAAAAATCTCATAATGTTTGAAGTAAATGTATGATTTAGTATTGGGCTGCATTCATAGCCATCCTGGCTTGCATGCTGATGGCAATCCTAAAAAACACTCTCGGAGTGATCTGTTCTTGGAGGGTTCCCCTCCATCTGTCCAGTTACGATTTCCAATCTGAATTTCTGCTCCTCCTATTACCACCAAAAATAGCTAGTTCTATGACAAATGGAACCAGCCCAAAGTACTCTAAAATAAAGGACTTCTAATTGTTTTAAAAAAGAAAAAAAAAAAGTTTCTCCATTAGTCTCAGAGAAATCTAGCCCTGTCTGACCTGAGTGTCTTCCTTTCCCTGACCTGGCAGCTACACGGTCACAGCTGTCTAAGTGATGATAACACTGCGATGCCAACACCACCAGACCTGAAGGCCAGTGTCCCAGGTGCGGGGAACTTCCTGGGCCATCAAAGATTCAGGTCTGAGGCAGGGAGAGGTCCAAGGAGCGAGGAATTTCATTTCCTTTGCTAGCCAAAGATGAGCTCCACTTCCCCAACACAGCAAAGGAGCCCACCCAGCATGAGCCACCACAGGCACCTGAGCTCGCTCTCGCCTCCGATCCACTCGGGCACCTTCAGCTTGGAGTCAAGGTTGTAGTAGGCACCGCCCACCTCTCGAACACAGATCCAGTGCTGCCTTTTGAGAGGCAACTTCAGCGGACCCCAGCACAGGCTAGAGGGTAGATTCATGATGAAGCCCATGACATTAGTGAGAGCAATGGCACCGACATCCCTGCAGAGGAGAAACGGTGTCAGGCTCCAAGGCAGCCAGCCCTTTAAGGTTCCGTGGCGGTCACACCATAGCTGCCCGCCCACCGCCCCCTCATACCCTGAGCATCAGCTCTCAAGCCAAGCCTGGTTCAGATTACCTGCGCTTGTCCCACCAAACAGCTTCATAGCCTTTGGTCTGAAGTGCTGCCATAATGACGTTCACGTCGTAGTTCCCATTTCCCAGCATGCTCTTCTTGTGGGGAGTCACCATGGTGTTCGGAGACAGCCTACAGATGCGAAAGGAGGGCTGAGACTTGCTGGTCAGCCTAACACCTCCTGAGCCTGCACTAGCAGGGACGGAAGAGGACTTTAGGCCATTGTCCCCTGGAAGCTCATTTACTCCATTTGAGTCAACTGTAACCAGCTTTCAACAAAGTATTCTGTAGCCCAGGCTCCTGCTGTCCTAGGCACTACCTCTTTTTATGCAAAATAATAATTCAGTAGCGATGGGGCCCACTTGCCTGTCATTTAGAAGGTGTGTCTACCATGAAGTCAACGGACGCAAAGCGCGTTCCTCACGAGTCTCATCTGTGAGATCCCACGCCTGCCCATTTCTGCAGTCTTTTTCCTTGCTGATTTTCCCACTCTGATACAAACCCTTCTCTTTTTCACAATGGAAAATATACTTGATATTTTCATTTGTATGGTGGTATCTGTTACTCTTGTTTTTTTAAGGCTGAAATATTTTCTGTTTGAGGCTTGCACACTTGATGATAATCAATCATTTAATGCTCAATTCAATGCCCTATAGGGGCCCAGGCAGACAGCATAAATGTACAATATGAATTGGAGTCAGATATAAAGGAATAAAAAGTAGTAAGGCTCATATTAAGCTGGAATGCATGACTCTTGTAAAACATTCTGAATATATGCGTCCATGTGTAAAATACTTAAATGAGTATTTTTTAAAAACTGAAAACACCAAGAATCAAAGCAAAGTCTGTGCCAGACAGACAAAACTCCGCTGCAGCCCGGTTTGCTCACCCAGCTTAAGGCCACTTTTGGCCTGGCCTCTTAGCCACTCCTTCCTCTCAAGGCAAGGTCAGTGCTGAAGGCATTTCCAATTCTGTCATTTGCTTTCACAGGCCTGCCAGGCCAGGACCCGCGGGAAGGCCGCCCCGAAGGGAAGGGCAGCATGTGGGGAGGAAGGGAAGGGCGGAGCAGAGGCAGAGGTGCCCAGGAGGCTGCTTCGTGCGTTTCCAGAGCAGAATCGCGGCTTTAGGTCCTAATTTCTAAAAACTAAAGAAATCTTACAAAAAGTAAAAAACTCCTCTATACCCAGCAAACACACAGATACTTTTTCAACATAAAACGCACTCCTGCCACTGCTTAAATCCTCTGATGGCTCCCGTAACACTTAAAACACAACCTACACTACTGCCGCTGGCCTGCAAAGCCCTCGGGATCCTGCTGGCCTCATCACGCCTCTCGCCACACGCCCTCCTCTGCTACTGGAACACCCACAGCCCTTTCTCACTGAGGGCCTTCGCACCCACCCATGGTTGCCGCCGTCTGGAATACTCTTCCCCTAGATGGTCACTTGGTCTGCTCCGTTGTTATCTGGGTATCAAGTATGATCGTCTCAGAGGCCTCCTCGGACCATCCAACCGTAGGTCTCTTCCAGTCACTTTCTCACATATCCACCTGCTTTAGTTACGGGACAGCCCTTGTTACTACCCGCCACGCCTTCTCAATTGTCTGTTTTTCCACACTGGAAGGACAGCAGGGGCCGCAGGGGCCTTCTCCATCCTGTGAATGCTACTCCCCAGGGCCCAAAGGGTGCCTGGCACATGACGGGTGCTTAGGAAACGTAGTGTTCTCTGTGTTTATTTTGTTATTCTATCGCTTTTGCTGAAAATAGAAGAGGACTGTTAAAATGAGAAGAGCTTATTACATGCTTGTCTCTAGAGCTAGCAAAGGTACCTGAAGACACTAAATTCCAATTTGCGACCAAAATTTGTGTTCCCTGTCTACCACCGTTTACTGAGAACTTCTCTGCCAAATCCATGACATGCTTTCCTGTGTATCTAATTTAATCCTTATAGTAAGCCTATGAGGCTGTGAATTATTTCCATTTTATAGGTTTAAAAAACTAAAGCTTGAATGACTTGTCCCTGATCATTTACCTTATTTTTTTACTTAAGATTTTAGTTTAGAGAGAGCAGAAAGGAGGGAGCGAGAGAGGGAAACATCAAGGAGGGTGAGGAACAGCGATCGGCTGCCTCTCACGCGCCCCCAACAGGGGATTGGCCCACAACCCAGGCACGTGCCCTGAATGGGAATCAAGCCCGCAACCTTCCAGTTCACAGGCCCCCACTCATTCCACTGAGCCACACCGGACAGGGTGGATTGCTTATCTTTCAAGTGACAGTACTAGGATTCAAACTCAGATTTGTTATAATCCAGACTTGTGCCTGTCTTACAGCAAGGACCCAAAATCAGAATGCCAGTGGTGGCAGGTTAATAAAAGAGCAAAGGCCAGCTGAGTCCCTGGGGCCTGGGCTTAAATGTAGCTCAACAGGACAAAGGCTCTCAGTGGGTTCTTGGGCACTCGGATTAAACGCAAAACCATATGAAAGCAAGTGCAGCTCGAGGTGCATCAGGTTCTTTTCCCCTCACCATTTTTTTCTCATTACTTCCAGTGAATTCTCTAGCCAGTATGTGCACGAAGGCGCCAACAGAGAAACTGCTGAGTTTTCCTCCTCTTTCACCACCTAAGTCTCTACCAGGCTCAAAGGAAAGCTGCACTTTTGTTCCTAGAGGATCACAGAAAACATTCAGTACAATGGCTGCATAAATCAAGAAAACAGGCTGACTGCAGGAATTCTCGGAACGCCTAATACGCTAGTTATTCACCTGGGGTCTTCCATGCCCATAGGTGATACATAAATGTTCTTTGGTTGATCCCTTCACCCTCTTTCTTCCAGTCCCACCACCTCCTCTCACCGCCTTGAGTTTTAAGGCGATGGGACTATCTTTCATTCCCAAACACGTTTGACCACACAGACATTTTTTTGGAGGTGCATCCTACAAGGGTCTCTTCTGCCCTACATCACCTCACATTCAAATCCCTTCCTGTCTACTCTCTCTCCCCACTAACTGGAGGCCCTTCACCCCGCCCCGGGACTTTTTGTTGTATTTTTTTTCCATTACCATTATTTATCCCCCTTATACCCTCTTCCACTTCCACCCACCGCCGCCCCCCACAATCACCACTGCTGTCCACGTCCATGAGTCCTTTTTCGTTTTTGCTCTATCCCTCCACTCCCTAACCCCACACCCCAGAGCTGTCAGCCTGCTCTGAGTCTGTCTCTAGCCACACCTGGACTTTTAAACAGGTTCCTGAATTGATCTCCTTGCTTTCAAACTCTCCGTCTTCCAATTCACCTATATATTCCTGCCACATTCACCAAGGCATCATTTCCCTTTCTTACATAAGCGCCAGTGGAGCCCTGGCTGGTGTGGCTTAGTGGATTAAGTGCCAGGCTGCAAACTGAAAAGGTCGCTGGTTCAATTCCTAGTCAGGGCACATGGCTGGGTTGCAGGCCAGGTCCCTAGTTGGGGGCGTATGAGAGGTAACAGATTATTTCTCTCCCCCTCACTATCCCTCTTTCTAAAAGTAAAAATAAATAAATACAAAGAAATGCCAATGGAGCCAACAGCCTGATTGGCCAATTCCAACCCTACTCAGCCTGCTGTTTCCCTCTCATTGGGCTTAGTGTACTTCAAGCACAATGACCGCATGGCCTCTATTCTTTCATCGTAGTTTCTGTCCCAAGTCAAGCCCCGAAGCTTCTTTAGACTCAACCTCACATTCTACCTCCCCCATGGAATTTCTCCTGGATCCTCTGTAGTAGAAAAGGAGGGGGATTGGGAGGACCACACATATCTGAGTTCACTTCCCTGCAGCACCAATACTAATTGTGAGATTTAACCTCCATGCCTATTGCCTTACCTGTAAAAATGGGAATGATTCCTATCTTGGGTCTACTGAAGAATTCAGTTATTTTATACAGGCCCAAAGAAAAAGGAAATGGCTCTTCTCTTCTGTATCCCTCACAGATAGGCGCTGGTAACTGAGTAAACATCTATTGGTCAAACCTACCAATACAGGAAACTCTGAGAACAGCTTCCAACTCCGGAGCGGTCATTCGAATAAGTGGGGTCCATCCAGTGAGCCTACTATATTAGCACTTGCTTTTACGTTAACAATAATTAAGTGCCCATGGTATTAGCTACTTTGATAAGCTTTACCACTTAATCATTCCCTCCCCATAGTATAAAGAAACTAGGCGCAGAAGAGTTATAGTGAGTTGCCCAGTCCCCTACGGCTAGTGAGTGGCAGAACTAGGATTCAACCTCCTAACTCTGAACAGAGCTAAGGCTAAACTGGATGGCCTTCTGCATATTTCGATGCACTGGTCCCACAAAATTCCATAGGAGCCTGTTCTGCTCCAATGGATTGTTTTCTTGAGACTCACTGGCATACTCCTGTTCAGGACTGTCTGTCTTAATGCTTTCATTGGAAACTCTGGACCACAAAGCAGGTTTCTCACTGTTGTCACAGCCAGAGGTTAGAGCCATGAGATTTGAAGGATCTGCAAGTGAGAGAGAGGCTCTAGTCCAGGTCTCAGACCTCAGTTAAGTTCCAGGTCCTCTCTCATGGTTACCACTGTGCCTGGCTATGCCGGTGAGTTCAGAGTTTAATGAAAAGGAGATGTGGAGACATTCATCCATATTCCTTGTCTTCTGTAATTATTATTTTCCTTCTTATCAAATCTGAAGAGATGTGACATTAGAAAGCAAGCCTGAAGATTTTCTGACATCTTTAAATTACTTAAGTGTATATAAAGCACAGGTAACAGGGCCAGGCACACAGAAGTTCTCTGTAGATGTTGGCTATGAGAGTGATGATGCCTGCCTAGCCCTGGGAGAGAGAAGTCAAATCTCTAGAGGTTAACCTTCAGCAACACCTTTTGTCAACTTATCACCACCATGCCTTTAAACATGGCTCTTTCCACCTGCTCAGGGCCTTTTAACAGGGAGGCAGGAGGACGTCCCCTCTGTGGTAGAGAAGGCGGGTTGTTCACCAGTATCTACACTCTGTCCCTCCCATTTCACATTAGACTTCTTCCCTAGCACCAAGCTAGTTTTTGTCTATTTAGATTTTAATAGCTGTTTATTTGGAAAAGGAACACATGCCTGGCTACAGGAATATTTGATCCCTGAAAAACTGAGACAAATCTAGTGAAAATATCTGAGCTCTGAGGATTTTCAATACAACCTTGTAAAGCTGCTACCACATCGTTTAACTTCTTTCTTTTTTCAATCAAACATCCACATCTATACATGTGCACCAGCCCTGTTTCTAACCTTTCCTCTAACTTCACATGTTGAAAACCTACCCTTTACAGACCTCTTTTTGTTGTCACTGGGGACATTACCACCATCTCCAAACCTTGGGCCGAGCCTGTCACACCTCTGACTCCTCTCTTTCCCTTCCCCGTGTTGCTGCCAAGTCATGAGCTTAGCTCTTTCTAAGTTCCTATTCATTTCTCTTCCAAACATGAGTCATCTCATAGGCACAACTGTATTGAAACTCCACCCTGCTTTTTTATTTCTCTTTTATCTGGCTCAAATTCAACTGCTAGGATGGATTTCCTTTCAACAAATGGCATTAATAAAAATTTTCCTCATTTCTATTATCCGTTAGCCACATCTTCAAAAAAGCATAGACCTTTTAGATCCTGGGATTTAAAATTATCTAGTTCAACCTGCCACCATTACTGTTCTTTCCATGAGGATCCAAAGAGAGCATCTTTTCCTTTTAGACTGTTCGAAATCCAATGGTTCTAACTTCACTTGAATCTGTTCTCAAGGCCTGGTCAACGTACATCTCCAACATGTACTTCCCAGCCGCGGAGCCCGATTCAACTGGTTTTCCTGACAGTGCCTAGCGGTGCCTGGCACACTGCAGGCAGCCAATGAATGTTTGCTTAAAAAATTCCATTTTCTCTCTCTCTCTCACCTCCTCTCCCTTTGCTTTCCCACTGATCCCTTTCAAGCTTTTTTTTGTTTGTTTCTATTCATCCACACAGAATCCTTCCATACAAAATACTGAATATAGAATTCTGACCTGGCGATGGGGACAGAATATATTCCCCTTGGGTACTGGTTTGCTATTACTTTAAGGCGGATCTTTACACTGTGCTGATAGGGATCTGGGCAGTGTAGTACAACTTGCTAAAGCTTTAACAGCCACGAACAGAATTCTGGTTCCATGCTGAGTGTTGAGCAAATATTTAGATTTCTTTCATTTAGGGAAAACACAGCTAAAAGAGCCCCATTATTATTCACAAACAGCTTAAAATCACAGTCCGTATCTTCAGACCCAGACGCAACTCACCAGCAGGGTGAACAGCTACTGGAGATATAATTGTCACATGCCTTTTCAATACTCAGAAAGTGACTGAGCAGTTGGGAGGGCAGGCCCCAGAGTCACAAAGCTTGGGTCCAAATCCTGCCATCAATAGCTCTATAAACTCTCTGTGCCATGATTTCGTTTGTAAAAATGGGAAATACGTAAGAGAATCTACCTTTTAAGATCAGTGCGAGGAGTGAGTTAACACAAGGAAACAGGGCTGTGCACAATGAGCGTTCATTGTATTAGTGATCATGATCATATTAAATCACAGGCCGAACTTAAGAGTCCTGAAAAACTTCTGAACAAACACAAAATCTTGACTGTTGAAATTTACTAGGGGGTGAAAGGAATTGCTTAAACTGAATACTAAGGTCCTTGCAAGATTGCTACATATTACCTTGTTGCAAGACTGTTACATATTACCAAGTACCAAGCACATGCAAGGGCTCTCTGTGAGTCCTTTCCTTTTACGAAGCCTTAACTTAGGAAATCATTTCCAAATATTCAGTTTAGAAAAAACAGTAATGGCTGGTCAAAAGGAAGCGGTCTGAGGGACTGGCCTCCTCTCTACTCTTTTCAGTTACATACATGACTGGGTGATATGAGACAAATTATGTCACCTGCCAGGGCCCCAATTCCCAAAGAGATAATTCTGTTTGCCAGGTAATGGCCATAATGCAAATGACACATCGGTCCTGCTAAGGCATAACTATGGTTATTATTGGCAGTGAAAAATAATTACCCTCATTAGAACTTTGTCAGTACACTGCGATTAACATTCTTCTAAGAGACGACTGTGTTTCTTTCAGGGTCAACAGTCCTCACGTATGGCTTCACAAATCACCCCAAATAGGTTGTTTCCAGTTGTTAAATCAGGTCCTCTTGGGGCAATAATTTCATCTCTGGGCGAAGGGGGTCAGAGAAGGGTCTTCTGGAAGTGCCAATATGCACTGTTTGAAGAATTCTTGAGCTTTCTCTGCACTGAGCACTGAGCAGGCCTAACCCTTCCTAGCGGGAGGGATCAGACAGGCTCACTGCCAAAGCTGCTACAGGCTGCAGACGTGCTGACATGACTTGGTGATCTGAGACAAATTATCTCACCTGCTAGGGCTCCGTTTCCGGAAGAGAGTTAATTCCTGCAGAACTAATTTCTCAAACCATTGAAAAAAGAATATTAGAACGTGAAAGCAAGGAGAAAAACACTGAACTTCTATCAACCTGTTAGGGAGCATTCGGCAACGTGGCTAAGAAAGGGTATCTAGTATGAAGTAGAAAAGGGAAGGGATCAAGAGCCAGCTTCGCATCACAGCTTTGCTCCTTAGAAGCTCTTTGGACAAATGACCTGAGCTTTCTGCCTGTTTCTCTATCAGTAAAACAGAGACAGTAAAACCCGTTGGCAGGGCTACACAGAAAAAGGTATGAAAAGCACCAAGGCCAGCACATGCCCCCAAAGAAAGGCTGAGTACTGTGTATACACCTCTCTAAGGAACCCACAACATTCCACCTCCAATGTCAGGTGACTGAGCCTGAGCGGGTACTCATCTTGTCCGTGTTCCCCCTCCAGACCCGCAAACTCCTTCAGGGCACTACAACATAGTAGTGGCCAACAGCACAGATACAAGCTTGAGTTCAAACTGGGCTCCATCACTTGCTACGTTCCCTGGGAGTATTACTGAACTTCTCTGAGCCCTGTCTTTACCCATTAATGGCAATAACAACATATTCCATGGGAATGCTCCAAATCCTGTTGACGTGAAGCTCTTAGCACTGTGCCTCACCCACAGTAAGTGCTCAGTAAACGTTAGTGATTATCTTTCCAATTCTGTGTCCCTTATACCTGCTAAGAACATCAGCTAGCTGATAGTACCTGTTGGTCTGAAGATGTACAGAACTGAAATATTGCCCCACCCACGGAAATTCAGAAATAGCAGACAGTATCAAGAAGCCAAGAAGGACAGGTCCCTTACCTCTGGAAAATCTCTTGCAGCGTTTCCCGGGTGAATGCATTGCTGTCCTGGAAGACGTTATTGAGGGCATGCAGGGCACACAGCTCCCTGCGCTGCTTCTCATGGTAGATTTGCGGGGGGGCTGCCTGGGGCAGCTCCAGTGATTCAGATTTGGCCTTGTCTCCTTTCCATGGCACGCAACTCATGTTTTTCGTTTTAGGTTCCAGAGAGGGTTAAAAACACCCCACACTTCCCTCCTGAGGAAGTATGTAACCTTCTCAGTCCTTTGCAGGATTCCTGAGGTCCACCTTATTTTCTGGTGTCCATGATTTATGCTTTGTCACGGGGAGAAAAGATTGGAATCAAAAGGAAAAACAATCCATCTCTTCGCAAAAAAAAAATAACTGTCGGATTAGTGTATTTCGTTCGCCACCACTGTCAAAGTGCAGAATTTGAAAAAAATCATATAAAACCTAAGACCTTACTCCCTTTTCCCACCCTCCCCTCCCACCCCCCTCCAAAAATAAAAATAAAAAATCACGATTTTCTTGCTGTATTTTCGTCTCCGCAAAAGCTAACCAGGCCTCAATGCAGGAGGACCGAACGGAATCGGTCACATCGCTCCTTTTCTTCCATTTCTTTCAAACCACAACGCCACTGACTCAGGAGACAAGGCCTAGGTGGTGGATGAAACGGAGAATTCGAGCAGCTAACGAGGGCCGGCCAGCGTGGGATCACAGGCAGCGCTGGGGCCTCCCAGGCGGCTCTCCATCCCCTCGGGTGCGGTGGGGCCCCGCGGGGCGCGGACCAAGGCGAGCGCAGCTCCTCCGGAAAGCGTGGACTCTCACCTTCTCGCCGCGGCCCTGCGGGGGGAGACAACCCCAGTCAGCTCCGGCGGTCAGGCGGGCCACCGCAAAGAACCAGGATGGCCGAGGAAATGGCACTGCAGGTCTGGCCCCAGCCCGAGGGAAGATCCAGCGCTAGGACCGGCAGACCCGCGAGGTGTGGGGCGGAACAATTCGCCTCGCCCTCGAGGGCCCACCCGTCTCACCGCCCCCACTCAAACCTCCCCGCCGGTCACGTGAGTGCAAGCCGAGCAGCCCTCCCATCGCTCCCCTAAACCCGGCCCCCACAGCAGCCTTCCTCCACGCCCCGGATCACCCCTTACCGCCGCAAGCCGCCACCTGGAGCTGGGGGCCACCACCTGGGCCGCGCTCGAGCGAGCGCGCGCACCTGAGCCCGACGTCAGCGTCCCTCGCCCCGCGCGTGCTCCGGAAACGCCCTCCAGCACCGCCTCGGCTCCCGCCCCGCCGCGGCGTCACGTCTGAGGTCAGCCTGACGTCAGCGGCACCGGCTTCGGGGGCCGCGGCTCCGGTGCTCCTGTTGGCTGAGTTCTGGTAGCTTTGGGTGCGGGCGACAGGGCCTCCGCGTGCCGGCGACCGCGGGTAGAGCTGGTGCGGCTCTGGTCCTCCCTAGGTGGCGCAGGGCGGGGCGGTCAGCGGGAGTCCCGCCTCGACGCCCGCCACTCCCATCCCCGCCCCTCCCCCGGGCGCCCACGCCGTTCCGGGCGGTGACCCGGCCTGCGGCTGCACTTAGCGGCCCTCCCCACCCTGCCCCTCTCTTTGGGCTGGGTTACTCTGGCTGCGTGCTTTGGCCAAGGCGGACCAGCTACTCCTGCGCTCACCGTTTTGTGTTAGTGTAGCGTGCTGTTCACCAGGTGATTTCAAAGCACCTTACTGACCCGGTGGGGCGCAAATTCTCTTGGTTGGTGGGCCCGACCGCGCCGCACTCTCTAGGACTGCTGAGGCTGAGTCACATTTCAAGTCGAATGAAGAGCCCTATTTCAGTTCCTTGGTGTCGTGTTTCGGTTCACTACACACAGACCACTGGCCTCTCGCCCTCACGGTGGCAGCCTCTGCGGCTTTTCTCTGGGTTTTCTTAAGGTCTCTCTAAGCGCATTTGTGAGAAGGGTAAACTCTCAGTCCCGCGTGGACTTCCTCCACCCCCTCTACTCGCCCCCCCGCGCCCTCCCGCGCCCCCCCCGCCTGCCCTTATCTACTCCTCAGGCATATGGAAGGCATCACCGAATATTCACTCTTCACCTTAGCAGCCCTCCATTTGGATTTTTGTTTAGAAAATTGGAAAAACGGTATCATGTTTATAATTCTGTCACTTCCTTTTTAAATTTTTTAAAAAATATTTTACTGATAATGCTATTACAGTTGTCCCATTTTTTTCCCCTTTTGTCCCCTTCCACCCAGCACCCCTGACTCCCACAGGCAATCCCCACACCATCGTTCATGCCTGTGGGTCATGCGTGTAAGTTCTTTGGCTACTCCATTTCCTATACTGTACTTTACATCCCCGTGGCTATTCTGTAACTACCTATTTGTACTTAACACCCTCACCTCTTCACCCATCCCAGCACCTCCCTCCCATCTGGCAGCCATTAAAATAATGCTCTTGGTAACCATGATTCTGTCTCTGTTCTTTGTGTGTGCTTAGTTTGTTTTTTAGGTTCAGTTGTTGATATGTATTTATTGCAACTTTATTATTCATAGCTTTGTTGTTTTTCTTAAATAAGCCCCTTTAACATTTCATATAATAATGGTTTGGTGAGGATGAACTTCCTTAGTTTTCTTCCTGTCTGGGAAGGTCTTTATCTGCCCTTTGATACTGAATGATAGCTTTTCTGGGTAGAACAATCATAGTTGTAGGTTTCTGCTTTTCATGACTGAATATTTCCTGATGGTCCCATCTAGCCTGCAAAGTTTCTTTTGAGAAATCAGCTGACAGTCTTATTGAAACTCTCTTGTGGGTAGCTAACTGCTTATCTCTTGCTGCTTTTAAGATTCTCTCTTTATGTTTAACTTTTGGCATTTTAATTATGATGTGCCTTGGAGTGGGCCTCTTTGCATCTGTCTTGTTTGGGACTCTCTGTGCTTCCTGGACTTGCATGTCTATTTCCTTCACCAAATTAGGGCAGTTTTCTTTCATTATTTTTTCAAATAGATTTCCAATTTCATGCTCGTTCTCTTCTTCTCCTTCTGTCACCCCTATGATGTAAATGTTGGAATGCTTGAAGTTGTCCCAGAAGCTGCTTATACTATCCTTGTTTTTTAATCCTTTTTTTTTTTCTTCTTGTTCTGAATGGTTTTTTGCTTCCTTGTTTTCCAAATCATTGATTTGATTCTCGGCTTCATCCACTCTACTGTTGTTTCCCTATAAATTGTTCTTTATTTCAATTAGTGTATCCTTTGTTTCTGACTGGATCTTTTTTTAAAAAAGATTTTACTTCCTTTTAGAGAGAGGAGAGGGAAGGAGAAAGAAAGGGAGAGAAACATCAATGTGTGGTTGCCTCTTGAGTGTCCCTACCGGGGACCTGGCCCGCAGCTCAACCCTGTGCCTTGACTGGGTATTGAACCAGTGACCCTTTGGTTTAGTAGGCAGGCACTCGGTCCACTGAGCCACACCAGCCAGGCCTCTGGCTGGATCTTTTCTATGCTGCTGAGGTCCTCACTAAGTTACTTGAGTATTCCTATAAACTGTTTTGAACTCTGAATCTGATAGATTGCTTATATCCCTTTTGTTTGGTTCTTTTTTCTGGTGTTTTGATAGGTTCTTCCATTTGGGTCATGTTTCTTTGTCTCTTCACTTTGGCAGCCTCCCTGTGATTGTTTCTATGTATTAGGTAGAGCTGCTATGACTCCCTGTCTTGATATTGTGGCCCAATGTAGTAGGTGTCCTGTAGGGTCCAGTGGCACAGTCTCCCCTATTACCTAAGCTGAGTTCCTGAGGTATGCCCTTTTTGTGGGCTGAGTATACCATATTCTTGTAGTTGAGCCTTGATTGCTGTTGGCAGGTCAATGGGAGGGATTTACCCAGGCCAGTCGGTTGCAAGGATTGCCTGTGATCACTGATCACCAACCTCCACCCTCTTTGGGGGATCAGCTGTGCAGGGGCAGGGTGGTGGTGCTCCAACGTGGTCTGTGGTTATCCACTGGGTACCCAGGCCCTGGGGTTTCCTGGGTAATGCAGGCCAAGTTCAGCACCCACCTGTGTTTTGCCAGGAGCCACTCTTCCTGAGCTATAGAGCAATTGAGATGGCTGCTACTTGTGCTGGGCTTGAAGATTCCCAGGCAAAGCCGAGCTGTGAATCTAGGCTGGCTGGTGCTAGTGCCCTGCTGGGGGGCCACTTAGCAAGAGGTACGGGGACTGGAGGCTCAATCAGGCCAGCTGTTGCTTATTTGAGAGGATTTAGAAATTTGAAGCATGAGCCAATACCAGCCATTTGTATAGAAAAGCTACTGTTAACAGCAGTAAGTTGGGTGGGATGGAGCCTTAGGAGATCTCTAAGGTGGGGCAAACAGTGTTAGCCAGGTTGATGGAGTGAGATGTGGCACCTCCCTGCTGGCTCTGCCTTTCTGTCTGGGAGAAAGCTGTCCCCCAGCCCTCACTTTGATGCCACACACTTCAGTTCCCCGCTGTGTGCCACTGGTGTCTCAAATTGTTACTCTGGTGCTGGAGCTCAGAGGGAGTGAGTCTGAGTAAGTTTGTGTGTGGGTTCTTTAAGAGGAACTGTTTGGAACTCCAGTGGTTTCTTTTACTGACTCAACCCCTGTTGGTTTTGGCAGCCAGAAGTTATGGGGACTTGTCTTCCTGGCACTGGAACTCTGGGCTGGGGCGCCTGGGATGAGGTGGGACTCCTCAGTCCCAAGATATCCCTCCCCAATTTTTATCCACCACACATGGGTATGGCACCAGACCATTCTGCATCTCTGCCTCACCTACCTGTCTGGATGGATGTGGTTTCCTTAACTCTGTACTTGTCAGACTTCCACACCATTGGTGTGGTTGTGCAAGGAGGCAAGCCATGTTTACCTATGCCACCGGAAGTCCCTGTCACTTCTTTAACTGTGCTTCAACAAGATTCTCAACACCCTTGTACTCAACAGAGTTATCATCACTTAACACATGTTTGAGTGCCTCCTACATGGTTTGGAGTCCTCTGGGCTAATCCACACAACTTTTGAATTACCTTAAATTTTTGTAATTTGTAAGCTTGTTAACAGTTACAATTCTATTTACGTTAAAATTGGTTATTGAGACTTTGCAAGCATTGTTCCAAGTGCTTTAGAAAAACAAACTTATTTACTGCTATCCTATGTGGTAGGTACTTTTTCTTTTTTTTTTTAGAGGCGAAAACTGACACTCAGGTTAATTATGTTGCTCTAGGTCACATAGCTAGTAAGCAGTGCACTTGGGATTCAAATCCAGTCTCTAGTGTATCTTTGGAAAGAGGATGTAAAGATGGGTAGGGAATACCCTTTTTAAAATGTGGTTTTAGACTTTTCTATTTAAGCAGGACCTACTCAGAATATTTATTCTGGACAAAGCCTTATGGTGAGAAGAGCATGCTTTTTAGTATCCCATCCAGTGCCAGCACATTCTGAACTTTAACTCTTTCTGGAAAAGCCAGTTTACGTACTAGTAAAATACTGAATATCAATTGTTATTCTAGAGTACAATGCCTTGATATTTGGCTTTTCTGACAAAACATTTTAATATTTGTAACTATATCATAGAGAAATGTAAGAGATCGTGGTGAGCAATTTAGCCAGTAAAAACAGAAAAAAAAACACATTCGAAGAACTATTACTGCGATATTTGGGGTTGGATTACTTCTTGCCCAGGGTTCCCAGCTGTGTTTGTATACATAAGACTTGACTGTAGTTGAAAACAGGAACAAGAGAAGGCTGCCTCTTTCCTTTCAGGCAGGTCCCTGAAAAGGAAAGCCATTTGGAACCCTGCCTTTTTGTTCACTAAATCCTGTGTTCCAAACCCTAAATCTTGGGCATGTTATCTTCTCAAATGGCTTTCTTGCTTGCTACCTGGGATGAGTGGCCCAATCCCAAATTGCATCAGGCTTTTCAGATTTTTAAAACAGGAATTCAAGACACCAGAACTTGTGCCAATGGGTTGTGGACCAGGACTTTCCACAACTTAATGCCACTCTGAAATGACCACCCACAGGAAACTGCGCTAACAGACCCTAGCTAGATCTCAGCTCTGCAGCTCACAAATGTGAGGTGTGACAAAGAACAAAAATTGAAGTAACTTTGAAGATCTAATTGGCTTTGTTAAATGATTCATGAATCTGCAGTTGCAACCCATCCAGCAAATAGAACAGAGCATCAAGGAGTTGTACAAGATGGAAGGTTTTCATAGGCAGAAGGAGGGTGGGCCAAGGAGGTTAAAAGAGTGGTTTATTTCAGGCCAGGTTACCTTCCTTTAGGAAAAGGTGGGAGTGTACCTCAAGTGATAGGAAATTGCAGACTGACTGATTTAAGATTCCACTCCTTGGACAGAATGAAACTGCAATTAAGTTAGGTTTTGAGTCTTGGTGGGGCTTACAGCTGTGACTCCATTTTGGGTCTTTTTAACAGGTGCCTCTGGCTTTTATTAATATTTCAGCAGCTTGCCTTTTTTTTGGTCGTGTAATTGCTCTCTCTGCAGAAGGAGTGAATGGAGAATTCTCCTTAAGGTCAGCATTTAATTAATTGCCTCACTCTGGCTGCTGTAGTATTCCAGGCATCGATCCGATCTTACTATCAAAATTTCCTGGAGATTGCCAGCAGATCTGACCTGGGTCTTCTAGGGACTGTGTAGAGAGCAGGACCAATAAAATGGCATTGGTCCGATTAAGATAGCATAAAGTATATAGAATAAAGTGGAGTCACTCATGTCAACTAAAATGACTGTCAGCCATGATATGATGGTCCAAGAGGAAAATTATCTAAGAAGAAACACATCTGGCAAGGATACATATCTGCCCATGTGGTCAGATATCTTAAGCGTGTATCCTTGCCAAGTGTGTCTTCTTGCCATACCTGTCTGCTCGGACCGCGTGGACAGATGTCTCCTTGCCAGATGTTTACTCTGACTTAGGTTATTTTCTTCTTGAACCAGTGTCATGGCTGAGAGCCATTTTAGTTGACATAAGTGACTCCGCTTTATTCTTTATACTTTATGCTATCTTAATCGGACCAATGCCATTTTACTTGTCCTGCTTTCCACAAACTGCCCTGAATCATTAAGTGGCATGAGCCTTGTGCAGTTTACTACGTCCGTGGGTGGTGGCCCCAGGCGCGGGACCTATCCAACGACTGGATTGGGCCTTAAGCCTGTCCATCATCCGAAGGCTCTAGGCGCCAACCGACCGTTTGGCAGTAGGATTTGGAAGCAGAGCACCGTCTGTGCAAACGAGGAGAGTGTAGAGAGGTGAGGATAAACGTTATGTGTATTTTCCTCCTCATTGGATGGCTATTGTGTCAGTCATACTCTGCGCTGCTCCCGTTGGCAGGAAGGCTCCGGCTGGTAGCAAGGACTTGCTGCTGCCCCCGTCTGGAGCTGCAAACCAAGTGTGACGTCTCGGATATTTGTTGTTGGGGTTCGGACCTCATTAATTATTCATTAGGTACTTGAAAGGGCTGCAGCGATTGGTGGCTGAGCGATCTGGTTGATTGCTTTTTAGCTAGAGGTAACGTGTAGCCCCGTCGCATAAATTATTCCGATAAAAGTGTGGGGCGGGGCTACGCATAGATTAGGCAAATAAGCCAGGGAGGGATGGGAGGCCGGGTACGAATTAGCCTAAGTTATTAAAGATGGCGGCGGAGCGGAGTCGCTCCCCGATGGACTCGCCGGTCCCGGCCTCTATGTTCGCCCCCGAGCCTAGCTCCCCAGGGGCGGCCAAGGCCGCAGCGGCAGCCGCCCGGCTCCACGGAGGCTTCGACTCGGACTGCAGCGAGGATGGCGAGGCGCTCAACGGCGAGTCGGAGCTGGACCTCACCAGCAAGGTAGGCCCGGGCGCCGGCGCACTAAAGGGGACCGGGAGCCAAGGGGGAGAGGGCTGAGCCGTCTCCCAGGCGACGGCGGGGGGGTGGGCAGGAGGGGCTGAGCCCACCTACTTGCAAGTGCGGTCTGTGGCGGGGGTGGCCCCCAGGTTCCCTGCGGGCCATTCCCTCCCCCCACTGCCGTCCTTGCCAGGCAGTGCTGCTGGCCGTCCTTCTGCCGTCCAGCCCGGGGGCGGCGGGCGGGGGCGCATCACAACCCCTCGGCTCCGCCACGTGGAATGCGGGTGCCTAACGCCCGCAGCACCCCACTCGGTGCCGCCTCCTCTGTGACTGAGGTTTGGGCAGGGGGAACGAAGGCACGGGAGGATAAGGTTGTCTAAGGGGGGCGGGGAGGCGTATCTTCCTGGTGTTGGAAAGGAAACAGAAAGTAGTCGTTCAGTCGGGTAGAAGAATGTCTGAGCTGTATGTTTACGAATCCACCCAAAACAAAACTGAAAGATGGGCATGACCCATAGTTTTGCCTTCCTGGGAGTGGAACTACAACTTGTATGAACGGAATAATGAAAGATGTTTCAAATCTTGTTTTCTGAGCTCTTTAGAAGGTGGGCAGGAGTTAAGGTCTCACCTGCTTGGCAATGTGAGGGATAAAAAAGTAAGTATAAGGTGTAACTGGTGTTTTGAAGGTGCTTGACAATGGCTAAAGGAAAGAATGCTCTAACTAGGAGTGAGACAGGGCTTGGTTCTGTTAAAAAAAGAAGACAGGCCGTAGGTGGGGCCACTTGCTCCCATGACAGCAAACCAAGACTTAATTGCAGTTTCCGCCCCTCCTAGGTATGGGATATTAAATTGTAATTTCCTTATGGACACTAGAGAGGTACTCTGTATAAGAGCCTCCTGCCACCCTTCCCCTTCAAAGCTGGTGACCTGGCCTGAAACAACCTTTTTTTTTTTTCCCTAGTGACTTTTTTTATCCTGCTCAGTTTCCTATAAGAATCTTCCATTTTGCACTACTCGGAGCAGGTGTGTCAGTTACTAGATGGAAGGCTGCACAATTCATGAATTGTTCAATAAAACAATGAGATCTTCAAATTACTTGGTTGAATTTTGTTTTTTGTTTTGTTTTGTTTTGTTTTTTAACAGATTCCTTTCCTGCCCTGCCACTTAAAAAGACTCTGTGACCTTGGGAAAGTTTCTTAACCTCTCAGTTCTCCAGCTACGTCTTTTAAGTACAGGTGGTTGTTTACAAAACGAGAGATGTATATAAGACACCCAGTATAGTGTCTAACACATACCACTCAGGAAATGTTTGAAGTACACTGAATAACTGACAATTCCCTGTGCAGATTAATAGCAGCCAATGGAAAATGGAACACCAATACCCCCTCCTACCTGTTGTTGGAAAACTGCAGCAGAGATGTTTGACTTTTCACAGTCTTTGATGGCAAAGTTGCATGAAGCGTGCCTCCAACTGGAGAAAACTTGTCTGTGTAATCTAAGCAACCAAATTTCAGCTGCCCTTTCTCCCTTTAGTGTCCGCTGAGCACTTAGAAGCCAGTGGTCCTGTCTGGTGCCTCTAATGCCATAATGAGGATGGCCAATCTGGGAGAGGGGAAGGTCAGGGAAACGTGTGAGGCAGTGTGATGGGGCGGCACTCAGGTTGCAAGTACCAGCTCTGATGAGTCAACTCAGGAATTGTAAGGGATGTGCTTGACTCAAGCAGGCGAACTGGATGTCAGTTCATGGTCAAGGTGCTGAAGAAACCTGGAAACAGTGGGAAATTGCAGGGCACAGTTGCAAAGAGTAATACCTTCATTTCCTAACCAACTTATTTAATGTTCCAGAATAGGGAAGTGTTAACGTGCTTCACTGTACCAGGTCTGTCCAGAAGGTGTCCAGCCATGTGATATGAAAGGTATTTTTATTGCAGAAGGTACAAGAAACAGTGTACATAGGACGATAATGCCTCGGTCCCCTTCAAAGTAGGCACCTTGGGACCTCACACAGCTCTCCTGGTCACCATCAGCTGCCCCATCATATTTTCCTGAATCTCACCAATGGTCTGAAATTACCCCCCTTTCAAAGGTGGTTCTAGTTTTGGGAAAAGCCAGAAGTCACAGGGTGCCAAATCTGGGCTGTAGGGGGGGGCTGAGTCCCCTGGGTGATTTGATGTTTTGCCAAAAAACTGCACAGAACGTGCTGCGTGAGTGGGCGTGTTGTCATGATGAAGCTGCCAATCACCAGTTGCCCCTAGCTGCGGCCTTCTGAATCATCTGAATAGTTTCCATAGGGGAATGTTCAAGCTTAATGCAAAATTCGATGAGGACTTATTGCTCTGCTCACTCAGTCATTTTCAATATGACAGCCACACAGTACACATGCTCACTCAGTGACCCCATTGACTAGGACCGTGAAGTTGTCATTGTTCACGCATGCACATTCCAGTCCACTTGCCTTGGCTGCCAGGTTACATTGTTGCGCAAACCACTCTTGTATTAACAATGGCTGGACTTTTTCCGTACAGACCTCGTATATGAATATTGGTGATACTGAAAAGAAAAACTGACCATGTGGAGGGAAAGAAGGGATAGGTTGATAGATTGATTCCTGAGGAAGATTCAAGCTGTAAGGTTATACACTTGCTACAATTATATGTGCAGATATAAGGCTCTGAAAGTTTCCAAAGGGAGAAACAATTAGTAAACCGTGATGGCCAGTTTCATCCAAGCAGGGTTTTTGGGAATGATTGTGAAGAAAGCTGTACTTACCACTTACGGAGCTGTGAACTAGTTGCTCACATATTATCTTATTTGGTCTTTACAGTGGCCTTAGGGTGCAGGTGGTATTGTCTACATTTTGTAGATTGAAAAAATAAGAGAGAGAGGTTTAGTTCTTTGTCCAAAGTCACACATGAATGGTTAGAGAATGGGACCTGACATGCCTATTGGTAAGTGGTTGATACTTTAATGTTACTGGCCCAAATTTGTAAAATGCTGGTGCTAATACCCATCTTAGTAGTAACGGTGTTTTGTTGAAGACAAGTCTCGGTGGCAGTTTTTACTGCCGATCCCTTCAAGGTAGCCAAGGCGAGGTGGAACCGAATTCTTTTGTTATTATGGCACCCACTGGTCTCAGGTGCGGGGCATGGCAGCGTAGGAGACCTCTGTCCTGTAGTTGCAAGCTGCAGGTAGAAGACTTTGGCAGGTGTGAAGCAGTGCTCGTCAATTTCTAATTACAATGTCAGGTTCTCAGTCACCGTTGGTCTTTCCCCTCCTGTTAAGCAGCAGGAAGCAGGCTGCTGTTCAGATACAGTCAGTTTAGAACATTATAAATCTCAGCTCATAGAAGACCTTAGGCTCAACGGAGTTTAGGGAGTGTTTAAGGAGTGGCAGAGAGGGCATGCAGGGGCTTTGTAGCTGATTTCGATTAAGGTGCCGAGAGGCTCAGTCAGGGTCTTTGGTCAGGCTATTGATCTGCTTTGGCTGTGGTGCTCTTCTAGAAAGTGTGGTCCTAAGGCTGTTGGTTTCTTTTCTAGCTGGTTCTAGTGAGCCCTACATCAGAGCAGTATGACAGCCTACTTCGGCAGATGTGGGAGAGGATGGACGAGGGATGCGGAGAGACCATATATGTCATTGGGCAGGGATCAGGTGAGCATAGTTTTCCTTTCACTTTATTTTTAAAAAATTATTTAGAGCACATTTTCCATCTTTTACCCACTCTTCTTGTTCAGTGTCTACAGCACTGTTTGGGAGGACATAAAAGTACAGCACGATAATGTCAGTTCCTACCTTAATGGTCATAATATGCTTGCCTTCAAAGATTCACTTTCTGGGCGGTTCACATGCTACTGTCCCACCTCCAGCACTCTCCATTTGTATAAAGGTCTGGAATTAAGCCTTCCCTGGGCAGCTCTCGGTCTCCCCCTCTGGCCCAGTTTACAGATCCCATTGCTACCTGTTGTCTGCTTAGCAGAAAACTTCGGAGATCCTTCTAGATGTCAGCAAGAAGCGGCCACCCAGAATTCCTCACTTCAGCAAGGCTTCCCTCCCCAGACCACACCGACCACCCAGTGTGGTTAGCTGCGGTAACAGAAGGCTTCTCTTCTCCCTGTGAGATCCCATCAGACATGTAGGCTTGTTACCTGCTGGGAGGAACTGGTTATTGTACTCCAGCCCGCTTATTCCGTCGTAATGGGACTGTTTTTAGAGGAAGGCAGCCAGCATAACAGAATCCCAGATTATACCTTAGGCATTTTCCCCCCCGCCGGTCGTTCCTAGTTTATACTTTCAATACAAGGCCTACTTGCGTTCATCTTCCTTACGACATTATCTTTGCCGAAATGGCAGCTAGGCTTGTTAATGACTATGAATTTAGCCTGTACCAGAACTCGTCTGTCATCTTTGCAGGAAGCCTCAGTAGGGCTCAGTGCATCATTGAAGGAACGGTTCTCTTTGTTGAATGTAGGCTTTGTAAAGGCAGATAATAATTCTTTTGTAGACTGAGTTTAAGACAGAGAAAAATCTCAGAATCATTCTTTGTTTGACAAATACCTATTAAGTATCTTCTGAGGGCTTGATACTGTTGCAAAGCACGTTTGAATATGAAAATCTGGTCTCTGTCCCAAGAAAGAAAGATGGCGTATGTACAGATAACCCCAACAGAAAACAATATTTGGAAATGCTGCAAGAGTAACACAAGGAAGAAGGGCTTGATCGCCAAATACTGCTGTGCCTTACTTTGAAACATTTTTCTTATCTATTCTTTTCTCTCCATCTTTGCTGCCACCTCCCAGGTTTTAGTTCTTATCACCTTTAAGAAGGCTTGGTCCAAGAGATTGCGTGTCTGGAAAGGGAGTTAGTCAGCATTGTCAAGTGCTTAGAGAGATAGCACAAGAGTCGGGTTCAGAAAAAGCCATTTCATTTGGTGACTGGGCGATCGTTGGTAGTCGTTTGGAAGCTTTTGTGCCAGGTGTACATCTGGCCTGCTATAATAGGATGAACCACTCAGAGACCACTTCGTGCTTGTAGAATTGAAGAAATCATATCTCGATCAGTTTTGACAAGTGTTGTGACTGTTCTTTGAAGACCCAGATTCTGTTTTGTTTTTTTAAAGATTTCATTTATTTATTTTTAAAGAGGGGAAGGGAGGGAGAAAGAGAGGGAGAGAAACATCAATGTGTGGTTGCATCTCACACGCCCCCTACTGGGGACCTGGCTCACAACCCAGGCGTGCGCCCTGCACTGGGAATCGAACTGATGACCCTTGGTTCACAGGCTGGTGCTCAATCCATTGAGCCACACCAGCCAGGGCTGAAGACCCAGATTCTTAAGATACCGCCACTGTCCCCTGCTTCCCGCCCCCCGCCGCCCCCCGGCCCGGCCCAATTCCTTAATGTGGACTCTTAGTGAATTTTATCATACCATGGCAACTCACAACTAATTAACCCTCTTATGGCAAAACATAAGATCTCAAACATTCATTAGCACATCTACACACCCAAGCATTATCTTTGCATCTGTCAATTGGATGCTATTTGATTCGCAGTGACTCCTTCCTGCTGGAATTCTTTGGAGGTCATAACTGGTTAAACAAGCTGTACATCAAACGAGGACTGAACCAGAGGCCAGGCGCCCAGGGGTCAGCTTCATCGCCTGCTTCCTGTGTGCGCTTCGAGCTTCGTCTCTGTTTGTCACTTCCTTTGCCTGTAAAACGAGGATAATGACATCCTTTCCCACCCTACTTCTGAGAAATTTTTTATGAATAAGGTAGACATTAAAAAATTCTGAGTTCTGAGTAGTACAGAGGAATGTGCTCTTTAACTCTACATTCCTATTTTAAGATTGAGCTTTTAAAAGGAGGCAACCTGGCCTAGTAGTAAGTTCAAGGTCTAGAGTCTGGCGGGTCTGAGTTTGCCTACTGGCTCTTTAACCTTTCTCAAAGCGGGGATACCAGTAGTGTCATGCCGAAGGGTAACACTTACCATATTGTAAGCATTATATAAATGTTAGCTAGTATCAGTAGTTGCAGTAGTAATTTTTTAAGGATTCCATGGTATAGTTGATTTACCATGAGATTTCTTTCCAAAAGAACCTTATTAATTCATCAGATACTAAGTTACGACTTTCTAAGAGCCAGGTACTGTATTAAAAGTTCAGGGAACAAAGGAGGGGTGTTGAATCTCTGTGGAGAGTTAGGAAAGGCTTCAAAGAGGAGGTGCCCCTTGAATTGGTTCTAAAGGGTGAGTAGGAGTTTTGTAGGTAAATGGAGGCAGTAGTGAGTGAGCAGGGGAAGCCACATGCACAAAGGCACAGAGACATTGGCAGTTGTAGAGTATTTGGCGGACCAGGGGTGCTTCAGTGTAGTAGGGGGCAGTGTGCGAGCTTGGGAGTGCCAGTGAGGAGGGTGGGCTGGACAGATAGGCAGGGCCCAGACTGTGCCGGAGAGTTTAGACTTTTACCCCAAAAGGCTTGGAGAACCTCTACGTCACGTTGAGCAGGAGAGCGCATATGGAAAGGGTGAGTCAGAGGGCAGAACAGAGGTCTCGTTCAGGGTGGGGCGTGGGTGAACAGGCTGCCTTCAGCGTTAGGATCCGGGGCTTTTCTCCTTGGCCTTTGTCTCCACGCCTACAGAGTGAGGAATGCAGCGCATGTGAGGGAAGCATAATATGACTGGGGCATTTTCTGGGAGCTCTGGATGGACAAGGTGACAATGGTGATTGCCGCCTGGTGTGAAACAGGGCTTGAAAGCATTGCTTTTTGTGTCAGAATCGGGAAGTTTGGGCGCCTGGCAAGAGTGGCAGGACGAGCAGCCCTTCTCTGAGGACCACTCAGAGAGTTCTTTTCTAACCCAGATGTCCAGTGCTCAGCTGGCCGTGCGTTTAGAAACTCCTCAGCCCAACTGCTGCTGCTTTGTTCACTTGTTTTGCATTTTATAAGCACCTAAGGACTTCATATGGGAAAGGCATCCCGGATGGGGCAGCCGGGGAGCGTTTGAGTTTGACCCCTGTCCTGAACATGCTGATATGGCAGGGGAAGATATGCGTCCAAAAGTACTCCGCAAGGTGCGGTGTGGTAACTGCCGTATGGGGGCAGGATGGGGAAGATTTGGACAGCTGGGGAGGTGCTGATGGGCTTTTTAGGATAGGAAATACATAAGCCAAGGTGCAGGGCTGGGTAAGTCCAGAGCACACGGGGTGCAGGTGGGGCGAAACGGAGCAGGGGTGTGGAGCAAATGGAGGAGACCTTAAAGGGGCTGCAGCTGAACGTGGCCGGGCCTGGGCAGCCGCTCCAAGACTCTGACTGGGGTGTGACGGCATCACAGCTGTGCCTCGTGTGTGAGTTTGGGCTTGTGTGTACGCAGGCTGGGGTGGAGGGGACAGGCTGGATTTGCTAAGGCCCGTCAGGGGTCTGCTGTGGTGACTGAGGGGGAGCAAGGGCCTGACTCAGACCCACGGCATTGGGTTGGCAAGGAGAGGAGGGCAGGGAGGAAGACGGAAGGGCAGGCGTACAGCTAGGGTCAGCAGGGCCGGAGCGATGAGTGTCAAGCTTGGGTGGCTGGAAGGATGGTGTCATCTGTAACAGGGAGGCACGAGGAGGAACTGGCCTGGCATTAAGAAGAACTCTTGCCAGAGGAAAAAGCTCTGGGTTTGGAATCAGAAGACCCCAGCTCCCGTGGCCCCTCTGCTCCCTACCAGCTCAGAGTCCTCTCTGGGTTCTGTTTACCCCACTGTTAAATGGGAAGAGAAGTGCTTACCTCATAGGGTTGCAGTGAGGACTAAAATGGCTTATTAATTGGGCTGGGCTAGTTGTTTTTTTTCTCACTGTTATTTAGAGGGAAGGGATGGGGTTGTTGAGTTGAGATAGACATCGGGCTTCTAGGAGTCATCCAGGCATTTGGGAATTCAGTGTCTGCGGAGAAGACAGTGCTAGAAATTAACGGGTTTTTTTGTAGTTTTAGAAATGACACTTGAAGCCATAGTATGAGATGGCCAAGGGCAATGCTCAGAGGACAGAGAGAGGCCCACCGGCCCACTGCTGGAGAAGGCAAGCAGGGAAAGCCAGCAGAGTAGACAGAGACAGAGGAACCAGGGAGCAGGGCGAGCGTCAGGAGAGTCTGCGCGAGGCCAGCAGAGGGTAGCAAAGCGCTGCAAGGAGCCCAGTGAGGGTGGCTGGCCGCACCTGCGTCAGATGCTGTGGGGGTCAAGAAAGGTGCACTGGATGAGTGGTTAGGTGGCCTTTGATGACTTGAAAACTAGTTTCTTTTAGAGTTGTAAGTGAGATGCAGAGAGTAGGTTGGTGATAGTCATCAAGTCTCAATTACGCTCCTTTGAGATGGTTGGTGATAAGAGGAGGAGCAGAGGATGGTAGCTCAGGAGATACTCGGGGGCAAGGAAAGAGGGGGTGGGTTTCCTGTCCCTAGATTAGGAATGGCTTGAGCTTGTTTGTAAGGGGTCGGGTGAGCGGAGGAAGAAGAGAGGGTGAGAGCAGGTGCTTCAGGGTTTTTGGGAGGCAGCAAAAGGGAAGAGGCACCACCCAGGCCTGGAGGGATTAGCCAAGGGAAGGAGTGGGGCACACTCAGAGACGGAGGCCGAAGGAGTTAGGACACCACGTGGCAAGCACCTGGTGGGAATTGCCATAGAGTAGGCTCTCAGTAAATGATGGTTGATTGGTTCCTCCCTTCCTCATCCAGAGCTCAGACTTGTTTTCCCATCTACTTGCTGGACATTTCACCTGAGCTACCTCAGTTAAAAATCTATCCCTAAAATCATTCTTAAATTCTCTCTCCATTTTCCTTTGTCACCTGTCCTCATTATTGCTTACCTGGATCATTAGAATGACTTCCTAACTGGGCTCCCCCTTTCTGGTCTCTGCTTGTCAGTGCACACTTTCTGCTGCTGCCTAAGAGGTCTTTCTAACCCACCTCGATCTGATCATGTAACTCCCTGGCCTAAACCCCCAAGGCTTCGCGCTGTGCTTGCTGCTAACGTCTGTCTGCATAACCGCTTCCACCTCTTGTGTGGTCGGTCTCCTGCCACTTGACATCCTGCTCCCCAGCCTGCCGAGCTGCTTTCTGGATGTGCTGTGACCTGCAATGCTCCATGCTTAGCTGCGCTGCCTAGGACGTCTTTCCTCCTTTTTCCGCGGGCCCAATTTTCACACTCGGAGACCCCTGCCCCCTGCGAAGCTGTCTTCAGCTTCCCCAGGCGGTGCCAGTCGCTCACACTTTACATTCTCTTTGCACAGTTCTATATAATGCAGCATCCAAGCTGTATTGCAGTTAATTAATTTCCTGTCTCTCCCGCTGGGCTGTCGGCCGCTAAGGGCACCTGTATTCCCAGGACTCAGCATGAGGCTTGGCACAAAACCCAGGAGAGTCTCGGTGGTTGCTGTTGAATGAATTAATGAGCGCCCTGCTTAACGGGGAAGGCTGTGGCCCTCTTTATTTATTAACTGTGTGTGCCCAAGTTTTAAAAAAGTATCAGGTAGAGTGAGCCATGTTCTTCTCTGGTGTGGGGGGTGGTGCTGTTGTTAGGAGTTGCCTGTTGGGCTTGTTGGAACACTGATGTCGGGGCTCTTGTCGCCAGATGGGACTGAGTACGGGCTGAGCGAAGCTGACATGGAGGCCTCCTACGCCACCGTGAAAAGCATGGCCGAGCAGATAGAGGCTGACGTCATCCTCCTGCGGGAACGGCAAGAAGCTGGGGGCCGCGTGCGGGATTACCTGGTCCGGAAACGAGTAGGAGACGACGACTTCCTGGAGGTCAGGTGAGGAGGTCTCAGAACAGTCCCGGGGTCCCCCGCAGCATGGCCTCAGGGTCTGGAGCTTCACAGGGAGTCAGCTTGTCCTGGCTGAGGCGTGGAGAGAGTATCCGCAGATGCGATTGCGCCTTTCTGTGTCTCTGCACTTCCTCGTGCCTGATTACTTCCGTTTCGGAATACGGGGAGAGAGGCCGGACGTTCTATGGGCTGCATTTTCTCTCTTACTGGCCTGTAAGGCTAGAAACCGGGGTGGTGGAGGAGAGCATTTGGGACCCCAGTCCGGCAGCTTTGGGGAAACTAGTGGAAGTCAAGGTAGAAAGCCACTGTGGTGGGGGCTCAGGCCCTCCTGAGTGACTCTTCCTACTCCCTGGGTAATACCTCCAGGCACATTCCCAATATGCTTATCCATGCCTAGGAGGAGCGGTGAGCTGGAGAAGCTCGGGAGCAAGCCTCTCCTTACAGGTTCAGTTGGTGGCTTTTCCTTCTCTCACCCCCTAACTCTCATGTGGATGTCTGGGTTCGTGTGCACACAGGGTAGCAGTAGTGGGCAACGTGGATGCCGGCAAGAGCACGCTTCTGGGGGTCCTGACACACGGAGAGCTGGACAATGGCCGAGGGTTTGCCCGCCAGAAACTCTTCCGCCACAAACATGAGATTGAATCTGGTCGCACCAGCAGTGTAGGCAACGACATTCTGGGCTTTGACAGCGAAGGCAATGTGGTGAACAAGCCAGACAGCCACGGCGGCAGCCTGGAGTGGACAAAGATTTGTGAAAAATCTACTAAAGTGATTACCTTCATTGACTTGGCTGGCCACGAGAAATACCTGAAGACCACTGTCTTCGGCATGACAGGCCACTTGCCTGACTTCTGCATGCTCATGGTACGTGCGAGGCGCCCCTCAGGGCGAGCAGCAGCGGGGCTCTGCGGGTGCGGTGTGTGCAAGAGTTTGAAATTGGTCTGAGGCGGAAGCCTGTTGGTTTGGGGCTTTCACATTGCGTAAGGATGACAGTTTTGCCAGGGGTGCCCAGTCCCCTGAGCTCTACAGTCTTCTCAGTGGATGTCACTTGACCTCCCAGGTGAGACTCAGAAGGGATCCCCTAAAGAAAAACCAAGGTATTTGCAGACCTCTCATTTTTGGAGACATAGGGGAGGATTTCCTGTGGGTCTTACTTAGTACCTGCAGAAGTGTTTTCTTCAGGGTTTGGGGGACTTTGAGGAGGTGGCACCAGGCGGTACCCTCAGAGAGGGAAGGCTGAGGGAGAAAGGGAGGGGAGCACAGTCAGCAACCAAGAGGGGCCCGAGAGTTGGCCTCTGCAAGAGCCTAGAGTGGGCGACCTTGCTGAGCGGATTCTGCATGCCTGGCGCCATGCTGGGCCTGGACGCAGCAGTGCATGGGGCTGGCCTGGGCTCCTTTAGAGCTGGCAGTCTAGTGGGAACAGATTTGTAAGGAGCTCACTTACACAGGTGAACTGAAAAGGAAAAGGAGCAGTGGCTTCTGGGTTGGATCGTGCTGCTGAGCTGGTGTGATATTTAGGTCCCTTTGATCCCCCCCAGCGTGGCAGTCTGCCAGGCCCGGCCCCGGGGGCAGCCTCACAGCTTGCACAGGAGCGAGGCAGCCAGCTGCCCGCTGGCAAGTCCTCCTCGGGGGCCCCCCACCGTGTCCCTGTTCCCTCAGCTGCTTGCCTTAGAAAGCGCAGTAAACACCAGCATCTGTTCAGAGCAAACTCGATCAAGTTGCCCCACAAACACAGGTTCTCAGGCACAGTCTGCCCACACTGGAGACTGAAGGGGGGTGGAGCATGTGGGCGAAGACTCTTGTCAGCTCCCTGCCCAGGGTTCCTGGGGTCTCAGTGTGATTTCATCTCCCACGTCTTTGATCATTGCAAGGGGCCGTGCGCAGCCGGCCTGGGCCAAGGAAAGCTGCTCTGCGAGGGGAGCTTTCAGTGGACGGTCCACAGGGCGTGTGTGCGGGGGATTAAGAAGGTCGAGGAATCAGCCAGTTTAAAATGAGCAGTTTTCTGACTGAGCTACAGTAAGCAAGGCCAATTACTGGAAACATCTTCACCCAGGTGAAATGTTATATATCATTATCTGACTTTTACGCCATGATTCAAATATTAAAAATTTTCTGTAAAAAATAATGAAATATTTCATTATTATTCCATGGCAATCAATTGCCGGGGGAGGGGAACCTTAAAAATATATAGACCACTGTGGCTCTCTCGGTGGACCCTGAGCTTTCCCCGCCCCTTCTTTCCCCAGGGCGGTGCTTGCACTCACTCTCAGCTCCCCCATCCATAAAATGGGGGGGGGGGGGTTAATGTCCACTTTAGAGGCTCACTTGAGGTTTAAATGTCATAACATGTGAAAGGCCCAGCACACAACTAGCATGAATTAGGTGTTTAAGCATCTAAGATACATTTTTAAGGGGGAAAAAGCAAGGTATATCTATAACATACTACCATTAAAAAAATGGTGAAGGGATCACTGTTTGAAAAAAGCAGGTGTGAGACATTTGGGGAACACCTGCGAAATATAAATATTTACAGACTAGATATTGGATGATAGGAAGCCCTTGTTCATCATCTTCGTTGTGATAACGGTAGGAGACAGTTCTTTCCTTTAGGATCCGTGTGCTGAAGTACTCGGGGGTAAAGAGTCACAGTGTCTATAATCTACTTTCAAATGATTCAGCCAAAAAACAAAAGCAAACAAAAAACGACACATGTCCATCTCATACACAGATAAGTATGGCAAAATGTTAATTGTTGAATCTGAGTGGCAACTTTATGGTATTCCTTATACTATTCTTTCAACTTTTCTGAATGTTTGAAATTGGAGGGAGGGAATATATACACTTTTTTTGATATGATTACAAAATATTTCTGGAGGATACCTGAGACACTTGGAATGGCCAATAGACTTATGGAAAGACGCTCAACATCACTAATCACTAGAGACAGGCAAATACAACCATGATGAGATGTCACCTCACACCTGTCATCCACCAACAAGTACTGGCGAGGACGTGGAGAAAGGGGAGCCCTTGTGCCCCGCTGGCGGGAACGCGGATTGGCGCGCCGTGCCCTGTCCTGACGGAGCCCCAGAGATGGAGTGCGCTCTCACTCCAGCATTCTCTGAGTCTCCGTGCCGACCCAGCAGCAGCCTCGATCCGCCTCCCTTGCCCTGACAGTTCTTTCCGTGTTGGGGCAGGTGGGCAGCAATGCTGGCATCGTGGGGATGACCAAGGAGCACCTGGGCTTGGCACTGGCACTCAATGTGCCTGTTTTTGTGGTGGTCACCAAGATTGACATGTGTCCTGCTAACATCCTGCAAGGTAAGCGAAGCCTCCAACCAGCAGCAGTCTGTTCGGGCCTGCCGCCCACTGAGGCTCCTTGGTGGTCTGCTGCCAGCGCTTCAGCCCAGAATCTTCTGCTTCCTTTTCTTGTGCTCAGGCCTGGCCTGAATTTTTCATCAGCCCAGAATCATCAGCTTTCTCCCCTGTTCATCCCTTGGTCTGTTCTTTCTGGTTCCAAATGCAAGATTTTTTTTTTTAAGTGATTTGAGAGACAGGGAGAGAGAAAAAACAAACATTGATGTGGTGTTCCACTTATTTATGCATTCATTGGTTGCTTCTTGTATGTGCCTGACCAGGGATTGAACCCACAACCTTGACATATCAGGAAAATGATGTAATCAACTGAGCTATTCAGCCATGGCCAAATGCAGATTCTTTCTTTTTTTAAAAAATTTTATTTATGTATTTTTAGAGAGAGGAGAAAGGAGGGAGAAAGAGAGAGAGAGAAACATTGATGTGCAAGAGAAACATCAATTGGTTGCCTCTTGCACAGCCCAGCCAGGGGGCTAGCCTGCAATCCAGGCATGTTTCCCAATCATGAATCGAACCAGGGATCCTTTCGGTTTGTGGGATGGTGCCTGACCCTCTGAGCCACACTGGTCAAGGCCAAATGCAAGACTCATAAGATCCCTAATCCTGCACCTCTCTTAAGGTGACTTCAGACAGACGGCGCTGGGTTTCACCGTCTAAGCTGCGTGCATGTGGCAGCACTGGGGCGGAGAGCCTGACAGCCGTTCACTACCAAAGGCCTCAAAACTGGGCTGCGGGGCTCGGCCTTGGCACATTTCTTCTCGCTGCCGCAGGTGGTGGAAGAGAAATGGAGGGGTGTCCTTTGCGAGGGCCTCGTAAGGACCTCTGCACGTATCTGGACGTCCTAGGGATCCTTTTGTCAGATGCATTTTTTCCCCAGGAAGCAGAGCATTCTGAGAACACTGTTCTTATAACAAGACCTCTTCATCACTTAGAAGATGCAAGTCTTCTAGAGATCGTAGAGAAATCCAGTAGGTTTCAGCCTTGTAACCTTAGCAGACAGGCCTGCTCTGTGTGCTCTGTTTCTACTCCAGCAAGCACGCATCCACCCAAAGTTTCGATCTTCCTTTTTTGCTTCTCCAGGCATTGTGGCATTTACCACTGTCTGTCTCCTGCTTGCAGCAGTAATGAGTGGGCCTGTTTTGCCCTGGAAGCCTGGCCAAAGAGAAGGCTGTCCCCCCCTAATTCTGTTCGTTTCACCCTTTAAGAAACCCTGAAGCTGTTGCAGCGCCTGCTGAAGTCGCCGGGCTGCCGGAAGATCCCTGTGCTGGTGCAGAGCAAGGACGATGTGATTGTAACGGCCTCCAACTTCAGCTCCGAGAGGTAATAGGGTAGGGAGCGGTCTCTTCTGGGCCGGCTCGGACGGCAGACGAGGTGGGCTCTTGTGGTCTCGGCACAAGGTCTCCCAGGCTATCAGTGTGGCCTCGGGGGTATTTGAGGTGACTGAGATTCTGGGGAGGTGGCCTCGCTGAGGTGGGGATCCCAGCTGAGACATCAGTGTCCTTATCTGTGAAACGGGGACATTACTTTCTCCCCAGGGCTCTCGGAAGTGTTGGAACGGATGCACAGAAAGCGCTGTGCCAGGCTGCTGTGATGGATACTCAACCACTTTTATAACACCATACGTTTTTATACTGTTTTTCTCAAAAGCTCCTGAATCACAGATCACTTTAGGCCTTTACTCATTAATGTATCCTTTGATTCCTTACATATTTTTGGATGTCTGCTTTGTGGTAGGCTCTTCATTTAGGCATTGAGGCTTCAGTGTTGACTTGGGTACTGTCCTTGTCCTCAGGGTGGTCAGCTCCTTGGCCAGAGATGCTCTCTGAGCTTAGTTAAGGATGTCCTTTCTCCCAGAGTCTCGGGGTTGCTTGGCGCCATCTGCCTCCTGGCTTGATTTGTAGCACAGGACCCCGGCATTTTGGCCAGTGGCTCTGCCCTGATGCTGCCTTCAGTACTGCCATTTGGCCAGCAGAGGGGGTGCGTTTCAGCTGCCCCCGTTTTTTCCTGTGCCTGTTCTGTGCAGTGCTGCTATTCAAGGAGCTGTGAGGACTATATAATCCCTGCTCTTGAGGAGTCTGATTAATCCTGGATAGGAGATAGAGGCGCCATTCAGATATAAATGGCGACATTCCTGTCTTGACAGGAAATCAGACATAGTTACATGTGACAGAGACACACAAAGTTCAAGAACTGGAAGGAGTCAAATGCCACCTGGGAAGGGCTTCCTGGAGGGAGCAGTCGTGGAGACGTGCTCCGAAGGACGAGAGGGCTCGGCAGTTGGATGAGAGGGAAGGAATTCAGGCGGGAGGGTCGGAGTGACCAAATAAATACACGGAGGCAGGAAAAAACGAAGCTTTTAGGAGAAAGGAAGGTTCTCTGTTCTGGCTAGAATAGAGGAATCTAAGAGAGGGAGGCCTGCTGGGGTGTTAGGAGGAGGGATGTGGGCCCTTCCCTCTAACGGGAAGGGGCTGAGGGCTTTAAGCCAGCAGGCATGCGCTCTGAGAAGCAGCAGCTGTGAGCGCCTAAAACAGGGCCGCGGTGGAGGGTCCAAGAGGAGGGGACAGGTTTCGGAGACACAGCTGAGTAGCGGAGAGGGCCTGAGAGCTGGGATAGAGCCCTGGGAGGCGGGGAAGGGGCAGCGGGGCCCTCCCAGGGGCCCTCCTGCCGCTCCTGTTAGGCGGGGGCTGGCCTCCTGAGCGCCCGTCTTCCTCTCTCCTCACCCTCCACTTAGGATGTGCCCGATATTCCAGATCTCCAACGTTACAGGCGAGAACCTAGATCTGCTGAAGATGTTCCTCAACCTCCTCTCCCCCCGCACCAGCTACCGGGAGGAAGAACCTGCTGAGTTCCAGATCGATGACACTTACTCTGTACCGGTGAGTGGCTTCTGGTGGACAGAGCAGGGTGGGAGGCTGGGCGGGCACTTCCTACAAGGCATGTTGGGTTGAGTCTGTGGTGGAAAGGGGCTGAGTGTGAATAGACTTACTGGGCCAGGGTCTTCCCTGCAGGGCGTGGGAACAGTGGTGTCGGGGACAACACTCAGGGGCCTGATCAAGCTGAATGACACGCTGCTGCTGGGCCCAGATCCTCTGGGTAACTTCCTGTCCATTGCTGTCAAATCGATCCATCGCAAGCGCATGCCTGTCAAGGAGGTGCGGGGGGGCCAGACAGCCTCCTTTGCACTGAAGAAGGTGAGCGTCAGTGATACCAGAACGCCCCTGGGAGCCCACGTCTTACTAGGCCCGGGGCCATTCCCCGTCCTCACGGCTGCTCTGCAAGCCAGGGGCTACTGACCTCACTTTTACAGAGGAGCAAACTGAGGCTCAGGGAGCTCGAGTGGCATGCCCAGGAGTGCGCCGGTAGTAAGTGCTAGAGCCAGGACTTGGACCCAGACCTGCCTGCCTCCTAAGCTTGTTCCCCTCTCTAGTGCCTGGGCAGGGGGCCGAGCTCCGTGGTGAGGTCAGGTAGGTACCTCCCCGTTGTGTTGAGGGCCCTTCCATGTAGGGCCATTGAGGGTCCATGCCAAGTCCTCTTCCCATGCAGCCGTCCGTCCCCCAGGGGTGGGGCGAGAGCTGCCTCTAGGGTCGCTCTGCCAGCCAGGTTAACCCGCAAAGCGAGGCGTCCTTTATTCCCTCCAGCACTCGGGTCGCGCTCGCCCTGCTCTTTCCACCCAGCGCTTGCCCGCCTTAGCCCTCACCTCCCACGTGATTCCTTCCCAGCCTTCAAGGTTCTGCTGAAGTGCCACTTTCTGCGTGAACCCTTTCCTGACCCCGAGTAGCAGTGCTTAAGCCTCACACGGGCACTAGAACCTGCCCAGAAGGCCCGTGGTCCCGTGCAGTGCAAGGCCGAGTCGGGTGGTCCTCAGCCCCAAAAGGACTCCTGGTCCTCCAGGACCAGGTGAAACCTGGAGTCATTAGTGTCCCTGAGCCCTGGGATTCCCTCTTTTTTTCAGATTAAGCGCTCGTCCATCCGGAAGGGCATGGTGATGGTTTCCCCACGTTTGAATCCCCAAGCGTCCTGGGAGTTTGAGGCTGAGATCCTTGTCCTCCACCACCCCACCACGATTAGCCCGCGCTACCAGGCCATGGGTAGGTGTCTAAGGGGATTACCAGCTCAGGAGGCCCCCCGTTCTAGCTCCCGTCACTAAGTGCTCCAGTGACCGAAACCCCAAAGTTTCACTTCCACCCGAGAGGCAGGTCTTCCCGTTTAGTGATGCTCTCTTTTCCGCCCACGGGCAGTAATGTTTATTTGGTCTTACAAGCACAAACCGAGGGCTGGCTGTGTGCCTGCTCAGTGTCTGCTGGAGGCTGTGGTGTGCCAGGTGTTGTTGGGTGTTGGGGACCAAGACCGGATAGGCCAGGGCCCTGCCCTCAAGAAGCCAGCAGTTTAGAGAAGGCAACACATGCAAACACAGTGCCCTGTATTCGGGAACAAGGAGCATGGGTCCAGGGACAGGTGGGCCTAACGGGAGGAAGAGGCAGGAGAGCTTGAGGCTCAGCCAGGCCTCGGTGCCGCCCCGGGCCTCTGAGGTCTCGACCTGTCGCTGGTCAAGCCTATTTTGTGCTTTCACTCACTGCCCCCCCCTGCCCTGAGCCTGACGGGGGGGTGGGCCAAGCCTGTCCTGACCTGGTTCCCTTGGCAGTGCACTGTGGGAGCATCAGGCAGACAGCCACCATCCTGAGCATGGACAAGGACTGTCTGCGCACTGGGGACAAAGCCACCGTGCACTTCCGTTTTATCAAGACCCCTGAGTACCTGCACATAGACCAGCGGCTGGTGTTCCGGGAAGGCCGCACCAAAGCTGTGGGCACCATCACCAAGGTATGGCCTGGCAGGTTGTATGGGCCCCCAGCCAAAAGCAGGGGCTTCTGAGAAGCCTTGCGAGGTCGCTGGACAGCCCGTGCAGAGGCACCAGTCCCTGCCTTGGGAGAGCTGGACAGTGTGCCCCCTTTTAAAAGATTTTATGTATTTATTTTTAGAGAGAGGGAAAGGGAGGGAGAAAGAGAGGGAAAGAGAGGGAAAGAGAGAGGGAGAATCATCGATATGTGGTTGTCTCTTGCACACCTCCCCCCACTGGGGATCTGGCCTGCAACCCAGGCATGTGCCCTGAGTGGGAATCGAACCGATGACTCTTTGGTTCACAGGCCAGCAGTCAGTCCACTGAGCCACATCAGGCAGGGCAGTACTTGAGATTTTTTTAAAAGATTTTATTTATTTTTAGAGAGAGGGAAGGAGAGGGAGAAGGGGAGAAACATTGACATGTGTGTCCCAAATGGGGACCCAGTCCACAACTCAGGCATGTGCCCGACTGGGAGTTGAACCGGTGACCCCTCGCTTTGTGGGACAGTGCTCAACCCACGGAGCCACACTAGTCAGGGCAGGACTTGAGATTTCTGATAGCCACCCTCCAAATGTTTCCAGCTGCTGAGGTACTCACTTGGTTTCTGGAAAGCCTGGAGTCAAACTTGCCCCAGACTCCTGTTCACGGGATGGCAGCGTCTTGGGGCTGGAGAGGCGGTTGCTGTTCTGAGGAGGCTCAGCCAGCTTAGTAAGGAAGCGAGCCTTGCGTTCAGCTCACGGGGCTCTGGCAGCCTGGGCCCCCACTGGGGAGCTGCGCCAAGTAGGAGAGGGCCAAGGAGCCCCGATTTTCTGCGTGAAGAGCAGCCGAGCAGGAGACAGGATGGAGCCCTACAGGGCTGGGCTGGGGCAGCCCGGGGCACTGGGTGGGGAGATAATAGCTCTCTATTTCTCTGCCCCTCGTGTGGCCCTGCTGCCACAGACCCTGGGCTCTGCCCCAGGGCCAGCCAGGCCAGGGAGTGAGAACTTCCCAGGAGAGGAGGTAGGGGAGCGGGCAGCTGAGCCAATGTCGCTGCCTGCAGCTGTGGCCTCACCCTGACCCCCTTGGCTCCTGCAGCTTCTCCAGACCACCAACAACTCCCCGATGAACTCCAAGCCTCAGCAGATTAAAATGCAGTCAACGAAAAAAGGCCCCCTGACCAAACGAGAAGACGGGGGCCCCTCTGGGGGGCCGGCAGCAGGCGTGCCCACCCCTGGAGATGAAGCTTGCTCTCTGGGGGCCTCGCAGTCAGCTGCGTCCAGCGGTCTCCAGCCAACGGTGAGTGGGCCTCCCGGGCCGGTCCTGGGCTCCAGAACGCCGCAGGCAGGGTGATGGCGGTGAGCCTGCCGCAGTAGTTGGGGAAGGTGACGTGTGAGAGATCTCCCACGTCTCTGCATAGATAGAAGGTGTTTCCTGCAACTCCAGGCACGAGGTGCTTCTGGAGAGCAAGCTCTTCATCTCTGCAGGCAGTGTTTTCCAAAGTTTGGGATGTGGCCTACTTAAAATCAATCAGTTGTCCTGATTAGCGTGTGGTTTCCACAGGTCAGTTCAGTTTCCCTAGTAAGTATAGTTCATGGGTGTGTGCGACATGTGTGCTCCGGGGTCCCTAAGGTGTGAAAATTGCTGCCTTAGGGGCTCTCCTGGGCTTCCTCCCCACGTGACACCTCCTGGGGGGTCGGTGGCCTTGGGCCCTGTGTCACTGTTGCTGTCACTCAGCACCCCTGCCAGCACCTCACGCTTCCAGAGCCTCTTCCCCGTGTGCCCCTCTGTGGAGAAGGAAGCCTTTCCTGGCCAGTCCTCCTGCCACCTTCCCCACTGAGCTTTCCTCAGGCACCTTCATCCGCTTCTTTGTCGCCTGTCAGTGGTGGCCATGTCCTTCCCGCTTTCTTTGTGCTCGGAACTCACACGTTCACCACGGGGCCGCCTGCCTGGAAGGTGCGCAGAGCAGCGGGCCCTGGCTCCGTCTGACCACAGTGACGACCACTCTGTGAGGCTGGCCCCGCACAGCCTGCCCTTGGTTTCAGCCCACGTCTTCCTGCTGTACCCCCCCAACCCCGCTCCTTTGTGCCCCTTCCCCGCTCCCAGTAGTCGCTGCTTCAGGCTCCTCCTTTCTCTTCCAGCCCAAGCCCAGCAGTGGGGGTCGGCGACGAGGGGGCCAGCGTCACAAGGTGAAGAACCAGGGGGCCTGCGTGACTCCTGCCAGTGGCTGCTGAATTCGCCCTGCCCGCCCTCGCCACCCGCGGATTCTCCTGCTCCGGCCCAGCTCCAGCAGATGGGCCAGAGCAGCCCCGCGCCCGCCCCCAGGCCCCGGCCGGGCCTCACCATTCCCCACCCCGGTTTCCGGGGCTCTGTAATTTATAAGCTGAGGAAGGCGGCCAGACTTCTGCAGTACTGACCGCCTCCCACCCTCCTGCCCACCTTCTTCCTCACTCAGTTTTTGTACCCCTGGACCCTTAGTTTTTATTCTTCTTATTCTCTTTCTCATGTGCGTGCGCGCGGTGCAGGAGCGTGGCCACTCAGGGCCCTGGCAGTCTGTCTTCTTTCTCCTTCCCTCTTCCACGGCTGGCTGCCTGCCGCTCATGTGTCCGTCTGTCCGTGCGTCTCAGAACCATTAGGGGCTGTCAGGACCCGGAGGGTGCCCTCCTCCCCTGTGCTCTGCTGTGCCGGGGCGCCTCTGTGGGGCTGGCCGCCGGGCTGGGGCAGCAGGTGTGAGGGCCGCCTCCGGGAGCCTCCTTCTGGGGCTTGGGCCCCTGGCAGGGTGGGCGATGCTGGCTTCCTCTTCTGTCTCCCTCTTCTCCCTAAACCCCAAGACAGGTAATGCCAAAAGCTCTTAAATTTTAACCTGTAGATGTACCAAGGGGAGAGGTGATTGGATTGTAGGGACCCCCCGCCCCTAGCTCCGACCCTAGCCACTGACCCAAAGACAGCTAACTGGTGGCTTTGCTTTCCTTTTGGGGACAAGCCTGGGTTTGCCTGGCTGGTCAGTGCAGCTCCAGCTCTGTGGTTCTGCTGGGCTGGTGGCTCTTGCCTCCCAGGAGCTGCCTCCTGCTTGGGCTGTGACTCAGTCTTACTGGGTCAAGGGGCACTGATGACCTGGACCGGTGTTACCTGCTCACAGTCATGCTACTTCTGGTGGGGTGCGGGGCGCTCCTCTGCGCCAGACTGAGACTGGAACCCCGCCTTCCCACCACACCCCTGCCACATGGCCCAGCGCGGCTGCCATGGGAGCTCAGCAGTGAAGGGCCTGGGCCCGAAGTTTGGGAGCCCCGGCTGGGAGGCGGTGAGGGCAGGTGGGGGACAGTGAAGAAGACTCCCCTAGGCCCAGCACAGAGCAGTAAGCCCCCGAGAAGGATTGCCGTCAGGGGTGGGGATGGGGGTGCCCGGCCAGAGGGGGCAGCGAGGGCCCTGCACCAGCCTGGTCTGAGCTGTGGACTGAAGCCAGCTTAGGGTGGGCTGGTGGGCGGAGATGTGTTCTTTCTCTAGCCGAGGCAGACACCCAGCAGGCTGGGTCCTTCCTCAGCCTTGCCCCCTCCTGCCCCAAGACAGCTGGTCCCTTCACCTCCCTTCTCCCGACTCCTTCCACTTACCACTGCCCCGGGGCTGTGGAGGGACCAGACCAGCACCCAGAATAAAAGTTTGTGCCCTGTGCAGCCCTCCAGGCAATGGGAACACGGTTGCTCCGCCTGCCCTGCGGCCCTGCCTTCAGTGCAGGGCAGGGTCGGGGGAGCCCGGCTTCTCCCATTAGGCAGGAGTGGCCTCAGTGCCCAAGCTCCTCCAGCAGCTGTGACACAGGACAAGTTGCCATCCTCCTCTGAACCTCAGTTTCCTCCTCCACAGCAAGAAGTAAATGTGTACACGGGCTCTAATGATTTAGCGAGAGGATGTATGCAAGGCTCTGGTGGGCCCAGCTCGGGGGAGGTGCCTGGTGAATGGTCGCCACGCTGCCTACGACCCATGCTGGTTTCCAGGTCCCTAGCAGAGGCCCCACGGTGGGGGACAGGCTTGAAAGGAGAAGTGTGGCATTGACATGTCTCTCCTGGGTGGCTGGGCTGTGCCACGTGCCTCCCGCCACGTCCTTTCAGGGAGGTGGTGGCAGTTCATTTCTCTAGTTAAGGAAACTGAAGCTCAGAGGAGCAGTGCCACCAGCAGGCGGGGCTGTCCCGGCCCCGGCCCCGCCCCCAGCCATTCCCTGCCAGCTGCTTCAGTGTGTCCTTTGGCCCCTGCCAGTTCCTTTGTCTCCTGGCTGTTTCCCTCTTGCTTTCAACTCTGGTTCTGCTTACAGGGGCTGCTCCCCGTGGACCCCTTCATAGTTGGAGGGCTCCAGGGTTGAGCAACCCCTGCTTTGTCCCCAGGGCGGGTGCTGTGGGGTTTGTTTCCAGAGGGCTTGGCCGTGGTAGAGCCCCGGGACAGGTGGGACCTCGTTCCGTGTGAACCCTGCAGCCCCCGTGAGCGTAACCACTTTATGTTTGGAGGCTGTGGCCTCCACCCTGGCCTCTCCCCTCAGACGCAGGAGGCTGGTCAGGATCTCTGTGGTCCTCAGGCCACAGGCTAGCAGGGGGGTGACCGATGGCAGTGTTTTACTGTCCTCAGTAGGGACTGCAGAAGCTCCCTGGGGGGTCTCAGCCCTACCAACTATCCATTTGGAACAAAACACCAGCCCTTTTGTAGTTGATAAAGAATAAAGTTGTTAATCTGATTATCTCGAATGGCAACTCCTGACCCTTCTGTGTGGGCAGCTAGCATTGGGGGCGTCTCTCAATTCAGTTGGCACCACTGTCCTGGCTCACGGGCCTCCCTGGCACAGCGTAAGGCAGGGGAACATGCACGTTTGGTTGGGGGCATGGGATGTACCAGCAGAGGTGGTGTGAATTGTGCCGTGAGGGGCTGATAGGATTTGACCATGTGCAGACAGGCCGAGTATAGTTTGGGAGCCCCGGCTGGGAGAGCAGGAGCAGAGGCCCCAAGCCCAGGCTGTGTGACAAGTCCCAGGGACTCCGTTACCGGGTACCGCTCGGTGATATCGCCTTTGTTGAAGAATGGTGCTGGTTGCAGAGCAGGTGTGAGTGAAATGGGCTGGAGGTGAGCCTTCTGTGGGACTCGCTCTTTCCCCGGATGCTGAGCTGCGTTCAGTAGCCGGCCCAAAGCCTCAGGGCTGGGCTTGCAGGCTCCTCCTTGCTGACCTGCTCATGTATTCCCTCAGCTATGGGACCGGCCCTGGGCCGGGCAGCACATCAGGACTGTGCATTTGAGAGTCCAGGTAGGGGCCTGTCCCAGGCCCCTTTGAGCAGCTCATTAGAGATGCTGAATCTGGGGGTGCAGTTACAGTGAAGGGCCAGGCCCTGTTGCTCTGAGCTAGCAGATTCTGGTTCTTCAGGGGACCCCCTTCCTTGCCCCATCCCAGCACAGATACGAGGGGCAAATCTCTAATTCCACGGAGGAGGGCCGTGGCCCTGAAGGCTGACACAGTCACTAGGTAAGCAGGGAACGTTCTACCTTCTACTCAGGTGGCACTAAGTGATGCAGGGAAAGCCTCCTGCTTCACAATGTGCATCAGCATCGGCTAATAAAGCCACCTGACTGCCTCCTGCCCATCCCGAACCCAGGATCACTGAGGCAGGGTCTGCCTCAGGCCCCCATGCCCCCATCAAAGCTGGGTTTTAGCTGAGAGGCTTGGTTTCTAAAGTAGGAATTAGACTTTGAGGCGTTGTTTGGCTAAGAATTCATCCTCGTTTTCCCAAGAGCAGATCACCCGTGCAACAGCCAGATAAAAACCACGTACTCCATTAGTCCTGGGCATAATTTATTTTTTGCATAGCCAAAAATTAGAATCTGGAGATACAAAATTAGGAACCCAATAGTGCAGCATTTGTGACAGAAGAGCACAGAACCAAACGGCTGTTGGGGGCAGAGGCCGTGCGGGAGCCAGTGCTGGGGGGGCCCGGGGCTGGGGCCGAGGTGCGCCCATGCCCCGGCTTTGCCCTGCAGGAGCCCGTCGGGCTCAGCCCTCCTCCTGAGGGTGCCTGTGTGCACGGCAGCCCCTCTTGGCAGCGGGGTTACACCCAGGGCCCCACAGAACGGGGCCAGGAATCAAGCCCTTAGCTTTTCAGTTAAAAAACAGACCTTGAAAAATATTTACATATAAGAGCAGAGCCTGCTGGGTCAAAACCCCCCTGCCTCAGGCCCCTGCCTGCCCCAGCCCCCTCCCCGCCCCAGCCCCCCTAGAAAAAAGCCAGAAAGGAAACAACTGAGCAAGAGCTGAAAGAGCCCCAAGGGGGTGGCTGAGGGTGAGGGCCCCTCACACCAGGGGCCTGATTGCGATGGGGGTGGGGCGGAGCCCACCAGGCAGCCAGCCTCCCACCGTGATACCCTGAATATCGCTGGGACCCAGTCATCCCTGGGCCACCAGGGGAGCCCAGGAAGCCCCCTGCTCCCACCTTTTAGCTGACCCCAGGTGCTCCTAGCGTCAAAGGATAGACTGGCCTCCCTGCATCTTGGGGGAATGTGGCGAAGTTGCCCAGGGGACAGGCAGGCCCCAGTCCCAGCATCAGAAGAGAACAAGCAGGTAGTTCCCCAGCAGAGGGGGTCCTCCTACAGGGATGGCCCCTGGGCCCCTCGGAGGCTCACAGGAGCCGGACCTAGGGTACGAGAAACCCCACAGGCCACCTGCACCCGGGCCAAGTACAGTGCACAGAAGCCCTTCAGAGACCTAGTGGCCCGGGCTCCCCTGGGTTGGTGGCACTGGCTTTGGGAGAGCCCAGCCGCCGCCCTCTGGCAGGAGCTTCCTGGCCGCTGCCCGTCCCACGTCCTCCCACAGGGCCTCACTCCGCCGCCCCAGGCCTGCGCTCCGGCTGAGGCTTTGGCAGGAGCCTCACTCACACACGCCCAACGGCCGCCTGGGTGCCGACCTTCCACCAGGGGCCTGCCATAGGGGCTTCCCCACAGGCTCCCGCCTCTCCCGCCTCTCAGTCCCCCGCCATATGCTACATATATACACCCTCCGGGAGGGGAAGTAGACGCCAATGCCGCGCAGAAGGAGAATGAAGGATCAAAAGACGCTGGAGCCAGCTGTGCCCCTCGAGCTGCCGCGCCGCCAGGAAAGCCCTGCGTGTTCGTTCTTATCTCCACCGGGCCAGTGTTTCTGGATCCTGGACATCAGTGCGCTGGTCAAGCATGTGGGGGAGTGGCGGGGGCGCTGCCCCCCCACGCCCAGGGGCGAGGGGCACGGGGCACGGCCGGCCTCCCAGCGGGCTGGCAGCAGCACGCGGGAGGTCTAGTGGCTGGGCTCCCCGTGCACCCTGAAGCGGTAGATGCAGGTGTACTCAGGGTGGCCCCAGTTAGTCAGGATGCGCAGCTCCACCACCTGGTATGTGGCCATTTTGGGGTCCTGCGGGGAGAAAGAAGGGTTAGAGTGACACAGAGCCCTCAGACCTCACTTGACAGCAGGCAGCAGGGGCAAGGACCCCGCGGGGCCTTTGCAGAGACCTGGACTTCAAAGCTCCAGTCCTCAGACCCTGGAGGAGAGTTCCCAGCTGGCGGGACCAGGGGCCCCTACAGGGCCGCCCACCTAGGGCCACGTGAAACCTGCACGATTCATCCTAGACTGACAACATGGGAGTTCTGGGTCCCGCCTGTCAACCGACAAACTACCTTTGTGGAGTTTGCTGCTCTGTGTTGATGTTGGGAAAAAATCCCTTTACTTTGAAATAAGCAGAATTTCTTTTTTAAGTTCCCATCAGGCCTCTGTCCTCTATGCTCAAGATGTGACAATTTTTGAGCCAGCATCTGGAGCAGGTCTCCCCTCCCTTGACGCCCCAGCACAGTGCCCTGCCCTTCCGCGCCCCTCCAGCCCCTGCGCTGCGGCCTCCCCTCCCCCTCTCCTAAAGGCACAGCCCCACACGTCCCTGAGAAACCCCAGCTCCTCCCATGGCCCCACCCGTGGGTCCGGCCTGGGCTGCGGCTCCTGGACTGCCACGCAGGCACTCAGGCTGCGCATGCAAACCCGCCCTGGCCCTGCATCAGCCCGGCTGCCCTCGCCTCCACCCCTCCTTCCCTGCTGTCCGGGGCACTCCCAGTTCAGTGCTGCCGCCTCTCCGACATCAGACCCCCGCCTGTCAACTCTGGTTGCTTCCCTGCAACCACTTCCCAACCCATCTCCCTGCCTCCAGGCCTGTTGTCCCTTTTAGACTCACCACTTACACGCAGTCACAGGGGTCTTATCAGAACGCACACCACATTGTCACTTTGCTGCCTGAAACAGCGATGCCCACCCCTGCCCCGACCCCAGCCCTGGGGGCTGGAATTCTTTGGCCTGGTCTCACTTGGCCTGCCTCTCCGGGCCCTCTTCCTGCCCCTTCACCTCACACCCCCGCTTCACGCTAGTGCGTTCCAAGCCCTCACCCCTGGCGGGAGTTGCAGGGACCCTGCATCCGGTTCATCTGGGCTGCTTGCTAGAATGCAGCTTCCTGGTCCCGGCGGCCCCAAGAAGCCCACCTCCTGCGGTGGGGCCCGGGACCCTGCATTTCTAACGAGGGCCTGGAAGACGGGCCCACTCTGGTTGAGTGGCCACACTGCACTGGCCGGGCCAGCGCGCCCCCCAGCCACTTGGACAGCTGCCCCTGTTCCGTTCCTTGTGCCGCAGGAGGCCAGGGCCTATGGCTTCCTGCTCTGAACCCCCACTGCCAAGCACAGGGTAGCTGCTCAGAAAGCATCTGCTGAAAGGAGGGGGAAGCACATCTGCCACCTCTGCTGGCACAACAGAATCCTGTACCTGAAAATAAAATGTCTGAATGGGCTCCCCATCCTGGTCATAGGTGAACTGGCCAAGGAGTGTCCCCTCTTGCTGCAGGTTTTCGTCAAACCCCTGAAAAGAGCAAAGGATGAAGGGAAGGCACTGCTCTTAGACACGTGCCCTGGCCAGCGCGGGAGGAGTCCTCTCCCTGTTCCCACGCTGGTCCCCTCCCGCCCTGGTGGACTGCAGGGGACCTGAGTGCTGGACATAGGGCTGCTCGGGGGTCCATGGCAGACAAGTCACTCAGCTCCTGGGGCCTTGCTTCTCCCTCCGTAGCCTGAGACAACTGGGGTCGCAGTACCATTTCCCACCCTGGCACCATCTCTTCCAAACATGCTTCCCTCCCCCGGCCAAAGAATGACCCCAAAGTCATCCTCTGTGGAGACCCCCGGAACCCCTGCAGCCCTTGGGCCTGCACAGGCGCAATACTCACAAAGACAGCAAAGTCCTTGGGGGCACTGGAGATGGTGCTGTTGGGCGACAAGGACTTGGGCACATGCTCTAAGGTGACAGCAGTGGGGCGGATGCGGGCAGAAAGGCGAACGACCGCAAAGCCCTGGGGCCCTTGGAAGGCCCAGCAGTTGCCTGGGTGCACGTCTGGCTAGAAGGGAAGAAAGTCGGGTCAATGCAGGGCTGGTGACAGAGAGCCCTCCCTGAGCGCAGCCCGGCTGACCTGGGATGGGACAGCTGCCCCCCCCACACATGTGCTCTGCTTGGGCCCCGGTCATCGCCCTCGCCGGGGGCCTACCTGGAGGATCACGCGGGGCGACTGGGAGTGGTACCACAGGGGGATCCCGAAGAGGCTGAGGAGGGCCGTCTTGGTCTCGTAGGTCTCGGAGCATCGGGTGCTGATCACGCTGGCCCCTGACACGGGAAAGAAGGGAAGCGTTGGGCACCGGGGCCTGGACGGACAGCAGGGGGGGGAAGTCACCAGGCTTAAAGGACTGAGGCAGCCTGAGGAGGGACCACTACTGCCCGTGTCCCCTCTGGGGACAGAGCGCAGGTGCCCCATGCCCAGTCTGTACACCTAACCCAGACCACAGAGCAGCTGTAACCGCTCCGTCGCATGCAGGGACGGCACCCAGCACGTCCCGGCGCCTGGGGGCAGTTGTTGCCTTCATTAGGAGCTCTGGGTGGGGGGACTTCCCATACACCCTGCTGGCCTGGCACCGCTGCTGCTCTGGCAGATGCGGCTGTGGGTGTGGGCACCAGGGCTTGGCGCCAAGAAAAGAGTGGCATACGTACCTCCCGATTCCAGCGCATAGTCCACCATCCCGATGCGGTCCTCGCTGTAGCGCTTCAGGGCCTGGTTTACAATGCGGCGCACCTCCTAAAACACAGGGCCGCTGTGGCAGGAAGGAGACACCTGCCCATGTGCCCCCCCGCTGGGGGTTGGGGGCCGGGGGCCCGCAGGCGGACTCCCTCCTTCTGTGCTTGCTCCACGCAGGTGTGCCTCCAGCCTCCCGTACCAGACCCAAAGCCAGCACTGGAGCCTCCTGCACGTCCCTGGGGTCCTGGGACGTACCAGGGAGCTGGCAGTGTGGGACTCTGCTGGTCTATGGCTCCCAGCTAGGAAAGCAGTGCGTGCGCACGTGCGCGCGCGCAAGTCGGGGCTGGGGGGGGGGGGGCGGTCATAGTCCTCACCTCCTCCGTCACCCCGATCACTCCTTCCTTCTGCAGCCTCAGCCCCAGGCTGGCTACCGCCTCCCTGGCCGACTTGCCCTGCATCTCGGCCACGTGGGCGAGGATCTTCTTCTCCAGCTCCTGCAGCTGAGCCTGCATCTCTTCTCGCTGGAGGAGCCCAGTGCGGGTTCCGCCGCCCCGGACAAGGAACTGGCTGATCCAGGCAGGGAACTGAGACTCCACCTAGGGGCCCAGGAAGGGTCTCAGTCGGGGATGCCAGCAGCTTGGGTAGCAGGGCAAAGAAGGAGTGGAGCTTGCTTGCGCCTCCCGGGGGAAAGGGCTATGAACCACCCTCCATGTTCTGGATATAAAAGTGGGAAGAACCCCCATCAAAGGAAGCCAGCGTCTGTGTCAAGTCAAGGGCCGGGGCTTCTGAGACCAATGGGCCGCAGGGGCGGGAAGCGCTCTGCCCCATGCAGACTCCAAAGACAGACGGTCTGGGGGGAGGGGCGTTCAGCAGGGGACTTGGACAGTTCCGACTCACGTCATCCCGCACGGCCTGGAGCTGCTGCGGCAGCAGGCCCACTTGGTCTGCCACCGAGTTCTGCTTCAGGGTCAGGGCGGCCAGCTCCTGCCGCAGGCCTGCCAGCTGGGCCTCCAGCCGCCCCAGCTCCTTCATGGAGCTCTCGCGGAAGGACTCCTGGGTCATCCTGCTCCCAAAGAGAAAAGGGTAAGCCTCGGATCTCTGGTGAGGATCTCCGTGCAGGCTCCTTATGCCAGGATCTCCACCACAGATGGGGGAATGCGAGGCCTCCTCTTGGAGGTCCTGGCTGTGTCCATCCAGGGCTTCCACTGCCCAGGAAGCCCATCCTTATCCTGCTCCTTCTCTAAGGCCAGATCCATCACTCACTCGGCCTCAGCTGCTCACACCTTCCACAGGGGAGTGTGGCGTCTTGAGCACGGGAAGGCAGCTGCTTGCGGCTGTACAGGGAAGGTGGTCTACCTACTTAAACCCACAAATCCCAGTTCTGCACAGCCCCACCACCAACCTCCGTGCACCTCAGGGACAGGCTCTACGCCTGCGGTCCTGAGCTAGGCTTCCACCACCCTGTCTCTGGTTGGAACACAGCCAGAACCCTGCTCTGGGGCTCTGCACCCGGCCCCCAACCGATCCCGCCTGGGGCAGGGGAGGGGGGGGGGGTGGGGGCGGACCTCGGCCAGCCTGCAGGGCCTGTTACCTGTGCCACTCGGCCTTCAGCTGCTGGAGGCGAGTCTCGGACTCCTGTTAGCAGGGACATGGGAGAGATGCAAGCGACGTCAGGCTCAGAGCAGCTGGCCTCCCAGAGCTGGATCTGTTCCCTTTGGGGTCTTTGCTTAACCACACCCCTGCCCCAGCGTCTCCCAACGGCTCCAGCACAGGCCAAACTGGCCTCCTGGTCAAGGTCCTCAGGAGAGTGTCACCCAGTGTCTGGCGTACTTGGGCACCCTTAAGTTCACTCATTCATTCAGCACGTTAGACCCAATACCATGTGCTTCTTGAAAGCGACCCTTCCCACCCCCAGCCCGCTCCCAGGGCATCCCTCAGAGCCCTTCTGCCCAGGTGGGCTCAGTCTGAGCAGAAGTCTGGAGACTGCGCACCGCGCCTTGTTCTGCGTCTAAGCGGGCCCTTCAGGAGCCCGATGTGTCTCGGCCCAGGAACAGATGTTGAATTGGAGGCCGCTGCAGGCCCCAGTGCCCAGGCCCACCAACCTGAGAGGCCTGGACAATCTTCTTAAAGAGGTCTTCCGAGTCCTGTTGCTGTTCCATTCTCAGGGTGGCTAGTTCTTCCTGTCGGGCACAGTGAGAGAGGTGGAGGGTTCCCCTGAGCTGCGCTCGGACGGCCACTCACCACCATAAGTGGTGTGACTGGAACCCAAACCAGGCCCCTGTGAGGGTGACCTGCAGCTCCCGGCCCTTCTGCTGCAGTGCTTCTTGCAAATGCGGGAGCCTGGCTGTGACCTACATGGCCAGGCGCTGTGCCAGGCACCCTGCACTCCCCTGTGCTCGCGGGCGGGGGTGGGGGCGGGGCAAGGGCAGGAGTGCATCTGGTTTAAGGAGGAGGAAACTAGGACTTAGCGGAGGTCACTGCCAAGTGGCAGAGCTGTCTCTGTCACAGCAGGGTGCGCGGGGTCTCGCTCCCTCCACCCCACACTCTCACGATGTCACTCACACACGACCCCCAGCTCTAGCCCGGAGACCACAGCTCCTCTCCCTGACCTGGATCCAGGCGGCAGTGTCCCTGCGGAAGTCCTCCTTCAGGGCGGCCTCGCGACGGCTCACCAGCCCCTCCAGGAGCGCCAGCGTGTCCTCCTGGCTCAGGCTGCCTCCTCCTCCCTCACCAGTGGCCCCTTGCCGCAGCTCCAAGCGTTCCAGGCGCAAGGCCTCCTTCTGCCAGTTGGAGGAAAATTCGGCGGCCAGAGCTTCCAGGCGCCGCTCCAAAGAGTGTACCCGGGACAGAATGCGCTGCTCAGCCTGGCGTGGCAGGTGGGAAAACCACAGAGGTGAGGGGCCCGAGAAGAGAAAGGGGAGAGTCCTAGACGTATCCAATCGCAGTAAACACGCGAGGGTGTGAGGTGCTCGGGACAGTCTCTCTGCCCTGCAGGCATGCAAGTCATTAAGCAGGGAAAGGACTTGGCGGCTTGGTGACAGTGAAGCCCAGGGTACAGGGACACACAGCAGGCTGGGGGCGTCTAACCCCCAAAAAGGAGTGATGTGGGATGGGGAGGAGAGGACACAGTGCCCTCCCAGAAGAGGGTGGAGGGATAGCCCAAGAAGAGGATAGGAAGAAACCGCAGGATGGCCACAGGGGCTGGGTGGCCTGCTGGGCCGGGCCCCTCCCCGCCGGCGCCCACGAGGTGCACGTGCGTGGGAGAGCGTGGGATTAAGGTTCAGCTGCCAACTTTCAGCAGCTTCCACTTCTTCCATTGGTGACTATGGCTAAATGACCAGATAATTGGAAAAGGCTTTCTTTTTCCTCTTGGTGCCCCAGGGAGAAGACAGAACACAAGTCATTTGGACCGGAGGGTGGCATTTGATAGTGTGCCATGAATTTTGAGAACCTTGTTGGCTTCGCAACAAAAATCTTTGCCAAGAGAAAACATAAAACGCAGTCTGTCAAGTATCAAAGGGCAAGAACACTGGGTACAGAGGTTGCTTCTAATTTTTAAAAGTTCCATTTTTTTTGCATGACTCAAAAAGCAAACAAACAGTAAAAAGTCATGCTCCCAACCTCTGCCGGCTTCCACCCTGCGCCCTCACCACCTCCCTGCCCAAATCTGGTGACTCTTTTTATTAGTGTCTTTATGCAAATACAACTCTCCTTTCTTTCTTTTTCCCTCCCTCCCTCCCTCCCTTTCTTCCTTCCTTCCTTCCTTCCTCCTTCCCTCTTTTACAAAAAGGTGGCCCTGAAATTAAATTGTATTTAATATCTTTACTAATGATTTAAAAAGGAAAACTTATGTCATTATTTTATGAAATAATAAGATCATGATCCAGAAACTAATCACCACCAAAATAAATGGTTACAACAGTGACACCAAGTTAACCTCAGCAAGATGTGAACAAAGCTCAGTAACTGCAATAAGGAGTTTTAAGTTCCCACTGTGGACCCCAGGAGGCGCGCACACACAGCCCGGGGATTTGTGTCCTTGCCACCAGCCCGCCCTCCCTGGACCGCGGGCTCTCCCAGAGCGCAGCTGAGGCCTGGGCCTGCTCCATCCGCCTCTGGCAGGCTGCAAAGCAGCCGCGGCCCTTCCCTCCCCCATGTGTGCGCCCTGTGCGATGCAGCCTGCAGGTGCTTCCCCTCCTTGCATTTGTACTGCCTCTGGGGTTTGCTGAGGCCAACAGAATGTGGAGGAAGTGACAGGGTGCTAGTTTCAAATTGGGGCCCCAGAAGGCCTGGCCCGATTCTGCACCCTTGGAAACTTGCACGGCTGCCGTGAGAACGTGACCGGACTAGCCTGCTGGACAACGAGAGTGCGGGTGGAGCACAGCCCGCCCTGCTGACCCACCAGCTGGCTGCAGACACATGAGGGGGCCCAGTCAAGACCAGCCTGTCCTTGCTCAGACCAGAGGAACCAGCCAGGGGACCCATGGACTCATGAGCTAATCACATGCTTGTACTTTCAAGGCACTGATTTTAGGGTGCCTGTGCTAAAGGTAACTCACCAGGCTATTACCTTATTCACAGAAGATGCTCAATAAGTACAGGGTGGGGCAAAAGTACATTTACAGTTGTGAGTGCACAAAACACAAAGTTTATTCTTGTACTATTATTTATTAATTATTGTTATTTTCCAAACAAACAACTGTAAACCTACTTTTGCCCCACCCTGTATTTGAGAAATTATATTGAAAGGAACAAAGCAAACAAGATGACTTGTCTGATTCCTTTTCTGGGCTTAGGATGCCAACTAACTTTGGGATGGTTCTGAGTCATGTCTATGTAAACTGCCTCCCAATACGTACACTCCAAGGGCCAGAGAAAGTGGAGCCAGGGAGGTGGCCCAGGGCCCCAGCTACGACGCACCCCTCCTCAGCTCCATGTGTCAGGCGTAAGTGCAGGGAAACCAACTGCGAATGGGCTGAGGGAGGACTCGCGCACTAAGATACTCACCTGGGCGTGTGAGGAGGAATCTCTGGACGCCCACACCTCTTGCTGCCGGCCGCCGCCCCTCGCAGCCCACCAGGAGACTACAGCGGGGTGGAGCGTGTGCAGCCCGTAGGGGTAGAAATACCAGGCACCTGTACACAGGGGAGGGATGGTTACCCAGGCCGGGGGCCATGCGCAAGAAGGCGCACACAGTGAGGACGGCAGCCTGACCAGTGGTTCCCAGAGGCCCAGCTCATTCACACAAGCCAAGGGGTACTCCCGCCAGCAGGCCGGACGGGGGCAGGCGCTTCCCATCCTGCTCTGGGGCAGCGACTGCCACGGCCCAGCTCCAGAGCAAGTGCATTCCCACATCCCCTCAGGGGGCCTCATCTTTCAAGCCTGGAGAAGACGGCTAACCTGGCCAGGGATGGTCCAGGGCTGGAACCCAGAGGCCCTGATGGGGGTCCTCAGCCCAGGCTTTACATCAGAACCACCCAGGAAGCTTTTAAAACACCCAGTGTCAGAAAACATACCACATATATAATACACAGATGAACATTTGTCATAAAAAGACCAAACACACAAAAGTCCATACACATAACCTGAATCAGTAATTTTGGTAGAGAAGGTACAAGATTTTTTTTCATTTGCTCTTGACAACTTTCAAGGATGCTGGAGAAGGGGAAGGAAGGTCCTAATTGCCCCGCAAGAAGACTCATTGAGATGCTCAGTGAGAGCTTTGAGGGCTGTGAATGAGCCGTGGAAGCAAAGACAGTCTCGGTCCCAGTGAAAGGAATTACATATGTAACGCCCCAAAGAGCTGTTTAAACGGGAGAAAGGAAAGCCAGTGACGGAAGATAAGATGTGACACGACAAGAATGAAGTTGTCAAAACTGGTGTAATACGTGCTCCCAGAGGAAAAAAACTGGCCCACCCTCCACACAGAGTACGTTCATTGGCCTGGGGCGACCGCGCAAGTGAGGTTTAGAAGCCCCCCACGGTGACTCTACTGGGCCCTGGTTGAGAATCACTGATACGGAACATGCCTGCTAGAGAGGCTGCTTGTGGCTCCAGGACAGGGCACGAGGACACAGACACACAGGGATGCTCACATCTTGCTTGAGCGGCCCTCTGTTTGCGATGTGTTTATTTCTGAGCTGTGCGCATGCACGTGTGCATGTGTGCAGGGGTGAGGGCGCCGGAAAAAGCCATGTTGGCTGAGGAGTCTCCATTCAGTAAGATGCCACACTTGCCACTCATCAGCCAGGAGGCCAGGAGCAGGTGCAACACGAAGCACATGACCACCAGGCTTTGAGTGAGACCCTCTGGACACACTCTCACTTACTGCACTCCCGGAGCAAGTCCCTCCGCCCGCCCCCTGCCTTTGAGACTCCTGACAGGCGTCTGCTCTGGGATGCCATCGCAGGGCATCACCAACTCCGCGGGGGGAGGTGAAGCCCAAATTCAGCTGCGTTGACTTATGGGAAAGTGCTTCCTGAACAAGATGATGTGCAATTATAAAGGGTATTACAACTTCAAGGGTGATGCCCAGTTTCCAATGGATGTGAACAAGCTGTTCTTATAATAGGAAACAAAGAGGAAATCAACACTTGGCAAAATGTTCTACCTTGGTATTGGTAAAAAAAAATACAAGTCAGATAGATACTAAACCTATATAACCAACTCTCTAACAAATAATAAAGCATGATCTTTCATTATAAATGGTACAATCATTAAAGCCTGGGAGCCATGGAGGAAACTCATGTGAAATTGTCAAATGAAAAATTGACATGAATGTGTGTGTGTGCGCACGCGTGCGCGCGCGCACACACACACACACACACACACAATGATTACAACTATGTAACAAATCCGAACTCCCATGATCGAGATTGGGACAATGTAGAGCATCTCATGATGCTAGGCATCTTAGTGCAAGAGGCATACTTTCTTCTCTTTATTACTTCATTGCTTTGATCTTAAAGATAGCTAAAGATAGAACTTGACCTTGTAATAATAATTCACTCACCCAGACTCTGTCCTGATTTGGAATGGAGGGAAAATGATCGTTAATAACAACAGCGTCGATCAGAGCCCCCAGTTTTTACCCCAATACTCCTACGCTAGGCATGTCCCAGCCTAGGTGGCTCTAAGGCTCCTCCCGATGTGCCAGGCAATTGGGTGCAGCTACCCAAACTGAGGACGAGGTCAGGGGGTAGGGGCATTTCCCCTTTCACCCACTGGACACCCTGAGAACGCAGCAGCATTGGTCAGCAGGGGACACTGGAGACCAAGGCGGGAGAGGCCTAGGGGTCCGGGCTCCGGAGGTGCCCAGGCTTGGTCTGAGCCCCCTCATCCCACCTCCATCCTGTTTGGTAGGAGATGGCCATCCCTCTAGTTCTCGGCCCTGCTCAGCGCCGCCTCCGCCCACACTCTGCCCTGCCCCGCTGGCTCACCAGCCCCGTCCGGCCGCTCTCATCCTGCCTATCTCCTGAGACAGCGGGTCAGCTCACCGTAGGTCAGGCCAGTAAGGAGCAGCAGCAGCAAGAGGAACCACAGGAATGTCTTCAGGGACGCGACGCGCCTGGACCGTGGGAGGGAGTGGTGAGCAGGGCAGTTGGAGGGGTCGGGAGGGCCCCAGGCCTCCAGGCTCCCTGCTCCCCCCTTGGGAGTCCCCTGAAATTTTTTCCCTGAGTGCTAAACTAGGGCCGACGGGACGCCCTTGCGTATCTTGTCTTGCCAGGGCCAGACTGGACTCTGCAGAGGTCTTGGAGTAATGGGGACAATTGTGACTCTGTGAATTTTACTGACATTATTAAGAATAAGTAATGGAATCTTTGCAGCAACTAACATTTTCGTATATAGAGGTCCTCTAAGCAAGCAAATACAGAAAGAAAAAAAAATACGGAACTCCCTAAACAACATTTTCTTTTAGAAAAACAAGAAACCTTCTTTTCTTTCTTTTTCGTTCTTTTCTTTTCTTTTCTTTGCTTTTCCTTTCTTTCTTTCCTTTTTGGTGACATGAGTCCATCCTTGCCCCTCTCCTCAGCATAGCTCGTTGCCCACCCCACTCTGGGCCACAGCCCGAGGGACCCTGACTCCCTGGCTCGGCCTTCTTTCCACTGCCGAGGGGCCAGTCCCCAAGTCCCGTGTCTGCTGGGACAGGGACTTGGGGCACAAACACACTCATCCTCAGGTCACTCCTCAACACAGGTGGAAAACCCTGGGGCCTAGGTCGTCACAGGGCCACGAGGGATGGGACTCTGAATGTCCCGGGAACTGCCACTGCTGGGCTAGAGCCTGAGGCCAGACCAGCAGGCGGAGGCTAGGCTTGTCTGACTCTTCTGTCTGGGACTTTCTGATTCATTGCCCAGGCAGGTGTCTTGCTCACCTGGTTAAAACGAAGACGTCGAGGAGGGAGGCGGCTGTCGTCAGGCGGTACCAGGAGGTGCCGACCCACCAGTAGAGGAGTCTGAAGAGCCGGCCTGAAAGAGGGACCGTCACGTTCAGGTGTCACCTTGAGCCGGTGATGGTTTCGGAGCACCACTCTCTCTCCACCTGTGGTCCTCCCTGCCCCTAGTCACACTGACCAGCAGGACACCTCTGTCCTGTCACAGGGCTACCCGGTTCCTCTAATCCCACCTGCCTGCTCAGCAACTGGCTCCCAGTGATTATTCTAGTATGAGCTTTCCTGGGTGGTCCCACAGTTTCTCTATGGGGGCTGGATGCCCCACCATGGAGATGGATGAGAAGGGGCTGCTGTAGGGAAGGAAGCTGTCGTGTGCAGAATAGCCAGCACCCACCTGGGAAGGTGACCACTGTCCAGAGAAAGGAGGCTGCCCGAGAGACAGCACTCCTCAGCCGTGACTCTGAGCCCCGCTGGTCTGTCTCCGGGTATCCTGCGGGGGCAGGGAGGGAACCAGCTCAGTGTGTCCTCGCTTGGAGGGGCCCTGGGACAGGCGGCCTGCCTGTTACTTGTCTCTTCCCTTAGACTGTGAGCTGGGACCACGTAGCACTCTCCTTCACGTTCCGGGAGTGCCACGCAGGCCCGGCGCCTAGCAGACCAGTGGTCATCTGCTGAAGGAACTTTCCATAGGTTTCTGACATTGTATTTCCCCTGAGCTCCTTGCCTGCATCTGTCCCCTCATGGGCACCCCCTCAACCAGTGTTCAGCCCCAGACCAAGGGGCGCGGCCTCTCCTCTGTGTGAAGCCTGCGTTAAAACGCCTGCTGGAAACGAGCCAAAGAGTGGAGTTGACCACAGGCCTAGTGGGACAGGGACGGCGCCCCAGGCCGGGCCTCAGGGTGCTACAGGGGCACAGGAGGGATGCCCGGACAATCTGTGGAGGCCCCTGCCAGGCACCACGCTGTCCCAAGCTGTCAGGGATGCCTCCCCCAGTTCCCCCCGACCCAGTGGTCCTGGCACCTGCTGAGCGCGCCTACCTACGTAGTCGTCCTCAGAGGAGTAGCCCGAGGAAGACCCGAGGAAGTCCTCGGAGAGCCTGGTCTCTGCCAGCCCGTTGATTTTGCTGCTCTCGGAGCCCCCGGTGCCTCTCCTCCTCCTCACCCGCAGGTCCTCGCCTGTGGAAGGAAGAGCTCAGTGTTCTCCTGGGGCACAGAGACGCTGAGGAGGGTGTTCCTGGGGGCCTTGTGGGGACACCCTGATGGACAGCTGGAGTCTGTCCGCCCTCGGCCTCTCCCTGGGTCTCTGGGTCCCCGGGAGGGTGACCTCGGTCCGGCTCCTCTGTCTCCTGGGCTTGGAGCAGCTCTGCGGCTACTTCGTCCTCTAAAGGGGCCTGGGAATTTAGACACCTGTGGCTTTTCCGAGGGTTTCTGAACCCGGGCAGCCCCGTCTGACCCAGCAGGTTTAGAAACCCTGGGTGGGGAGGACAGCTGGCATTGGGGACCTTAAGTTTCCAGAGGAAGCACAGCCCGGGGCGGAGGGCCACAGACACTTACTCCAGTAGGGATCCCGGTGCAGCTGGTCACCCAGGATGGAGCTCCTGGCGAGGGAGGCAGCCCGCGGGCTGCTGAAGTAGGACTCCTGGACCATGGACTCGCTGTAGTAGGAGGTATGTGCATCGGAGGAGGGACCCAGCTGGGGGGCCGGGGAGAGGCGCTTGGTGTTGCCAGATTTCCTCTTCAGGGTCCTGCGGGTATGAGCCAGAGGGGGAACAGGCAGGTAAGCCCAGCCAGGAATCGGAAGCCGGCAACAGTGCCCTCCTGCGGTGAGTGGGTTGGCCTTGTTGCTAGGCAACTAGCAGCTCCCAGCCACTGACTGGCTGTCTGTGGGGCACAGGTAGCTTCTCTGCTCCTGCTAACTCCATATCTCACTAGCAGGCAGATCTTCCAGGTGATCAAGTTGAGATTCAAATCCAGGTCTCTCACTTCAAAGCCAAGTTTTTTTTTTTCCTCTCATGCTTCTTAACGGAGTAGTAATTTCTACAACCCACTGAACACTCAGCAGAAGCCAGCCTGGCCTCCAGGAACCTCAGGGGCTGCCATCGGGGCCCATGTCTGTGAGGGCGGGGGGCGGGCAGAATGAGGTGGGCGCCCGTCTCACTCATTTCCTGGCGCCCATGGGACCCACTTCTCTCCTCGGCCCCCTGGCTGGCCCTGCCGAGGCCCTGCGCATGGTGTGGGTCCGGAGGATGACCAGCCGGGCACTCCCGCCCATAGCAGAAGGGGTTCTCGGGAGCGGGGGGTGGGGGGGGGGGGGGGGGCGGGGGGCCGAGCTTGCACTGCTAGGGCTTCCGGCCTGGCCCGTCCTTGACGCTGCCTCTCCCCACTTCCTGTTCTCTGAGCCCAAGGGCAGAGCCTGGCTTACAGCAGGGGAGGGGGAACGGTGCTGGTCCTGGCCTCCTTGGAGGTGGGGATGCCTCCTTGGCTGGACGCGGGCATCTTATCTCTGCCCATAAAGATCACAAGAGGAAAGGGCCAGCAAGCCCTCTGTGCTGAGCACCAGCACGATGCATGGGCGTGGTGGCGGTCCCCTACCTGAAAGGACTGTCTTTATACAGGGTGCTCTGGCTCCCTGCCACGGAGCTCCCACCGCTGCTGCTGCCATCATCGTCACCCTGGGAGTACCGCGTGAGGCGCTGGCTTCGACGAGACATGATGAGGTGGGAGGGGGACCCTTCCCCTAAAGAGAGATTTGGGAGAGAAAGGAGGGCTGGTGAGGTGTGAGGCGGGGCTATTGGTGGCTCCTCCCTGGGGGTGGAGAGACAGGAGGCACTTTCTCCCATTGGACAGACCCCCAACACCGCTCCCCCCATTTGATCACAACAGCCCCAGACGTGGGTGACAGTACCACCCTCCCCGCCACAGGCCTGCAGGCCGCACCCTGCCCGGAGGGTAGCTCACCCAGTGCCCAGGTAGCCGCTTTCCACAAGGTTTCCCAATTTTCAGTTTATTGACAGCGAGCTCCATGAGAGCCAGCACTGTCCCTTCCATACCCCGTGACGTGCGGCACACACTGGGCACACACGGCACACGCCAGGCATACAAGAGATGCTGAACGAACCTCCGTCTAGCCGTTTCCCCCGTGGGACACCCTTTCCTTTCCTTGCAGCTCTACTCATTGATCAGGGCCCCGTCCAACTGTGACACCAGAGAACCTGTCCCTGGCACAGGCCCCTGCACTCTGACAGCGGTTGCGTGCTGGCTGCCCTGCGGCTGGTCCCCGCGCAGCAGCAACGGGACGTCTGCTCGTGACAGGGATGCTAGAACACTGTCAGTGGCCCCTAGGGGCCTGGCCCCTTACATGCCCACTTCGGCTCCTATAGGCCAGGGAGACGTCATTAGCCCCATTGTGCAAGGGAGGAGCCTGGGATGCCGAGCTGACCAGTGGTTTGCCCACAGCCACCCAGCCTGCAAGTGACAGAGCCAGGGTTTGAGCTCCCATCTGACACGTGCCAGGGTCTGGCTCTGTCCATCCCACCAAGGTTTTCAAGTTGCTTCAAGAATGTGCCGTGTCCCCAGCTAGCGTCCTTGATAGCCTCAAATGTGTTCAGAACAGGCTGTAGACAGAACTGTTACACAACAAATATTTGTTAACAAACTAACCAAACAGGGCGGTGCAGTGGCAAGTGTGGGATTCCGGGGGAGGGAATCAAGACTCTGGAACTGATAACTAGGACTCGGAGGAGGTGCAGGTGAACGGCCTGGCAAAAGGAGGCCTTCTCCCGCCCGGGGAGGGCCAATTGGCTCCAGAAACCCAAATTCAAAATCTCGGATTACCAGTGTGAGGAGCGTCAAAGTGCCGCTTCTGCCAGCCCACGCTGCCAGCCCACGCTACGAAGTCATTTTACTTCGGCCCACTCCAGAGGTCCTCGTACTTGTGACTTGCTGTCGCTTCTAATATTCCTGGTTGATACTTAAGTTACTAGTTTTCTGAGTTGTGTGGTGGGCATAGGCTCTGACACTTCCCAACTCAGACTATGGAAACCAGAAGGTCTGGTTAGTCCAGCTGGAGAATTCTAGAAAGTTCTCTTCTGAAAAACAAGCTGCCTCCTGTCTTGGTCTCATTGGCATCTTCTCAGGGGGGATGTTCACCTGACATCCTTCCCTGGTTCTAGCCGGTGTTGGTAAAGGACTGACTGGTAGTGGCCAAAGCAGGAAGTTGGCCTGGGTTCTTTTCTATATTCCAATCCTTATAAGGTCATTCCACCCAGACTCCTGCCCTCCCCACCTGAAAGCTGGCCCCTCCTCTTAACTCCTGCCCTGCTGAAGTGGAGGCCTTCACTCTGGGGAGAAACACAGCAATGTGTTTACACAATACTGAAGGCTGGGACTGACAAGAACATAAATATTCTTATGGGGGTGCTGAAAACTGTCAGCGCCTCCTTCCTCCTAGGGGTGCTCTCAGTCTTTCTTGGTGCATGCTGGTATCACAAAACAGTTTGCAACTGAGTTTGGATTTCACAAGCTGAAAAAGGTTTAAGCTTCGCTCTCCAAAACAAACAGGAGATGAGTCTCTAGAAGCTAAAATATTTTGCATATGAGAATAGACAGCACCCCTCCAACACGGACGATCAGCTAAGAAGCCCTCACGCTAAAACATCCCTCCCCACTTCTGGGCTGAACCACATCCTTTTCTCAACTTCACCTTCCTCCACCCCAATCGCAAACTTATCTGACAATGTCTATGCAGTGTTCAGACTTAACAGAGATCTTGGGCATCTTCCGCGGGCCATTTTCACACTGTGTTTCCTCCTGGGGCTTGTAAAACGCTCCTCCGTCATTCCCTACTCGCTGAACCTGCAGAGGTTTTCACCAGCCACGAGCCTGAGCCTTCCCTGCTTCTTGGCTCTAAGTACACTCCCGCCCCCTATTTGTTTGGTTTCTTTTTAGAACTGAACAAAACGGGCCTTCCTCCTGTTCCCGGAGTTCTGACAGGCAGCGGCAGAAAACTGCCTGGAAACTGCCTGACTGGTACGAAAACATGGGCACTGCCCTGGGCTTGTTTGGGGCAGCCCGGTCTTCACTTTCCTCCTCCCGGGGAGGTCCTGCCCAGGGAAGTCCCGCCTGGAGACATCCGCCCTCCGGGGGGACCAGTAGGGCGCCAGCCCTGGGGGCGGAGACCCGACAGAGATGAGTCAGGGCGGATGGCCTTGGCACGGCGCTGGCTCTTCCCGACCGGCCCAGGGGCGTGCGCCGGGCGGGGCTGGAGCCTGGCCCAGCTTGGCCCGGAGAATAGCCAGGCCTGGGCAGCTCAGCCCTGGCCGGAGCGGCCCAGTGATGACCCCAGGGTCAGGCCGGGCCCGGCGCTCGCAGGGAGGCGGGCGACGCCGGCAGACCACCCTTGCCACACGCGTCCGCTCGCCGGAGGCCCATGGCCGGCTGTTACCTGCTGCGGCTGCTGCTTCGTGCGGGTCGGGGGCGTCCGAGGCCCGCCGTGCCACCCTGACGCGCCCCCTTCTCCGGTCGGAATCCCGCGAACGGCGCTCGGCGCGGGGGTCCGGGGCGCCCGGGGAGACACTGCTCGGGACAAGGCCGGCGGGCAGCAGCTGCGAGCGCGGCGGACAATGCGGCCCGCGCAGAACCGCGCTGCGCGAGTGGGGCCGGGCGGCGCGCGCGTGGCCGAGTGTGTATGTGTGCGCCTGTCAGTCAACCCTGACAGGACGCAGCCCATTGGCCAGGCTCCGCCCTCTTTACCGCCCACCGCCACCGCCCATTGGGCGGTTTGAACACAAAGGCCCCGGCTCGCCCCGCCTGCCGCGTGGGCCCCGCGGGCAGGGCGCGTCCAGTCAGGAGACCGCGCGTGGGAGGCGCGGGTGAGAAGGCGATGTCTGGGTGGCGAGAACTCTGCTGGAGCCAGCAGGTGGGGGCTCGGCCGGGCCTCCCCGCGCACGTGACTCCCGGTCCAGTGGTTTGCAACACTTGAGGGCTCTCTCCTGCACTGCACACGACCAGTGGCCTCCTGGTCGCAGCGTCCCAGCGCCCCGCAAGCTGGCTCGACAAGGCCGGGATGCCAGGACCTTACACGCGTTGGGTGGTTAGGGGCACAGTCTCCCTGAGGATGGCCCGCGGAGGTGGGGAGCGGGGGAGGTAGAAGACCGCGGGCCCAGGGCCCACCTGAAGGTGTAGTTAGCTCTCCTCGGACTCAAAAGATTGTCCACGTATAATGGTGCATGGATAGTTGTCCTCTTAGCCAGACCTTTTTACACGCATTTTACAGATAAGGAAACAGGTTTTAAGTGATTCGCTTCAAGTCACACAGCTAGAAAGAGGCAAAATTGAGATTAGAAGACTCTCCACATCCAAGCCCGCATTTTGCATTTTAGGGTTTGGACAGGGCAGAGGCTCTGCCACTTCCCAATCTGCCCCAAGTTTCACTGTAGAAGCTTTTCTCGGTTTTAAGGCAGGAGCTGGCCACAAGCGGTGCCCAGAAGGTGTGGAGAGCAGGATCAGTAAAGTGGCGTTGGTCCCGTCAAGAGAAGGCAGACCACCTACCCCCTGCCTCACTCAAACACGCATGTGGAACGAGTGTTGACAGTCAATGAGTGAAGTGCCACCTGACTCCAGGGGTCCCGTGCACGGGCTCCCTACAGGCACAGCCTGGGAGGAGTCGCCTTCTGTGCAAGCTCTTCTAGGGGAAGGTGAAGCAGAGTGTCGTTATTTAGCTCTTAAAATGCCAAGAGGAAGAGACAAGAAATGACAAAATCTCTGAGAAAGGACAGGAAGTGGCGCGGGCGGGTAGGGGTAGGGGATTGAGGAAATTTGAAACCCTTGTATTAAGTTGACTCTGGGAAACAAGCAAACAAACAAACAAACAAACAAAACACCCTCTCTCCCTGGGCCTCCTCCACTGCCTCACCTGGAAAATAGAGCTTCACCTGTACTTACAGCACCTTGAGGACCATGGTGCTGGCCGGTGTGTTGCTTCCAGGGTTAGGCGGGGAGCTCCCTGAGGCCAAGGGGGGAACTCAAATCAGATTTCAGGTCAGCATCCGGGTAGGAGCAGGGTGCTCTCTTGACCCCTTCTCCCCGCCAGGGTGCTTACTTCCCCGCTTCTGCCCTCGCCAGCTTCAGTGATGTCTGCAGATGCGTCCCCTCCCCCGCAGCGGTGCTTGCCTCCTCTCCCAGGGTGCGGGCAGAAGGAGCTCCCTCCCAGGACAGGCTGGTTTGGAAGCAGAGGTGCTGCGCCTTCCTCTGGGCTCAGGCAAGGGCCGTGGCCACAGGCTGGTTGGAGGTGGGTCCCTCTTACACTGCGTTGCCTCCATGGGCCTGGCATGGGCGAAAAACAGGCCCTGAAGATACCAGGTCCCAATCCCTGGAACTTCTGCATGTGCCATAGTGGAAAGTCTTTGCAGATTCCCCTGAATGAAGGATTTTGAGATGTGGAGATTATGCTGGACTATCAGAGTGGGCTCTCAATGTAATCATGAGCGTCCTTTCAAGAGAGACACAGAGAAGAGGAGAGGGCAGTGTGACCAAAGGGGTAGAGACCGGAGTAGTATGTGGCCATAAGACAAGGAATGCCGGCAGCTCCCAGGAGCAGGAAAAGAAAAACGGATTCTCCCCTCGAGCCTCTGGAGGGAGCACAGCCCCGCTGACAGCTTGACTTCTGTCCAATGATTTTGATTTTGGGCTTCTGGTCTTCTGAACTGTGAGAGAATACCTTTCTGTTGCTGCAAGTCACCACATTTGTGCTAATTCGCTACATCAGCCATAAGAAAGTCTAGAGGACCCTGGGAAATTCCTGATTAAGGCTCCCGTGATATGCCGGGCCCCTCCCTTGGTCCTGGCCGTCCTCATGGACACCGTGCATCAGACATGTGTGATCACACATACACACCTGTCTCCCCATCCCCTCTGCCCCGCCTCTCTGGCATCTGTTCCTGCAGCAACCCTGCCCTTCCAGATTCTTCTCTCTCTGTCTAGTTCTGTCTAGCCCCTGTCCATTTGGCTGGTCTGCTCGCAGCCCTGCTCTTCTCTCTTTCGCTGCTCTGCTCTTGCTCCTCCTTCTCTCACCGCCATTTCATACACAGTGGGAGGTGGGGGGTGGCAGCTTTGCCCCAGCAAGAGCCGGGCCGGGTGGCTGGCGGTGCAGCCCCCGCAGCGGGGCCACGGTATGACTTTCTTGATTGACAGGCACTTCTGCCTTAGTGGCTGCTTTCTTCATTTAAAAAAAATTATATTTTATGACCACATTGGTAGATGATTGCATTCTAGGCTTAATTCATTAGTAAATATTCATTATTATGATTTTAAAAGAAGTACAAATGGAAACACTTCTGTGGGCCCCTGAAGCGTCCTGGGCCCTGGGCGCCCCGTGGGCGCTCAGTGAGGGGAGCCAGCCCCAGGGCCCCTGGGCCGCAGATCGCCCCCTGCTCTGGTCCGGAGCAGCAGCAGCAGCTGTGGGAAGTCCTGGGGCTGCATGGGCTGTGGTGACCAGCAAGGAGACTGCGGCATCTGCGGCCCTGGTCCCAGGCCAGATGCCCCGCCTGCTCCGTGACCCCGGGCCAGCCACTTCACCTCTCTGAGCCATTTTCTTCATTCATCCAATGTGATTAATACCAACTGTCCTGTCTGTCATATGAATGGCTGTGTGACCTTGGGCCGGAAAGTGAGGCTCGATGGCCTCTGTTCCCTCACGTGGGAGGACATGTGAGAGGAGCTGTTCAAATACAAAGGGCTTTGTCACCAGCGGTCGTGGCGAGGATCAGGGAGGGTCTGCCGGGGGCTCGCTGGTCAAGTCAGGTGCCCTCCGTGTGCATCCAGAGACCAGGGCTTCCCCATTATATCTATATATATGGCGGGGTGATCTGCGCTCCTGTCTGCCTCCCCCATGGACCCGGGACGCATGGGCCAGGGACCCGTCCGAAGGAGGGAACGCCCTATGCCTGTGTCAAATGACCGCATGAGTGAGGGTCCTGGCCACCTGCCTGCAGCGAAGGCGACCTCCACGCCTTCCTCCCTGCTGATACCACCAGCCAGCAGTCGGGCCTTCGCGTCTGTCATTAAAACATCCCAGGCAGAGTATCCTTCGTGGGGGCGGGGTGGGGGGACTTGCATGTCGGGCTTCCTTGCTGCAGGAACACGTTTGACAGCTGTGCGGGGGCAGTAATCTCAGAGGACCTGGTGCCTCTGCCCCGGGGCTGGTTCTCTGCCCTGGGGCTGGGGGTGGGAGTGGGGGAGAACCAAGGTGGGCTCCTCGCCCCGCCCCGCCCCACCCCGCCCCACCCCGCCCCACCCCGCCCAGCCTGGCCGGGTGACGCTCGTTTATGCACAGAGCTCAAAGAGCTCCGTGGAGGGGGCGGCAAGCACAGCGAAGCCCGTTTTATGGAAGGAGAAGTCCAGCCCGAGGAGGGAAAGGCGCTGCGTCCAGGTCACTAGGGGGGCCAGGCAGGCGTCAGGGGCAGACCGTGGATGCTCCCAGTCTGGCTCTTATGGGTGACTGGGCCTCAGTCATCTCTGCCGCACCCCACACACACCTATTACAGAGCCCAGCTCTTAATAAACGTGCACCGACAAACTGCTTCCGTGCAGCTCTCCAGCCTCCAGTCGGCACCGGCGGCAGCTGCAGACCCCTGGGGGCAGGTCCTCAGCTCCGCCCCGGCCCCTCCCACTTCCAGGCCTCTGCTCAACCTCTGCTCTGGCCTGGCTTGCCCTTGCCCTGGTTCTGGGCCTGATGAAATTCTACCAACCCTTTCAAGGATGGGCTCAGATTTCCCACCCCTAAGTATCCAAGGCCAAGGAATGGCTCCCGCATCCGGTCCCCATGTCCTAAGGGTCCCTCCACCTGCACATGCTGTGTTCTGGAGAAGCAGCACTGGTCACCCACAGCCCCAGTGATCATGAGGGTTAGATGGGCGAATGCCTGGCACTCAGCTAGTGAAAGGGACATTATCACTCACTGTCCCCCTCCGCCCCGGCACAGTGGCCAGCATGGCCGTGCTGTCAGAAGGAAGGGCAGGGGTGGCCCTGAGGCCTCTGAGGGCGCTGGCCCATGGGTCAGGGCTCACGGGCTGACATCAGGGGGCTTGCCTGATATCTATGTGAGGTTGTGCCTCCTGGAAACTGACTCAGCCTCTCGACGCTCCCACCAGCTGCTCCACCTCCCGTG